ATTAAATGATTTTCCACACGAATTGATTTAAGTAGAATTTAGAAAGAGACATATATTCAAAGGGGAACCATATGTGATGATGATCAGGATGTACTAGTCTCTGGGAATGTATCCTTCTATCGTTTTAGTAGGCCACTTAAATTTCATTACTATGTCATTTGGGCGATACCAATTATCTCATGATGTGATATCCTTTTGATTCCTTCTGTTTATATTCATCAAAAACCCTATTCGACACTCGACAGCTAAACTATCCTAGATAAATGAATAGGATAACAAAAACAAATCATTCTGAACTATCAAAAAGTATATTTATATATAGGAATAAAGCACTAAGTTTTTTTTGGGGTTAAATAATAGTATATCTATATTTATCAATGCAATAATGTGACATTAAAGCACCAAGTTAGTTGTCACTCATCATAATTTCTCTAATGGGGACTTCTTTTTATCTTCGATTGGCATGTGATTATATGTCAACGGTGCTAAAGGACCGTTAGCTTTCTATAAAGAAAACACAACGGGCATATGTATGTATACATATGTATTTGTATTATATATTTCTAAGCAGTTATAATTAAGAATGTTGTTTTAGAAAACCCCTTTCTTAAAGCTTATAGAAAAAAAGTGGACCCTCAAATAATGAAGTGTATGCATAGGAGTATAAAGCAAGCAAAGTCCAAAGTTGCCACTAAGTATTTTTTTTATTTCATTTGTTTTGTTAGCGATTACCACATTACTGATGACATGTCTATGAGAGAATGATCTTATATCGAACCTCTGCCAGTTTTACAATGTGTAAATGTTTTTCTTCGTTTGACATATCAAATGTATGCGCGCGTTCGTTCTTTAGCAAAAAAAGTGTATGTATGCATTTGTTTCTTAATTAGATCAGGCGAGTCTACTTGAAAACGCCAAGTACATAAGAAACTAATGTAGATATCCTAGCGTCATAATTAATTTTATGAGTACTAAGTTTATACCGATTAGTTATGTTTGCGGGACATATATGAGCTTATTTTGCCAATTGTAACCATACGTCTATAGCTTATAAATATGACGTATTCATACTTCTTGCGGTACTACAATCCTATAAATATGACGTGGAAATTTGTATAAAGAGTATATAATATATATACTTCTTAGGAAAAAAAGACAGAACAAAATTGTATGGATTTTAGAGAATTTAAATATATTAAGCTATCCAAAGGAGGAGTAATATGAAAAAGGTGAAAATGAGAATAATAATTAATCAGAATGTAACTTTTTGAGTGGGGGAAGATTAAAACAAAATTTATCGAAAGGATGAGTAAATTGAAAGCGTTACCCACATAGGAATTAAAGGAAATCAACTTTTGTTTTATGGTATCATTTTGTTTTCAAGATTAAGGCAAAGGGTCAATGCATCCCACCTGATTTGAACTTTCACAGGTCAATGCTAAGTCACCTCAACTATCACTTCTTTCATATTCACTTTCCTTTTTATTTTACGTAAGAAATATTTGAATCTGTTTTTATTTTTGTTTTGTTTTGATGACCATGTTGTTTTGACGGTTGGCGATAAGAGCGCACACTCGGTTCTTTCGTTTGGTTTGATTCAGGTAATCAGGTTATTTTGATTTTAGATTGTGAGGTTTGGAGAATTAATATTTTGGTTTTGTTAGTTTGAGTGATTTTATTTGGTTTCCTAGATTTCGGATTTGTTCAGACTTGATATGGGTAATTTTGCATGAAAGAATTTGAAATTGATTCGATTTCGGATTTGAAAATGTTGTTCGGTTCAGAAACAATTTGATTCAGTATATAAAATTTTCTCAACCCTAATTGGCGAAAATAAAAAAGAACATCAACTTAATAAAGACGGTAATAATGGCAGACCAGGTTTGGTGGGTTTGTTTCTTTAACGAATCCAAGGTTAGATAAAAAAGTGAATTTACTACCCCATATCAAACTAGTTAACCACATGATCCTCATTTGCTACTACTTAATTTGTATTCTTACGTAACGTACGTATTATATTTTGCCCTATATTAGAAATGTTTTTTTTTTCCTATATTAGAAATGTTATTACCATGGAACTGGTTTATAATTTATATCTATTCTAATACAACAATTGTTTCGTTGGTAAATGAATAAGAATGGAAATATTGTTTTCTGCATACATTCTCTCCATGCGATTTGAAAGAGAAAGTTATAATACTTACTTAGAAATGCTAGAAACAACTTTATTTATGTAACTTAAGTATAATTCATAATAGCATCATTAGTTCTGAAATGGTCACAAACAATTATTCTTAAATGTCTTATTTTGGAACATGATCGTTGTATATTGAAAAGCTTTTTAGCAATCACCTAACTAGTTTAGATGAGGCATGACAAACATGAGCTGTGTGGGGTGGGGAATCTTAAAATAACAAAGGACGGTAGAATGAAATTGAAATCCGAAAGAGTTGTACCAACTTCTTACTTGAACATATAAATAAAAATAATTAGGGTTCGTTGATAGGCTCTAACCTTATTGATACTCTGAGGCCTAGCCTCCCAGGATCGAAATTTCATGAGAAAACTAAAAATCGCGTATTACTGACTTTTTTTTTTTTAACATCCTCGCGTATTACTGACTTTAGTATTATTCCAATGCAACAAAATAAAACTAGCAAACTGTATGTTATTGTTACCCATAGAAAGAACACGAGCGCGTGAGAAAAGTACACGTGTCTCATATTTCGGCGTGACGAAGCTGCTAAAGAACTGGCTCCAGCAGACACATTCCTTTCGAAAACCGTGCCGTCCATTTCCTCCGTCACCGTAACGGATTATTTAATAATGACGTGTTTTTAGTTCAATTCCATTTCTATATGAGGTAACTAGGTAAGTTGATGACAATTGTCACGGTAATGTTTTCAACACGTTGGATCGCGATCACAATTTTTGATATTTATAGTGGTGTTTTCTTAACCATTTTATTTTATTAGTTTGTGTTTGTGTAATCGTTGCATACTTATACATTTGATCCCAAAAATCATACTTACTTGATCTACTTGTTCTGAAACTTATTTGACTGTCATTTTTTTCTCTTTAATATTCTGTCATTAACTGGCATACAAAATATAGGGCTACCAAAAGTTATTTCAACATATGCAGAATACCTAAAAGTACTAAATTGTCCAGAGTCCAGACAGGCACACAGATAGAAAACATTAGAGTTTCTTAAGAAAAATGAAAAAAGAAGCCGTGAAACTAAAGATAAGAAATAAATTTATTATTTATTCCTTATAGTCATATGTAAATTTTATCCCGAAAACATTAACAGAAACAGAAAGTTATAAGAAATCAAATAAAAAGCCACGCCAAGGCGCACAAAGAATTAAAGCAGTGCACAGCGTGGGCCGACTAACGAAGTGGCGGGACCTACTTTGAGCTGAGATCGAGGCTAAACGGGCCACTACGGCCCAGTTCTGAATATTATAATTTCTTTATTTTTTTATACAATTATGTATGCTGTAGTCTGTAATTAGTGGGTGATTTCCATATCCTTTTATTTTATTTATCGATTAAAGAAAGTTTATGGAGAATATTCGGCGGCCGCACTTTTATGCCAAACCAAATCTCTTTCTTTAACAAAGGTGGATCCCTAACAGTATTAAATTTTAGCCGATTTTGCTAAAAAGGCAATATCTGTATTTGCAGACTGATTTAGTTTCACTTAAATAGACGTACACCAAAGTTGCACACAAACAAAAAATAGACGTACACCAATAACAAGATTATAAATAATTTATTTCAGGCAATATCTGTATCTTGCTGTAACCTTCAACTTTTCATTATTTTTTCGTTGCCGGTTAAAAGAAAATAATACTGAAATTTATCTGTCTCTTGTCAAATAAATGAAAAAAAAAACGATTAAAACTGTTACAAGGATCAAATGATGGGCTTATGTTTTATTATGTTTACAGTGGGCCTCTTTTCAAACTTGATTCTTTTGTTAATTTGGGCTTTTAATTAATTTTATAAAAAACATGTTTGTCTAGTTAAAGGTTCAATGCTATTTTTTTTTGTCCAAACAATTTAGGAACATTTTGGTCCAAACAATGATCATGGGTATTTTTTTGGTAATACATAGTTATGAAATTTAGGTCCATTGTGCTTTGATTTTCCTAAAACATAGTGTGCTACTGGTTAACACTTGAAAACTACCATCATTAGGACTAAACAATGTCCTATTTAGGTTTTGTTCTTACAATGGATCAAAGGCGGATCTACGTGAGAGGAAGGGGATTCAGTTGACACCCCTTAAATAATAAATATTTCATTTGTTAGATTATCCATTAAGTAATTCACAGCGTAGTTGGCTAATAATTTCCTCTCTTTGACACCCCTAATCCTCGTTCAAGTCTCCTCTCACACCTATAATATTTTGACTCCACAACTAAAGCATAATATATTCCATGCTCGAGACAATTACAAAAAAAAAGTATAGCCGAAAAGGCTGCAAAATATTTTGGTTATGATGAAGTAAGTCTAGTAAATACATGAGTCTGATTGAAATGTATCATTTGGCCTATTGAATACTGTAATAATCTCCACGGTAAACACAGAATTACATCATACCAAATGTTAATTATATAACTTGTAGAGATCGATGTTGAAGTACATAAAAGTTAATATTTTGTTTTGGGGATTCACCATTTCACCTCCCCTTGTTTTTAAGCAAATGTCTATAGAGATATTTCGTTGGTTGTGATTTTATAATATAAAAAAATGAAAAAAAGGGAAGAGTAATACTGAATAGTCAAAGTTCCTCTGTTTTAGCTGTCCTCTGTCTCGTTCTCATCTCACATGAACCATAACTTTCTCTATCATCACTCTCTCCTTTACACAACCCCAAAAATAGACCTCTCCTTCTCTTTCTCCTCCGTTACATTCTTCGCTCACCCCCCCCAAAGGCTCTCACTTTTTTTCATTTATTTACACTAATAACCTTCTCCGTTTTCCCCCAAATGGAACAACTTACTCCGGAGCTCTTCCTCGTCGCCGGTAACCCTGACTCTTTCGTAGTCGACGACCTCCTTGACTTTTCTAACGACAACGGCCTACCCGACGACGGGTTTGACACTCCTCCTGATTCCTCCGCCGTCCCCGTCGACGAACCCGTCGACAGCTCCAACTCCTCCTCGCTTTACGCCGACGGGACTGGGTTTTCCGACGACCTCTGTGTTCCGGTAATTTAAAGGCCTCACCTTTACCATGTTGATTTGTTAATTCTGGAAAGAAAAAATCATTAATTTGTAAAATAGGCCATTCTAATTCATTATGTTTCATGATCTTCTGATGCCAATTTCATAAATATGAAGATTTTTAGTGTCTTTTCAGGTTTATAGCTGCTTAATAATTAATTAGCACTTGGGAGTAATTTTGAAGTTTGAATTAATAAATAATAACACATTTTTTCTTTCTTTTTGTGGTTATCACTTCACTTATCAGTGTGAGCATTTAGCTGAATTAGAATGGCTCTCGAATTTCGTTGAAGAAGAATCCTTCTCTAAAGAAGACCAAGACAAGCTTCACTTATTGTCCGGCTCAACCAAACCCCAATTAACACACCAAATTAAACCCGAACCCGAACCCGAGCCAGAATTGGATCAAATCTTCCTTCCCTCCGACACCGAAGACTCAAATGTTGCCGTTCCGGCCAAAGCGCGAAGCAAAAGATCACGCTCTGCAGTCTCCACGTGGGCTTCCCGTCTTTTGGCAATCGCCGGCTCCGACGAGACCGGCCTGAAGAAGAAACAGCTCAAAATTAAAGAGCACGACATCGCCGGGGAAGTCGACGGAGAAGGCGGAGAAAACGGAGGAGGAAGACAGTGTCAGCACTGCGCGACGGAGAAGACGCCGCAGTGGCGTACGGGACCGATGGGTCCGAAGACGCTGTGCAACGCGTGCGGAGTGAGGTACAAATCAGGAAGGCTTGTGCCGGAGTATAGGCCGGCGTCTAGTCCGACGTTCGTGATGGCGAGACACTCGAATTCTCACCGGAAAGTGATGGAGCTCCGGCGGCAGAAGGAGATGCGAGATGAGCATTTGCTGAGTCAGCTTCGGTGTGAGAATCTCCTGGAGGATATCAGATCCAACGGTGACGATTATCTAATCCATAATAATAATAACCACGTGGCTCCTGAATTTAGACACTTAATCTAACCTTCCTATTTCCACGTCGGCTTGTTCTTTATGGGTTTTTTATTTTCGTTTTTTTGTTTTAACAGCTTTAGTTGTTTTCATTTTCCCGCAGACTACTACTGATATTTAATAACTTTTTTTTTTTTAACTTTCGCAAAATTTGAAATAGAAAACTTTATAAAATTAATCAATCGTAGGCAGGGTAGAAACACGTCTACAATCCATCTTATATTATGATGCAAGTATCGATCTGTAACTTTTTTCTGGTTTTAAATTAATAGTCATGAAAATAATTGAACCAAGCAGAATCCAAAATGAATACATCCAAATAGTTGTTACCCCTTTTTCTACCGTTGTTATTTTGTAAGTTGTAAGGACGATCCAAAATTTCGATACAAATCGTCACATTTAAATATAGATGAAGAAACAAGAATAAGCTGCTTTCCTTGAATAAGAACTAATATTCTTTTTCTTTCTTTTTGTAACCAAGAACTATACTATTTTCAATTCGAAAACATATTCCGAATTACCTTTGAGACTGCATAATATTTTTAGCTAGTGAAAGAAGAATTAGTAACATGTTCCTAACACAGGGTCCATTGTATGATTAGAAAAGAAGAAAAAACTCAAGTATGTATTCATTAACCGATCAGATTAATCGAGTTTCAATATATATGGACAGAGAGTCAGAGATCAGTGTCTAGGGGATCATATATTGTATCTAAATCTAAACAGCAATATCATTCACCCAAAACACCAATATCTAAGGTGGATGCCCCCTCTTTTTGATAGATGGGTTATAATTATAATTTATCAAACTTAATTGTTCCCCGAATATTAACTTCTTTCACGTTTTACATTCTGACAATAATATTCGAGGAAATCTGATGCTTTTATTTCAATCTGAAACATATTTATCAAAATAAAGGGACAAATACAAATTTGCACAGCACAAAAGGAGTATATAAGTATTATTGCCTTAAATAAAGGAAAATGGAGCATAGATTGAGGTGCTCGTCACATGCATTCTCATGCAAACCTAACCAGCAAGTGGGAGAAATTAATGTTTTTCTTTGTATTATATAAACAGTCTTCTTCTCAACCAACACTAAACATTTTATCTTGATAGTTATAGGCAAAGGTCCACGGACTGCTGTACTTGAAATGTCTAGTTATATATATAGTTTTTGTTTCTCGTATAGTCGTTTAAAAGTTAGAACACCTCTCCTTATGCCATTATTCATCACGTAATACAAGTTTTTTTTTTTTTTTTTTTTAAAGGTTAAGGCGCAAAACAGAAAACACCCCTTACCTACTAACCTATACATACTAATATGAATAAACCTTCATTGTACAATTCAATTTTATGTGTACATGTAGATATCTACACATACTTATAGGTTTCATGATAAACATCGAATCCTTAGGATCATACAGATCAGCTGTTCATAAAAGAAAAGATCATACAGATCATTTTGTTTGTGTTTATCTTGTTTTGTCTAAATGATCTTTATTATTAGTGCAAATTCATTCAAGTTTAGACTAATATCTGACAATTTACCAAAATGTTAGGCTTGAATTTCTCTTTCAACTCCTTTAAAAAAGCCTATGCGTTCCAAAGTGGGATATGTAGTGTTAAATAGCAACTTTGGATTTATTAGAAGGTAGATGAATAGCATGTAGGCTGTAGCTAAGTACGTAAAATCTAAAATCGAGATATATTTGATATATTTCTGAACCGCAGAAATTGTTGGCGATTTTAGAACACGGTTTAGATGTCTAATGTTTATATATGAACGTTAGACATGGTTGCTCATGTTGTTCTGAATTGTAAAAATTGGATACGTAAAACTGTAAAAGCACGCACATATATAATATTAATGGAGTCATGTGAGTAACTGAGTATGTTGCGTATACTGTATGCCATGTGGTGCTGCTATATATGTATATATATAATTAATTGATGTGGAATCATAACGGTCCAACGTCGCGTTCTGAATTTTAGGGAAGACTTCGACGTCACTCAAAGAAAGTACCAAAAGCAAATCCATTCTAAAGCCACCTATACATAATAAAAAGAATACAAAAGGCAAAAAATAAAATTGAGAAAAAATCAAACATGACAAGGACTAAATTCTACACACATGCAAACGAAATACATATAAAACCTTAATGAGAATCATTTCTATACTAGTCTACTAGACACTGAGTACCGTAGTACGACGTGAAGATAAAAGTGTGTACGTCAGTACGTTTCTAGTAATGTGCGGAAGCTTTACAATGATGAGAGTATTGTATATTCTCAGAAACATTTTTCTACTAGGGAAATTTTGATTAGATTCTCAGAAAAAGCATTGTATATCATACAAACATTGAGAAACAGTATTAGTTATTACTTATTATACAGTTTAAAGAAAGAAAATTGACTTATAGAGAGAACGACATTGAATACAAATAAAATAACCGAAACGATGAACCCTTCTTTTAACCATTTTCATCAATACATATTTATACTTTGCAAATTACGAATATGAAATCCTTAATGTTTAAAAGCTGTATAGTTTGATGGATTTTCATAAATTTAATTCAGTTTTGGTTTAGAACTTGAGCGTGCCAGAAATTAATCAAAAGATTTACATGAATTGGACTCCAAGTAACCAGTAGAATAACTACCAACTAAATTAACCAACAACAAATCTTACATGTACTTTGTTTAATTACTACAGAACAACAGTGCATTGCCTAAATTAACTTCATCACGGAGAATCAAAACCCATAAGAAGAATCAGAGTAAAGCCAGCCTACCGGTTATGGAATCAACCAACTCCTTTGGTCCTGCACAGGAAGAAAAAAAAGCAAGAGCATGATGAGGAACAACACCTTGCTTCAACATATGTATTTGTTCTGCTCTAGCTAGAAACAGAGGTTAAAAAGAAACTGTTGTCTCTACCGGGTCCAACTGCAACAACCGTTCTTGATCCAGCCGCAACCTGTGAAAGATGGAGTTTACAGATGTTAGCTTATCATTACCAAAGAAAATCCAACAATTTTTTTGACTCCAGAACACTCTTCTTCTCGTCTTTAAAAAGAAACTAAGATTCTTGTAGCTACCTCTGTTCTTCCAGCATCAGCTACAACAAAAGTCGGAAGGCCAACACTTGCAGCTGCCTCAGTGATCTTATTCCTGATAGGAGGGAAAAAAAATATAAAGCTTTCAAATTTTAACTGAAAACAGGAATCATAATGTCTTTGATGTGCATTTTCTCCAATAGTTTCATCTCTGCTTACATTTCTAGCTGATTTTTGCAAGTGACGACTATCTTTGGTTGTCCACAATCCTCCCATCGTCTCAGAAGGTATCGGTCACTGAAAGAATTACGAATACAAAACATAAATCTTGTGGAATGATAAAATTGTTTTACCAAGAGAACCACTCACTACAGATAAAAATCACCTCTGCATTAACTCTGCATACATGCCGGTGGCTGCATCTGCAAATATTAGAAAGAAGAAAGTCATTTTACTTTGGGGATTATCACAAAAAAGTGTTCAAATTTCAAACAAAATTTCATAGGGACACTTACGTGCACACTGTGATGCGATTTTTCCTGTTTTCATCTTCAAGTCTTGCCTAACTACTAAAACCTGTGATCACACAAAGAAGCTCAAACTAGTTACACAAATGTTCTGACTTTACATCATAATCTTGAATTCTGACAGCATTCAAATCTTATCACCATCCTTTCGTAGAATATGTATGTCTAAATAATAGTTAGAAGATAGACGAACCATTTTAAGCTCTTTATCACTGCCATTGCTTGGTACGGAACTCTGCTTCTGGGTGGTCTTGCTGGACAAAAGTCTGCTCTTTCTCACTGGCAATTTCACTTGCTGTGACAAATCAATTAACATACCTATGATGAAACCTATCACAATCCCTGGTATGAGATTCTCTGCCTTAAAACTCCCAGCTATCGACTTCCTCTCTTGTTTCTTATCACATTCACCGGAAATTAACAAAATCAACAAAATTTCAAAACCATAAGAGGACATATAGTCAGACCCAATGATACAATTTCAACTACCAGCAAGAATTGTGGTTCGACAGCTGCGAGATTATTTTAGCATATGATCGAAATCAACTGAGTAAATTAAGCTCCATTGTTGCAGTCCCAGTAATATTTTAGAAACCAAACATTAAAGGAAAAGAGAATATGGCGAAATTAAATACCTTGGATTGAGGCTGCGAAGAGTTCCCAGAAGAAGGCCACATGGTGTGCTCTCTGGCGTTTCTCCTCCGATGACTCTAAGTCTGAACGAGAGAGAGATAAGAGGAGCTTTTGTAAACGTAAAACGTCAGGGTGTTCATTTTCCTAATTAAAAAACGACGAGTTGTTGGCTACAAAATTATCAATCGGAAAACATAATGGTCCAATTAGAGAATCTTTCAAAGTATATAGCTACTAATGTAAATTACTACAAATAACCGTCCCTTGGCACGGTGCGTTTTGGCGTCGTCTCTATTTTTCTGGCGACTAGAGTCGGAGGAGTCTAGACAGTTCCCTCCGGAAAGCTGGAAACACCAATCAAAACCCTAACGGCCATTTCCACTACCGGAGCTCCGGAATGCCGGGTGTAACTTCGGAAGCCGGAGACGGATTACAATTGGTGCCGTTTAAGACGAATGCAAAAGTTCCGGTGGTGTATCCTCTTCGCTACGGCCTCAAGTCTCAAGCTCACAGGCTCTCCATCTCCTGGGGATGCGGAAACAACCTCCGCGTCACGGTTTTACGGAACCCCGAGTCGCGCGACGATGACGGAGAAGTTGGCGGTGAGGTGGTGAACGTGAAGCTTAGCGGCGAGGACGGCGAAATCGGCGACGCACAGTGGCGTAGGATCGCCTATGGATCTGTCTCCCCGTTCGCGCTTTTGCAGAGCAGGAGAAACTCAATTTCCAGTTTGTCTAACATGGATATGAGTGCCTCTCTGTACCAGACTGCCTGGTGAGGACACTCGATTTTCTTACTACTCTCTTGGAAAATCATTGAATCTCCAAAATGGCTACACTATCATTGCTTTGTGGAATTGGAATTTTGCTCTTATGACATTCTGGATTGTTCACACTTAGGTGGGAATACGTAATGGAATACAGCAAGGATATCAAATCTCTCCTTAGTAATTCAATATCTTCCCCAACTCCTTTGATTGAAGACCCAAAGTCAGTTATAAAGGTGAGTAAGTCTATCACAATTTTAACTCTTCTGCGACTGTGAGTGAGTTATAGCTTTGAGTGTGGGAGCTTTGTTAATGGATTTTGAACGGTTGACATTAATATGCAGACTGCTGAGGAACCGACTTCTTTGAAGGCTGCGTGGGAGTTGATGGAAATATTTTATGCAGACAAGACATGTCAGTCTTGGTTGCCAGAGCGGCTCGTTGATTGGCTATCTGTAATTAGTTTCTTCTTCTATCAATTAAGCTATCTTTATGTTTTGAACCTTCTGGAATATGTTACATATGCCATTTATCTCATGGCAGGATTACGATGTCCTCCTTTCAAGCTCACATCCAACAATCTACTCAAAGCTCGAGAATTTCCAAAAAGAACTTGTTGGCTTACAGGTCTAGTCACACCCTCTACGTAAACTACTTTTTTTTTCAATTATCAAAAGTGTCGAGATATATGGTCCTCACTAAGACATCGATTGAAGCATTGGTAGTGAGTGACGAACTGAATTTTGGTTAATTGGGTCTATGTGCATATGCAGGCCATCGAGGATGATCCAAGATACTGGGAAGTGATGTCATCTGCTTTATCAGTTGGTTGGCTAGAAATAGTGGTTCGTACTTTTCGGCTCTATTTGATTTGATTAAAGTTGCAATTTGAGGGATGAGCTACATATGCTTTTATATTGCAGGTGAAGTTGTTACACTTGCATGGTTCTTATCAACTAGACCAGCTAGGAAATCGTGAGGTTTGTAAGATTTAAGTTGTTCGTTATTGAGATTCATGTCATATGGAGTAACTATCTACATACTAATACAAATTTGATCAAGTAGACAGAAAATGGTCTGGTAGAAGCTGTTGCTGTTCTCGTTTCAAAACTGCCACGGATGCGTCCAAAAATAGCAGCTGGGAAGTTTGGTGAATGCTTTGCAGCAAAGCCTGACTTTATGAAGGTGTGTTAAACAGATGTATCTGTCTTTCTCTTTTAGCGTTGTCTAGACTCATCTTACCCTTTATGCCCTTTGTGCCAGACACGAGAAAGATGGCAGTCTCAGATAACCAAACTAGAGTGCAGTGCCTTCTGGGTTCAATGTGCTCACCATCAGACCCGCGAGGGCTTGAGAAATATGTTGAAGATCATGTTGGGAAATGTCGATTGCCTCTCAGCTGCGACATCTAACTGGATGGAGCTTTTTGTTTCACATTTTCTCCATCTCAGGCCATTCACGAAGGTGGATTGCTTTACCTCTTGTTTGTCGATTTTAGATTTGAGCCGTGTATTTTCTTACTCAATCCTATTATACCATTTTGCATTGCAGGGACTAGATGGCATGCATAATCTTGCCCAGAAATGCATTCAGTCAAAGCCAGTTAACACTTCCCATAAGCTTCTGAGACTGCTTACTGGAATTCTTGAAGAAAATACAGAGGTCAGAAATGGATTTTAATATCAATCAGAGGTGTAACTGTCTCAGCTTTCTATCACCCTAATTCGGTATGGTGTAATTGGATGATGCAGGTTGTGCTGGCAGTGTGTTCCAAAGAGTTTGGCTCCTGGTAGGCTTGACGGTCTTTGTTTCTTGTTACGGAATCCATTGAGGATGCTATATTGTTTATAGATACGGATCAAGACGAGACTGTTTTGTGTTTGTTGTTAGGATGGTTGCACATGCGATGGAGTTATTGACAGCTGGAAGCGAAGAAGGAGAAGCTCTTGTACATGAGGAGCAGCGAAACTTGGGTGGAATCAACATGGAAGAGCTTCATAGACTTGTTTATGCTCAAGTTCTTTCTTCTCATGCTTTGACTTGGCAGGTACCATTTCTTTTATGACTTGTCCTGTACATATTCTGTAAAAGTATCAAGTTAAGCCTGCATCTATCTCAACCAAATTGGTACCTTGTTGTGTATGTTTTAATATTTGCAGATAGCTCCTGTTTATCTGTCATCGTGCGAGAAACAGGGATTAGGCTTATTAGAATTGTTGTTCTACAGGCAGCCAGTTCAAGACAATCAGTTGCTCATTAAGGTTTCATTTATTCGTTTGCATTTGTATATCTATTGTTGCTTAAAATTCCAGGATCTTGTTCAGAAGCCTTCACCTGGTACTAATGTTTCTCCTGATGCAGAGTCTAGAGATATGCCGTCTATATGAACTTAGTAATGTCAGTGCCACACTTATGAAGGTATTGTTGAAACACTACTCTACACTTGTGTTCTCTTATCTCAAAATTTGATGGAAATATTTGATCGAAAGTAAGTTATGGTGTTCAGATATCTGGAGTGCATCACTGGAAACATGGGAGGAAAGGGTCTGGGATATTTTGGCTTCAGCAAGCCCGGGACGAACACTGTCTCAAGGTGATATCTCAACAGCTGTTTGATTCTGTTGGAAAGTCACTGTCTGATGAAAGTCTCAAGGTATATACATTCTCTAAGCCATACACGAAACATAATTTCTTTTTATATCTGTCCCTTTTTTCATTTTATACTTTTCTAACATGCAGCAATGGGAAGGCTTGGTCGAGTTGCTTGGTTCCGAAACGCAGATCTCTGGTGGTCTTGATTTTCTTCACAAGTATTACTCATCTATCTCCTTCTTTCTTTGCTAATGATTTGTTTTTTTAAGAAACTATGTCATAACATTATTATCGATTGCCATATTTGTCCAGGTATAGAGATTTCAAGAGATCACTGAAGCTAGTCCATGATGGAAAAGCTATAGATGCGGCTCACGAAGCTGTGGAGAGGCTTGTATCGGTGTGTAATACAACATCTTTCTCAACTGTTTTTTTTTCTTCCCACAGGGACATTTTACTCTGGCCTATTAACACTACTTTGCCATCTTTGATTGCTGCAGCTGATGAAGAGCCCCTCTACTCCTCCACGTTTCTGGCTTCCTCTTCTGCATGATTCAGTAAAGAACCAAATCTTGTTTTATCTTTTTCTTTAATTTCAGAGCAAAGAGAATGCGTAGCTAAAAATGAGTTTTTTTCTTGTTTGTGTGTGTGTTAACAGTTGAAGCTGTTGAATTGGCCAGAGCGTTCGCTGTTGAATGTAACACAGACGAACCTGATGCTGAACAAACTACAAGAAGTATCAATCGCAAGGCTGAGACCAGGCTTCATAGAATCTGATTTGTCTGCTCAAGCTGTGGGTTCCGTGAGACTTGCTCTAGCTACCAATCTCGGACGTGCTTTTCTCGAAGAATGTTAAATTACGAGCTCGATAACAATTTATTTGTGTCTTTCAGTTGGTATAACATAATCTCTGTATTTTCATATCAAATACGACTGTAAAACACACTCTGGTTTCCATCACTCGCAGCTTTTAATTACTGATTTGTGAAGGTAGTAAAGAAGAAAATAGTTCTCCCAGTGAAAGAAATTTGGTAAAACATCTTTCTTTCTTAAATTAGCGAACTGTGAGCGTACCGGTTTATTGTCCTAAACTGATTTTGCGTGAGTACCGGTTGAAACCGGTTTACTATTTCCTTCACTGAGCTTTGAGCTCACACACTGACGCCGTTTGGAAACGACACAGCATTCGCAATTCTGTTCAATATCTAAAATCCTATCCACCGGACCACCGGAGAGAGAGGGAGAGGTGTTACAGTTTGGCCATGGCGACCAGAGCGTTGCTCTCCGTTATCTCTGCTTCTCCGCGCAGGATCAAAATCGAAACTTCAATTTTTTCTTCTTCATCTCTTTCTTCTAGTCTCCAGTTGCAAAGATACAGTAGAAAAGCCCACAGAATAGCTCGAAGTTTCTCGTCTGACACAAACCCATCCGTTCTTCAGCCGCCGGACGTGGCCCGTCTGGCTGAGACAGCTCGAATCTCTCTCACTCCGGCCGAGGTATCCTTTACTAGTCATTTGCGTTTCTCTATGTGTTTTGAAATCTACTTTGTCCAATTGACTTCTCTCATATTGTTCCTCTTCCTTCCTTTTCATCTTTTCTTTTTTCTTCAGATTGAAGAATGTGGAACTAAACTTCGTCAGGTCACCGATTGGTAATTAATCTTACCTCGTCTATTGTTTCGTGTTGTGTAATCTTTCAAGCTATTGTCTTCCTGACCCGAGATCGGCTTGTGAATTGGTGCCAAAATGCAGGTTTGGCCAGCTTCAACAAGTTGATGTTAACAGTGTGGAGCCAGCGATTAGAGCAGGTCTGAATGAGTTCTTTGAGATATTAAACACAACTTCCTTCTTTATATTTGTGTGTTGGGATTTTTCTTTTGTTGATGTTTGTGTTCGTAAATGGAACATACATGAAAGTCTTTGTAGTCTCTCTTGGTAAAATCTGAGACAAATTGGTTTTACTGTAATCAATCTTGATTCTTTTGGCAACTAGAAATGTAATTTGCATATTTCAATGTCTTGATCCTTGCTGATATTCAAATAACTTGTAGAAATGGAAGGCGGGAACTTACGAGAGGATGCTCCCGAAACATTTGAGAACAGGTTTGATCTAAATACAGTTTTCTCCATCTAGACTAATAGAAATGAGTCCGGTTTTAAGACGAAAGCCATCTACTAAAGCTTCGATATTTTCTTTATGTTCAGGGAGAGTATAAGAGCTTCCATTCCAAGCTTTGATGAGGCATATTTAAAAGTCCCTAAAGTACTCAACAAAGAGTGACTTTGTAAGCTACTCTCTCTTTACTCTATCCACTGAGGATGAATCATAGTTTTAGCTTTATCTGCTAAGAACCTTTGTGTCTTTCATGTTGCAGCTTCTTGGGGTTGTGTGACTGAAGAGATTCATTCTCAGCTCCGGTTCTTGTTCCAGCATCTATGTTTTATTTTTGTAAACTTGATTAGGAGAGAACAAATTTGCCTAAAAAATTGTCAATTGTCAAGTCTCACCTAGGCTATTTGCTGGTTTGCTCTACAACATTCAATTTAGAACATTGTATATGGAACTGAGCTCAATACATTTCTAATATACATGGGTAAGATGAAAATATACAAAGAAAAACTTTACAAACAAAAGCCAAAGTATCAGTAAACATCTAAAGATTCAGTACGAAAAGAAAAGACGAACAATTAGAGATAAGATCCTACAGCTAATTCACCTTAAGTGAATTTCTTCTTTTATTGAAACTTTTGACTTTTGAGTTTTGTCTCATCAAAAGTAGTAACTAGGAACTCACAGGATTCAGTATCACAACGTGCTCTGCAACTACCTAGTGCAAGATACTATCCGCTTCAACTTGAGAAAATAGAAACATATAGTTAGAAGAGAAGAGAAGGCATACCTCAACGAATCCAGAATTCATGTTTACCGAGCAGACAAATATATGTGCATTCCTCTTCTTGAGGCGACTCCTATACTGTATACACATCACTATAGAGGCACACAAACTTAAGTTGAATGGACCTCCCCAAAGAAGTGACCACACTGAATATCTTTAAAGCTCTCATCTTAGATGTTGACACGATCATAGCCACAAGGCCATGCTTTTCATCTCTTTGTGGCTGGTTGAATAAGTGTCTCACCAGGGGAAGGAGATACAACAACTTATTTCATGTTGCTGGTCCTGCAAAGACCAAAGAGTCTCGGCCATAGGAGATTATCCGTATCAGGGGAAGTGGGACCTTGAAGCTTCTCATGGCTCTGGCTTGTTGGAGCTTGGTCATCACACCAGCTTCAATCCAGCTTGTTATCGGCTTTGGAACATTCTCTCCCTTCACAATGATACCATTGGATGCCCTGAATTGAGCCATTTGTAGTGTTGGAAATAGGCCTCATCTCCATATATATCGATTTCCTTAACACGGCCCTGAACAAAATTACAACTTCTCTAAATGATTATGAATATTATTTATACCTCTCATGTTGAGTTGCTCTCTTGGATCAATGTAAAAATGTAAATGTAAAAATGTGTATTTTTTGTGTATATTCAACTCATTAATTAGTTAGCTAAAGAGATATAAATTTGTAAACATATATTAACTGAATGAAAGAAAAATAAAACCAAAATTTTGGAAATATATATGGGAATTTGTTAAAGATATTAAATTTTGTAATAGCTCATAAATTCATTCTTTTGATGATTTGTTAATCATATTCAGTTAAAATTTTAACATAGCAATTACATTGATTTAAAATAGCTATGTTATAATCTTAATTGAATTTAAACCTAAGTAAATTTTGAAACTAATAAATACTTCATGGGAATAACTATGTTACGCCATTAGTTTCATTGTGTCGAACTCTGGATGTACCTCTTCAAATCATGTCTCCTACATTCTTAAGCATGTTTTTATCGGTGCATTTATATCTGCAAATTAAAACAACATATTTTTATTTTCCATCTACTAATGAAAACTCAATAGTTTGAAGTAGAATACCAGTTCATTTCATAGAGCAATGGTGTTTTATTTCCACTAAAAAATTATTGTCCTACACGTTGAATGTTGTCTTGACAATCAACATGTGTTTTTCTTCTTCTTGGTATAATGTGGATTAGAGGAGAGACAACAAGTGAGCATCAACACAATCACCAAAAACAATAGAAAATACATCATTTAAAAGTTAAAACTTGAAAACAAACATACATCCCAGTTGGGATCATCTAGAGATCCATCAAAGTTAAAAAAAAAAAAAAAAAAAAAACACAAGATGGATGCTTTTTCTCTTTCTGTTCTCCCGATCTTTCAAGATTATTTTTTTTTTTTCCTTTCTCCTACTATCCTAAAGAGTTAAGCTATATTCACCTGAAAAATCTTTGAATCAGCTTGTGCAACCAGAAGACGCCTTAAAAAACCAGCTCCCTTCACCGTGTTTTGTATTAAGTTATATGGTTTCGGTTCGTGTCTCTTACGACTGCCAGAAGAGCTCAGAGTCATCACTGTACAAGGAGTAATCTTGTATCTCCAAGTTCGCAACGTGCCAGTTCACAAGTTGTGATTGCAACACTTTGCACAGAAGCAAAGCCACCGGGAATATCCACCACTCGTTCTCGTCCCTGCAATATTGTCAATGGTTAGTTGATTGATGATACAAGAAAGAATGTCTTGTAAGGTTTGCATCTAAAGGTCCTTCTCACATGCTTATGTTCCATGGCTGGAGATACGGAATCTTTTTCCCCGCTGATGAGCCATGGTAGTGTATATATCCACACACAAACGCAACAACCTGCGAATATCACTGTACGTAAGACAAGATTGCAGAAACCAGACAGGCCTTAAGAAAGAGAGAGGAGTACTTACAACATTGACCAGAGATGTGATGTTCCACAAAGCATAGACGCGAGTTCGTCCAGCGGAGCGCCTTGGTCCGTGGCTAAACAAAGCACTGACTCCGGCAGGGAATGGGAAGATGATGCTGAGAGGTAAAACGAACATAGCGAGAAAGACGTCGAGCATAGATATGGAGTAGAGTTGGAGCAGCGTGAGTAACATTAGAGTTAGATCTCCTAAGAGTAGCACCGAGATAACCAAACCGACCAGATCCTGATGGCCAACAGGTTTTGTGTTGTGAATCAAGAAGGAGATGAGGGAGAGAAGATCTTTTTCTTCTTTGAGAAACTGTAAGCTACCGATGTCTATGATCTCTCCACAGTCTCGATGCCTCACATGGTTAGTTATGCTTCTTGGAGATCGCGTGAACTGCAAGTTATCCCTCAAATCACCAGAGTTGTTTTCAATTTGTGTCCCCCTGCATTTTTCAACATTCAAAGAACGTTTTAGATCTTTCGTAACAGCAGAGAGAAGCATAAAAGTGAAAGTTTCTTACCATGGATGCTGCTGCTGCTGCTGTTCTGTTTCATCTATAACTGATGTCAGTTCATCTACAATGGTGTGAACAAGGATTCCATACTGGCAAGACGACGAAGGCGACGCCTGAAACCTAGCTAGGTCGACGCGTACACCGTGTCTTTTCAAAGCAGGGTTTCCGTGAGTTTCAATCCATTTCATAACCGAGCGAAACGTGGACCTCAAGTTCCCTTGCTGAACCAGACGCAGCTGAGCGTTGAGACCAGCGATGAACCGGTACCAAGTTGTTGGTGGGACCATCTACAAAAAGGAGGATAGATTCATTACGACAATGTAAGTCACTGACAAGACAAGAAAAACACCAAGCCACACAAACCGACCTGGCTCAACAGACTGGTCAGGATATCATCACTTTGGAGTGAGTAATAGGCCATGTAACTTCCTTCGCCTCCAAAGAGTAATGGCATTGGAAATCTTTGATTAACCGCAGGAGGAAGATCGTTTCTCTTTTCATCGCCACCGAGGAAGAAATCTAGATGAGCTAACATCAAATCTGGTGTAGCAGCTACCTGCACATTCACATCACAAAGCGTTCATACGATTCTTGAATGATCTAAAAGAAGTGAGCAGAGTGCGTTGGGCTAATAGATGAATATACGTACCTTTAGCCCTTCATACAAGGCCCTTGAACGACAAGAGCGTAGACAAGAATGGTCATATTCTGATCGAACAAAGTCACGGAGTTTCTGAAACTTCAGCCTCCGGCGTGACTGCTGCCAGGACCACGCAAGAGGATAGACAAGAACTGAGAGCATGATGTAAATCGCACCCTCCCACCACTGATACGCAGCTACAGCATTGATCTCATCAACAAATCCATTAAACGCAGCCTCATAGCTGAAAAACAAAAAAAAGAGAGTTAAATTTGGAGCCGAAAACATAAGGTAGTTCACAAACAACATTGAGGCTAATAATAACTAACTTACACAATCTCCTTTATTTCTTCCGGAGGAGTATGAGAAAGATGCCAAGGCTCACTGAAAGTATTAGGACCTAAGAAATAGATCCTATGCATGTGGCCCTGTGATTCTTCCACTCTGCTTGTCTCCATCACCTGAATCAGATTAACAAATATATTAACTATACAATGGAGCATCTGAAAAAAAACTAATGTAAAAGATAAAAGATAAAGAGTTAAGCAAACCTCGTTGAGTGACTCAAGAAATGGAAATGAGTGATCAATCTGAGAACCATGATGGGTTGGGGCAGCCCCATGTCCCTCCTCGCCACTAACAAACTTCATTCTTGCGACGCTAAAAACAAGTGCTAGTAGAAGGAGCACAACTACTAGAAGGATGCCAAACAACCATGGTCCACCAAATGTGTATATTAACTCTTCAAGTGTAGTGTAACAGTGTGGCATGTGGTATCTATCCGAAACGCACTGGTATGGACAAGGCGTTTCTGCAACACCGCCTGTCAAGAAACAAGTAAAACACAACAGAGTTTATGTATCAGACACATCGAAGTTATGTGATTCAAGGCCATGGACCGATCACTGTTTACAAAAGTACCTCGAACAGTGACATATACAGCACGATGGGGAAGATCAGTAGGCGGACAAAGATGACAAAGAGCTTTATCAGATCCAGTAACATTCTTATATGTTCCAGCTGGACATTCCTGTAGAATATAGAAACACGTAGGTTATTGAAGCTAGAGTTTGAGTTTTAATAAAACCAAAACTGTTATGATGGACAGAAACAATAACTTAATACAGAAGTTCAACACTACCTCGCAATATAGACCATGGAGCCCTTGTGGGCAAGCTTTACCAGTCAAAGTTCCTGCCTCTCCAATGTTATCTTCACTGGCACCCAACCCTCCTCTGTAAATAAGACATTATGTTACAAAAAGGCATTAAGAAGAGAAATTAGAGTGCTTATAATAAAAGACTGAATTGTGTATCAAAAAGGATCTGTTATGTCTATGAACATGTTATAACAAACCTTACATAAACTCTTCCCTTTACATTGGCAATGTTATGATAGACATCACCAGTAGGAATGTCTGACCAGTGAAAATGAATCCTTCCACCGCTTCCTCCACCACCTCCTTTTTGACTACCATTTCCTCCAATACTAGTGAGAATCGCAGACTTCGCTACATCCAGTGTGCGCAAGAACAAAAGTACGGTACCACCTGAACCACCACCAGGTCCTACACTTGAGTTACTAAAGGTTTTCAACGTCTTCCTGGGAGTTTCACCATCAGCCGTTACCGAGCCTTCAAGTGACAAGCTTGAAAGTGGGTGCTCAAGTGAACCAATCACTTCACAAATTGTTAAAGTAAAAAACTCATTAGGAAGAGATATACACTTCAGAAACATTCAAATATCAAACACCAAAATGCACAAGATGACTTACCAATGATTCCTCCACCAGCAACTGAATCTATAGACTCTTCATTTCCACTTCCACTTCCAAGCTCACACGGTAGATCTGCATTTCCATAAGAGTCACCACCCTCAATGCAAGTATGATTGTAACAACCGTTTCCTCCTTTACCACCATGTCCACCACCACTCCCAATACCACTTCTCAGAAACCTCCCTGTCCCAACTCCACCTCTGCAGCCTGTAATGCATAACTAAATCTCTCAAAAAAACTAATTCACATTGCAAACAAAAACGACAAGAAAGTAACCACAAATCAAGAAGAACCATCTTAAAAACGAGTATGTGTGCTTGCTTACCCATCCCGTCTGCGGTTATCATTCCAGAAGAGCGTACAACTACAGTTCTCGCCAGATGGAAATGGATAACAGATCCTTTGATGAGACCTTCAACAGTAATATCCTCAACTCGGCAAATCTGAAGAGTGAATGAAAGAGATGCGTTGACATTGCAATCCTCCGGCGGGTGGAGTAGCTCAATAGGGCAATCTTCATGTTGACAGTAAAGCTTTGGAGTACTTTGAAACATAAAACCAAAACATAAAAAGAGTTTTACAGGCTCAGTACAACAAAAACAAGATGATAAAAATTAGAAAAGACTTTTTGTTTGGAAGGATCATCCGAACCTTCAGAACTTACAGGCCACCAGTTGATGCATTCTGGAAAGGACCTCTCAAAACCGCTCCTGCTCCAACCTTCATGAATCATCATAGGAAACAACTGTTAGCAAGCAATAACAAACTCCACAAAGCATACCAAAAAAAAACATGATGCAGTTTGTTTTTCTTACCTGGATGCTATAGAACAGAGACAGAATCAGACGCTGTGCTTCAATTGTATCTCCTTCGCCTGTTAGATTCAACAGACCCTGCCCATGTACTCCGAGGTTTCCATTGGATTGTATCACAGATGACTCCTGTAAAAGAGAACAGGACATCAAACTTGTATAATAGTCAGGAGCAAGATGAAGAAACGGATTATTAGTTACTGATTAGAATACCTTGAGCACCAACAGATTACTAATTTCAAGCATTGATGTTCCCAATATTGTGACTCCACCACCATCTACGAACATTCTTGACTTCAACATCAAGAACACTTTAACTGTCATTCGTAAAGCCCCAAACACCTGATAGATAAATAATAGCCTAGAGATTAACATAGCCTGCAGAAGAAAGAAAACACAATGTTTTTTTTTTTTCAAAACTGCTCATCAAGGTACCTTGATAACAGAATTGCTCATCAAGAGCTCCTCTGCAAATAATTCAAATTCCGAAGAAGCATAACGAGGAAGCCCGAAGTTCAACTCTCCACCATTTGACAAACTTATCAATCCTTGAACCTGTGCAAGACCGCTCTAATAAGACCAACAGATGATGCTTACAAGATCAAGAACCTATCTAATTAGTTTCACAAACCTGGACACGGCTCCAACGCAAGCGAACAGCAACCTTTGCCATATTTTGGATATACAGATTAGTGTAAAGGCGATGGTTAGGGAACTCCAGGAGAAGGCTGTCTGTGTATGTTGTCTTATTGTCGTTATCCATTATTAAACTCTCTGAGATAACATCGTACACTGTCCCAGCAGCTCCAGCATTCTCTGGACAACCAAAACTACTACCTCCTACAACACAAGTAGGAAATTCAAACAAAATGAGTTGTCATGAAACTTAGCATCCACTGAAACACAATGGACTGAAAACTGAATCTAACCATGGATGAAGATTTTAGGGTCAGAACGGCGGCTGAAGATATGGACGGAAACGCGTCCACCACCTCCACCACCATAACCGTCACCTCCAGATGCACTTATCCGACCAGTCCCTTCCCTGTGCCATGAACCAAAACATTATCTTAATACAAGTTTGGAGCTTTCTAATCATTTGTCTTCAAAGTGGTAACTCACTTAGCAAAGAAACTAGTATACGGCTACAAAAAGGCTAATGCCAAATGCAATAATTAAGGATTCATGGCCCACAAATTCGACATAAGAGTTAAAGAAAACTTTATTTCCTAATCAACCTAAGACCTTTTGCAGTTTGCATTCATTTACAACCAACCACCCAAACGTGGAACGAGAGAAGAAGAGTCAACTCTTATTTTGTTTCCTTACTAAAACTTCACTAAACCAATGCAAATGCCTAAACAAATCAAAACTCTCTCACATTAAAGTAAAGAAACCATTAAGTTTCAAGATTTGATTATTAATTAAAGTAAAGTAAAGGAAAGAGTGCAAAAGACAAATTCAAAGAGTGTTTACATTTTATGTGCCATGACGAAGATGCTGCCGCCGGACCCACCACCACCTTTAACTCCTCCACTGGCCCCATCAGCTAAAACGCTACCGTTTAACCCCACATGCCCTAAAATCTCCATCGCCACCGTTCCGCCGCCACCTCCACCGTAATCAACCTCATTGCTCGTGGACCCACCTCTGCTACCGTAAATCTCCGGTTTCTCCAGAGACGACCAACCGTACACATTACCGCCCCACACATCCTCCGGGAGCTTCGTAGTCGTATCCGATAAGCAGCAAGCACCTCTTCCACCGTATCCCCCACCGGCTCCTTCCACTCCCTCCGGCGTACCGCTAGAATCCGCCGGCGGTTCCCCAGCCAATCCGGTTGTGTCCACGGACGAGTTAAGCCCGAATTCGGCGTTTTCCGCTGCGAGACGGAACGTTCCGGCGATGAGAGTCGAGTTCTCAGCCAATGAGAAATTCCCGGAGATGTTGACTGTAATCGAACATCCGGGTAACTGGCAAACCAATCTGACGCCGGGCAAGACGTGGAGATTGCCCTTGCCGGAGATGTAATGGTCACGTGTGAGATTCAAATCGGCGACGAGCTTACACGTGGAATCCAGAGAGCCAACGCCGCCTAGGTCATCGACACATGAAACAGACGAATCGTCGTCATCCGGGTGAGGCTCCGGCGCCGGAGATGGTGTTGGCGGATTGTCGAATCGAATCGCACTCTCATCATCCCACGATTCGATTAATTTCGGATTCGCAGATAACACGTAGAGGATGATGAACAAGGCGAAACAGAGTCGGAATCTCACCATTGGATTGAAATCAATCATCTAGAGATGAAAAACCATGTTTTCGCAAAATGAAGATTTTTGGATTACAAATTATAACCGTTGCGTTGCGTCTCGACGAAAATTCAAAATCGGAGAAGAAAACTGAAAACCAGATTAAGAAACAGAAATTTGTGAAGAATTTATAAGAAGAGAAAGATTGAAGCTTTGAACATGGTGCTCTGCGTCAAAACAGAGGAGGGAGAGAGAGAAGAAGATAACTTTGCTTTGTTTGTGTAGAGAAAGAGAGAGAAGAGAGAGCAAAGAGGTTGAAGGAAGCGAGAGGCGCGCTTTGTTTGGTAAATGCTAAATGGTGTAGAAATTTTTTAGAAAGCTACTAGCTTTCGCGTTACACGTGAGACTTTCTTTTTATGTTGACGAATGAGTTTATGACACGTGTTTATGCATACGACCAAACTGAAATTAAAACCTTTGTTTGTGTCTGTAAACTTTACTTTAATCGTTGTCTTAACAAATAGTAACATCTCTACTTTAATGTTGTTAACGAAAATTTGGAAAACTTCAGTAGACAGAAAAGGGAAAATGTAAAAAGTCTTCCAACTATCCAAATTTTACAATATGAATCTCAATTTGTATAAACTATCAAACAACTCTTCATTTCGTTAAAAATTATCATCGGACATCCAAAATTAACATTTGTGTCTTATGATCATAGAATTTATTTTAACAGATGTGATTTATTGAGGTTCAAGAAAACTCGCGTTTGTGCAGTTGGAGATTTGTGTAGGACTTATGTTGTTGTTCATCTAAGTAAAAAAATTGGATATATAATCGTTTGGATTTGACTCGGAATCTCCAGTTGTGAAAAACAAAATTGTAAATTAACTTTTTTGTAGTTTTCATAAAATCAATTGATTTGTCTTTGTTGAAAGAAAATAAAATATCTTAACGAGACATTGAAAATACTTTACCGGCTTTTGTTCAACAGAAATATTTAGCAATATCCACTTGCTGTTGACCGTAGAACATATGGAGCCAAAGTTTCACTATGCAGTTTTCAAGTCAAAGGTTCGCAATGTTTTCGGCTCCACGTATCCACCTGCATATATATTGTGCGTTATATTATATGCGAGCATAACATGATAACAAATTAAAGTTTTCTGAGTTTAAAGATGAATAAATTAAAACAAGTTGGAGAAATTAGAAATTTAGTTTACGTGTACAGAATTATACGTATAACTAGAGGTTTTTGCGAAAGTGGTAGTTTAACGGTTAATTCAAGAGGGACCAAGAGTACTAATCATTATTTTTGGAATCTATTTTATGTGCTGGAGATTAATACAGGTGGTACTTGTCACGTTTAATGATAATATACTGATTACAGAAACAAAAGGATAATGAATACAATAGTGTGGAAGAAATGACGGATCTCGTCAATACTTTGGGATTGATTGGGGATGAAGCTATGTTACAATACATTACATATGTACGTGTGAGTTAGAGAAACCGACATGAAGCCAAATGGCAGAGACAATAATTTGACTTTTGTCAACGTGTTTGGTTGTTGAGGATTCCCTCAAAGAGGTTGCGTGTTGGTGCATTCCCACTATACGCACGACGGCACAAAGCGTTTTACATTCTTTTCTTTCTCTTTTTGGGTGACATTTTATCTCAGAAAGGAACAAAGCGTAGCACTGGAGCAAGCTTTTTCTAAATGTCGTTGTGTTTAATAGATTTATAACGTGTGTTTTTATATACCTAACAAGATGTTGACTTCATATAATCAAAATTTTCTCACTTCTCGACATGTGAGTGTATAATCATACTAAGACGGTCGGAAGTCGAGAGTTAACATATTTACTGTCCAATCTTTTTTTTTTCAAAACTTTAGCAAAGAAGATATTCACAAGCTATTATTCATTGGATAAATTGGTCCCAGAATTATTTTTTTATATGATTTCGTACGTTCATGAAACAATTGAATTTGCTTTGATATGAAAAAAAAAGGCTTTGAATAAAATGTCGGGCTTTAAAGCGTAAATGAGCTTCTCACAAATCAATAGTAAGTTTCAATCAGAAAAGCTCGATATAATTTGGAACTATTGACGCGAATTTTCTAGACTCTGTATTCGATTTGGATCACTAGGAGAGAAGGGAAATGGTGAATTACGTGCTCAAAATCACAGCTGATCTCGAGAATCTCACAAATCTTCAGCCCTCCGGTGGCTGCGAGGACTCCAACTTCCCTTATCTGTTCAAGGTTTCGCTCTCTTCCTTCACTTTCGCAGGCTTTCGATCTTCGTCCTGATTCTCTTCTTCTCTTTTGCTTTACTGGGTTTTGGTGTACGATTGATTAACGGTTCTTCTTCATTGCCTGGGCTTAAAAACTTTGAATTTGTTGACTGCTTGTAAGATTTAGTAAAGATTCTTAGGTTTTCCTGTTTTAGAGTTTAAATTTCGGCTTGTGAATTAAAGTTGTATCTCATCTCATGATTCTCATCATGACATATCTCTGGAACTGAGTTTGATAGATTAGTAATCTAGTAGAGATCACTTTCAAGGATTGTAGGAAACAAATTTCTCAATTGTTTTTATTTTTGGGTTAGTTTCCAATGATGACACTGTAGATGATTCTCCAAGCGGTTTCTTGCTTGTGTACATACATACATACTAATGCTCCTCTTGTCTTCTCCCCTCATAATTTAGCTCAAATAATAACAGAATGTTGTTTTTCTTCTCTTTCTGGGTGTTTAGTTGAAATGTGAAAGATGCGGAGAGGTGACACAGAAAGAAACATGTGTGACTTTGAATGAGACATTTACTCCTCCTGGAGGTAGGGGGACTTGTCATCTTGTTCAGAAGGTAATCTTTACTCTTTCTTCATCTCTTAATAATATGCATCTCTGAGAACATTCTTTTGTGCTTTTGAGTTGAATTTTGATGGTTTGTCTGCATGATTTTATTCTAGTGTAAGTTCTGTGGAAGGGAAGGGAATGTGACAATGATTCCTGGAAAAGGCCGACCTTTAACTCTGGAAGACTCCGAGGCTGGAGAACATGCTCCTCTTATGGTCTTTGACTGTCGGGGCTACGAACCCATCGACTTCGGATTTGGTGGATTTTGGAAAGCTGAAGCTGCTGTAAGTTGCAATGGTTACACTTAGTTTTCTGATTCCCTTTAAGCTTCGTGTCTAGTATGGTCTTTGATGCTCAATACTACTATAAGCTCTCCTCATGAGTTGTCGTTTTGTTGGGGCTTAAACAGGAATCTGGAACCAAATTTGATGAGATTGATTTGTCGAGTGGAGAGGAATTTACAGAGTACGATGAGAAGGGTGAGTGTCCGGTGATGATATCAAACTTCCGTGCAAGTTTCAGCGTCACCAAGTAAAGTCTGCGTCTGTTGTTTCTATCTTCTGATGACTCTCTACACACTTTGGTGTATGTAAAAACCATGAGAAGATCATTTACTCAACTTCTAATAAAGTTCATATCCTATTTTCTTCCTCTGTTTCTACTACAAAAACCATCCAAAATTTGAGAACTTGCGTAGGAGAAGATATAATAAACAAACCTTTATATACATTAGCTTTGGTTTCTACACGCATTTGTACAAAGCAAATGGATAATTTTGGAAGTACACAATACAGAAGGAAGTGATAGTGAAATATACAGAGGAGAATATTTTGATTCATAAATTACAAACCGGAATAGGAATATTTGGGGATTTGTAGTATATAATAAATGCGGAGAGGGTTTTAAGCACTGAATCCACGGTGAAGAGAGCTCCAAGGACCAGGTGGAATAGTTGTACAAGCCTGTGAAGCTGCCTCCTCCATTTGCTCCATCTGGATCCCTGCGTTGCACATGTTTGCAAAGGACCTCATGTGCTTGATACCGTACTGAGACAGCGATCCACAGTGCCTCTCAAAACCTCTCACCTACACATAAGTCAATGAGTAAAGCTTTTGAAACATCATCAACATAAGATACGAGAAATAAAGTCCTGAGACACATTTTCTATGGCCTCAAATTTATGATATGGTAGGCAACGCAAGTGTCTTGACTTCTCTGTACTCTGCTTAATAATAGAGTGCTGGGCTCCACAAACTTCTCATGAGACTTTTCTATCCCACATCATGATCGATATGATTACAACCATATCAATACGTCTTTCAATAGTGTCCCCATATGTGTATAGAGATCCTCTGAATCTCGTTGCAATGATGTGAAAGATTCGATGATAAGATTGGCAAATGAAAAGTCTCAACGGGCAAGGGAAGTAATTTTACCAGGTTTTTAAGGCAGTTCCAGTCATCAACGAGCGGTTGTCCAGAAGGCCGTACTTTGTTTAGCACTTGAGGACCTTCCGAGATGCCAAACAAGAGCTTCCCGACGAGTTTCACACTGTTGTCAACATGAAGCCTGTGAGACATGGCTTCAAGGACTTGCTTCTGAGCTTCTGTTTTCCTTGTGGAACCTTCTGGTGCTTTCCGGTACTTCATGGAAATAAACAACAACAACATGCAAAAGAATTATATTAAGCAATCCACCGGCACCAAAGACGAGTGGATAATAAACAAACCTTATCCCAAAAATGGACAAGATCTGCGTCACGCTGGTTTGTAACTCTTGAAGAAGGTGGCGTCAGTGAATTGGCATCCACAAAGGTGAAGTTGTCATTGGCAGGGTTTGATCCCATGTAAAGGTCGAGGCTGTTCTTGCTAAGTCCCACATCTCCATATTGCATGACATGAGAACCGTAAGCCGTCCCAACACCTGCAGTCCTCTTTTTCACCTGAAAACACAGAGACGCACTTGAGAACACAGACATTTGCTAACAATCAACAGTTGAGAAAGTTCTAGCTCCATCATTCCAGGCTTTCCAGAGAAACTAGAAGCTTACAAGTTCGTATTGTTGGCGCAGAGTCTCAGTCTGTAGATTGTGCATACCACTGTTGCATTGTAAAACAAAGTATCAGAATCAATATATGGGACACTCATAGAGAATCCTAAACATGAGAAACAGAACACTGCTAGGTTTCAGCTTACCTATCTTCCATCCAAGCAACACTGTATAAGTCACCTAAACAAGTTTCATACTCCGGTGGAGGACTAGGTTCCTCTCCAGGGCAGTAGGTACCCCAACTGCTTTCCTCTGCGTTTGATGCAGTTGTGACGTAGATGTTTAAACCCTCTTCAAGAATCCCTTCAAAGATACTTCCAGATTCACAAGCTTCAAGGTAAAACACCTGCAGATTTGCTTCTTTTTTAGTATCACTCACAAGCAGCACCAACAACAAAAGCTTTTCAGAGAAACCTTACCAAGCTTTCATATGTTCCGGAAGCATGTTTTTGCCTCAAGACATCATTGAGATCATTTGCATATAGGTAAGGAGAAGTCGGCATCCCTATAAATACAAAAGAGCAAAGAACCATCAACTTCTTTTCGTCCACACGAATCTAACTCTCTGGTTTAAACGGAGAGCTCACCGAGAACTCCAGGACCACCATGGTCACTGTAGAATATGAAGATATGGTCATTTGGACCACTATCCACAACCTTCCCACTTCCTCCTTTAACCGCAGTTTTGTTTCCAAGGATCACAGCAAACAGATTGTCAACAGTAACATCATCTCCAGTGTAATCCTGCCATTCCAAAAATCCCCCAAACCAATTAAGCATAAAACCCATTTTGAGAGAATCAATCAGCATATAGCTAAAACTAGAAAGTGTAAGATAGCAAAAGACCTTGGGAACTCCTTGATAGACATCTTTGCCATGAGGGCTGTTGATGATGATCCCTTTCCTTGGATTCTCATCATTATCTGCAATATCATCATACATGAACACCACAATGTTCTCCTCTTTCACTCCTCCGTTCCTCAGAAGTTGATAAGCATGGCAAATATCCGCCTGAGAAAAGTCAGCAACTTTTCAGAGTTTATACTAATCCAACATCGTCGGAATCTGGGCAGACTAAAACTACTTGCGAAATTAGGAAACGAAATCAGCTGATTATTCTCAGAACAGATCACTAAGCATCAGAGGATTTTCGATTAGAGAAAAGAGCAAGGCTTTATCAATAAACCTGATGCCGGTAGTTCCAATATCCGCTCGATCCGGCGACGAGAACAGCCCATCTAGTGCCGGCGTCGTCGTTCTCAGCAGGACGGAAGAATCTAGAAGCTTGCGACGGGAGTCTGATGACATCGTCAGGACCTTGTCTTGCGGCGGAGACGGCAATCAGCGATAGCAAGAGAACGGCGACAGGTGTCATCGTGTTTTTGGATAGTAACCGGGAAATGGTGACGTGGATAGGAATCGCTAGATCGCCGGGGAGTGACTCTGTTAAATAAAGAATCTTTTGGACTTTATCTTTTCTCTTTCCTTTTTGTCATCCACCAATCAGAGAATTTAATGATTTTTTGTCTGATCGGAGAACAAACACGTCTAACTATGTTTGTTTATATAAACACGCAATCGAAAGCTAAGTAATATTTCCTTATTTAAGAGTACAAATGATTATGTCAATTAAGATCTAAGACAATGAACAAACCAAACTATTTACAGAATTTGGAGAAAAAAAAAAACAAACAATTTCTCTATACACAATTTTACAACATACCATTTTGAAACACTACAGTAGATAATTTTATGTTGTTATGCGATACTTATACATTTTTATAATTTATCGTGAGAGGTTCACAATTACACGTATTTGACATAGGATTAGAAATGTGTAGATCGTTACGTATTTAGGGTAATCTTATAGTTGAGTTTGTTGAATCTATAATTTCTCGCTCTCTTTATGAACATGCATACACAGATCAAGTTGATCGAGGACGAGATAATTCTTCCACATACGAAGTGTAAAACGTTTAACGAAATGCGATATTTCTCACTCAAAGCGTAATACAGTATCTTTAAAGAAGATACTCCACATATATCCCATCTGTTAGAGCACAGGCATCGAAGAGCCCAGCTTGGGGCTCTCTAAAATTAAATCAAAATAATTTTCGAAATTTATTTTTGTCTTTTTTTGAAAAAAAGAATAATAAAAAGAAACTGACCAATTGTGTGGCGACATGTGGCCAGAGACTGCTTTTATAACCTCTTCTCAGAGATACGTCTCTGATAAAAATTAAAGCCACCTCATTTTTTTCTTTTTTTTTTTGTTTACTTTTCTCCTATGATCCCGTGTCGAGCCTCTGCAATGCCTGTGCTCTTAGGTTATCAACATTAATTAGAAACGAAATGCCAAATTTTTGTGGGGGCAACAAGACAATAAACTAAAGTGAGAGAATCAGATCAGTTTAGAAAAGTACAAAAGTGTGAATAGAATCTTTTCCTAATAGTCTCTAGCAAGTGACGCAAACGATGAATTATTTGTGTTGCATTATATCGTCGGCATATATCTGCTTTTGTTTCTTTCTGCATCTTATTTTCTTCCACTAACTGATAAACCAAGCAATCAAATTCAAGGCAAATTGCAAGAGATGTTAAGAAAAAAGTTATTAGATCGAGACGTGCTTATCTATTTTTAAGCATATAACTTTGTTTTAATAGATGCAAGAAACAGAAAAATTGTTTAAGAGGTGCCAAATCAATGATGAATAATAAGATATCTTTCAACGGACAGACCATAATAAATATCATAACCAGTCTATGATAATTTTTCTTCTGTAGTATTTGGCTATCACTTACTATTGGTCGAAATCAATATCATAGTCGTTAGATGTTATTATCAAATTTATATAAGAAAACTTAGAAAAAGAATTTGAAGTAGTCAAATACGCTCAAATAATTATACATAGATTCCACGACGTGTGTCCAAAATGTTCAAGTCCTTGTTGGCTGTTCTTTTTATCCCATGACACACACCATTCGATCCTAACATAGTAACATCTATCATATTATTATTGTTATTTTTCCTAATAATCACACGACTTAACATACAACGGCATATATAGATATATATATACACACTCATATGCAAAAAAACAAATGTCGTGTCATCAATCTTTCGTCGTTACTTATTTTTATCAAGAAGGTTTGGTCATCATATTCGTCAATGATGACCTGAGGTTAACGTTTCTTGTTGAGAGAGAGGCACACGACAGATATATCATCAACCTTGGCCGTCGGATACTTCTGTCTCCATGCATTAGCCGCCGCCTCTGTCACCGCACTGGCCGCTGCTGACCCATTCGCCGACTTCATCACCACCGTCGCCACTTCTTCGTTACTAAGTACATCCCATACCTTTACACACAAGAAACAAGAGAAAAATCATTAATTACATAATGACTTATTTATTTCAAATTTGGGCTTTGCTATGGGGTTGTCTATTATTTGCACCCACTTTGATTGGGCCTTAAACAAAAAACCCACTTTAATTCGATTTTTTTCATGGTTAGTCTCAAATAATTTTATTTAGAGTGACGAGAGATATATAGACGTACCCCATCTGAAGCAAGGAGCAAAAATTGGTCACGAGGAGTGATTTGATGCATAGAGACTTGAGGAGTTGCAATGACACCGTAGCTTTTAAGAGAAAAATCACCGAAGCTTCGGGACATGGCCAAACCGGGTCCGTTTTCATTTGGAAGCCATACTCTTAGAATGTGAGGCTCTGCCTCTAAAGCCAACACCCTTCCGTTGCGTTTCTTTATCCTCTCTGCTTCGCCTGCAAAATCAGTTATAACCCAAAAATGCTTAACCATAACGAAACTTGAACGTGCCATTTGTTTAAAACATCAATTTATTCATAAAAACTTACTTGGGACACTTGGCTTTAGGTCATTTGTTAACTGAACCACCTCGGTTTCTCCCATCTCACTAGTTCTAATCATGACAGCCCTCGAGTCTCCAAGATTTGCCACCATAATTTGATTTCCCTGTTCAAATATTGTTGTTAATAAAAAGGATAAATCTCTACTTAATGAAACAACTATACAATTTAGTTCATCTTGTTACACTTCTAAGTTCTAAAACATATGAGTTATTATAACGTTGCATTGAAAATAAAATATGGAACAGTAATTAATTAAACAAATATTACAAACATTATTAGCTTACATGTTTAACGGCGAGAACAGCAGCAGTTCCGGAGGAAGAGCAATCAAGAGTTTTTTTGAATTTAAGAATTCTCTTGTCCATCGCCAGAAACGCAGTTTCGCAAATGAGTTTAGAGTCTCGAGTCACTGAATGATTATTCATATGACCTAACAATAAAGATGGCAACTGGTTTCTTACGATCCTGCTCACCAGTTGACCATATTTCTGATCACCATGCCCATCAAATACTCCACATAAGACTCCGTCTTCTGTTCCATACCCCTACAGTTTTGCCATTCATTTATTTTCTAAGAACACGTTTTTGTGGAAAAAAAACATATGTAGATGTTTGAATATGATTTTAATTTCAAAATGATAATAATTAAACTCAAGTACCAGGTGAAGAATGGCAGCATCTTGATTGAAGCCCTTGCCTCCAGTTAAAGAAGAGACAGATCCAACGTCTTGAGGAACATCATGTTGTTCAGAGTATAGAACTGCATTTTCTTGTCCATAATCATTGACCTCGTAAATCTGATTGCTATCTGTTGATCCTCCTGAGGATAAACACAAACAAAATCCCATATTTCTTTTTGTTTTCTGTTTTTTTTTTTCTTCTTTTGGTTTTTATTTATGTGAGATGAGAGAATATAAGACAAAATGAAAGATTTGATACACGACTTTGCTTATTGAATATACCCCGTTTATATAGCCTTTTGTGAATCTTAATCAGGTGTATGTAAATACATAGCTGTTATATTATATGATAGATATATTCATCTTGATCGATGACTTGTAAATTAATTACTCATTAAATTATTTGACGTAGTAAAATAAGGATTTAATATTGCTTATGTAACTATAAGCCCGTGTTGGCGCTGACACGTATTACAGTTTACAAAAAGTATAGTTACTTATTTTCGTTGAAAATACTATATGGACCATCCCAATATTCGATTGAAAGGGCACATGATGCGGTGGCATGACGTGTGATTAGTATCTTGATTATACTACTAATTGATTTATTCGAGAATATTAATACGCGTTTAAGTTATGAATAAAATTTACTGACGGGATTTCTGTTGTTTGTCATTGCCACCAAAGTAAGACTAAGACGCATCAATGCTTTGTTTTCTTATTTCCTAAGTCTCAATGAAAGGAAAAGTCATGCATCCAAATATGCGAGCAAAGAAAGTTCGATATGTATATTATAAACAAATAAAATCAAGAAGAAGAAACAAATGGAGTTATATGTTGGAGTATCAATGTATCATCGTATTTAAAATTAAACAAAACGACGTATGTAGTTTGTAATTAGAAAATTACGCCAGCTCCCCCTGCCCTTTTGGACATATCAAACGATCCAACTTTGTCAACTCTCACATCCCTTTTCTTCAATAATGATCTACTTTTTTTTTATATATATTAAAGAACTAGCTGGTCTCCTATTCAGAACTATATTCTATCGAACTTTTTAACCAATATCAAATATTTGTTAGTAGTATTTTAATTTTCATAGACTACCCCGCTGCTCAATTAGAGAGGCACATGATGTGTCATCTTGTTGGATTCCAATCCTTGATTAATTGGATTCCGAATTTAAAAATTTAGTCAAACGTTATTAAAATTCAATTATCTTACTTTATTAAAATATAAACGCCGTACAAAAGGGCTCTAATGTGAGATATCGTGAGAGAACGAATGTCGTACATGTTGGCATCGTCATCCTTAAGGGCTAACTAAACCCACATGCATGGCGACATTCTTTTTCTTTTATGTTTTGGTATTTTTTTAGGTTATCCTAAAGTCGTGACCCGTGAGTCTCGTGACCTAAATCTTTTGTGAACTACAGAGTTACCGTACATGAGGTCCATTTTACTAACAAGACCGTTGCTCTAGCTATAACTAAGGATAAACTAAAGAGAGGCAAACTACGCTTTGGTTTTCAATTGATGGCAAACAAAGTCAGTTGTTATGAGTTTTCTTTTGGAAATGGCAATAGAGTTTTGGTGAGATCTATTCGTTGACGATTGTGAGCAGGGGCGGATCTAGTAAAGGAAGAGGGTGGTCACTTGATCCCTACTATTTTTGTAATAAAAAAAATTCATGCTTAATTATGTGATAATTCTTTTAATTTGCTCATGTTTAATGGTAGTTTTTGTTAAACATATAAAATTGACCCCTTGTTTTTTCCTTTTGTTAAAATTTGACCCTCTTGTGTGAGATATAATTCTATCTGTTGCATCATTTTTATAATTTGATTTCTATTTAGTTGTTTATTTTTCTTGATTTTGTTTGATATGCACAATATCTATAAAAATATTCATTATTCTATAAATAAACTTAAAACTGTTTTATATAAGTATGCTTAAAATTATTTTCAGCAAAAAAATTTTTATATTAATTATAATTATATTAGCATTGACCCCACTAAGAAAAATTCTAGCTCCGCCCCTGATTGTGAGTGATTGTTGGAGATGTTAATATCCCAAATTACCAATTCCCAAACAAACATCGAAGATCAGTTTCTCCGTCAATGTGAACATCTATCTAGTATAATAAGAAGTATCGCATTATAAAACACTGAATATTGAATTATGCGTCGACGTAAACATGCAAGTATACAAATATAAACCTAAGTGGCGTTAAATAGAAGCCTATATATGACAGCCACTTACTTAAACTTTGGTGGCAAGTGGCAACCATATCTCTTTCATATTAAATTGTTTTCGGCCTAAATTGTGACAATATACAATTAACACATTTACGATTGTTTAGTTTCTTATATCAAATTTTCATTATTATCATCATGTTATAGTGACATGAGACGGCAGAGTAACATAGTTATCGTTTTGTGAAATATGTGTGTATCTACTTTCAAACAACTTGATTAGCGTGTTGACTTTGCTACACCCGAAATATTATACTTCGAAAGCTTATCGTTCTGAGAACCACACATTTCCATAAACTATTATCCATGGATGAAAAAATAAATTAACAATAGAGAATGAAAAGAAAAGAAAAACAATATTCTGGCATGTTGGCCGATCAAACAAACAATGACGTATTGCACTTTGTGCATTATCTAATATATAATCATATGAAGAGTTTGCTGATATGCTTATCGGAATAAAAGATAAGAGCAGTTACATAACCCAACTCAATTATCTAGATGATAGAGATTAGAGATACAACTAAAATAGTATTGATAAATTTTTACAACAATTTTTTCATTGCATTTAAATTCATTTGGACATTTGTGTTTCTTACTTGATGGATCTTCGAGTATTTTCACATGCGAAACATAACACAAACGTCATGGCTAAAGATACAAAACCACAGTGTTCTCATTGGCTTATAGTCTGAACACTGTTCCCATTGTAATGATCTTCAGCACTTGCTGCATCAACCACAATCACTTTCTTTGCAAGAGACTTGGGGATATCGAGATCATCTTGAGCACATCTTTGTTGAGGATGCGACAACAGTATCGACATGGGCTTGAAAACCGACCGTGCAAGCCCTTGACCGCTCTCAAAGATGTAACCTTCATACTCTGAAACATGTTCTACAGCGTCAACAAGCGAGTCATACACATCTTGAGGACAATTCTCAGGGCCCGGTTTGTCGTGGATGTACATAACATCCAAGGTGAAGAGCTTCTGGTTTATGGGCCAATCATGGGTTGGTCTCACAGATGACCTGCAGTATATGAGAATCTGAAGGGCAATACAACCAAAATCAGTAAAATAGCATTTTTCAGGAGACCGTTTTGTAGAAAATGAACTTACCACCCTCAAAATCCGGTTTTGTGCTCTTGAATTTTTAGCTTCCTGAGCAGCTGCCCGGAACAGAAGCGTGAGATCCGCTCGACCTGAGGATTTAGTAGCTGACAATCCTCTTAGGGAAGCAATGGCAGATTCGGCATTGCTGGTGAATTCCTTTTTAAGCTGAAACATAATAGACCTAAAGTTCAGTTTCAGTGAAATAGGCAGCAGAGAGAAGAGTGTAAAAAGAAGATCTAAACGAAAGTTTCATGAACCACACTGATTTTCTTCTCCACACAATAGTCACTAGTTAAGTCTATGTTAAGCATCAAGTGTGGTCATCTCTGCCGATTTAGAAGCTACAAACAATACATGAAAACAATCTACTTCAGAAGACAATTAGGCTTCGTTTACTATTGATGCTCTAGCTAAACTACCTGAATGGAATATGAACCATGCAAGGATACTTCAAGACCACATTCATATGCTGTTGCAAGCTAAGAAAACTAAAACCATATAGAAAAAAAAATGCTTTTTGTTTGGTTTATATTTGATCCATCTGACCAGCAAACGCAACAAAGGGAAGCAAAAATCAAGCAGACTGAGCATTTCACATACATCCTCTAAGAAGAAGAACAGAGAAACTCAGAAGCAACTGCAAATCTAATACAGCTGATGATTATACAAAAATACAACTTTCATCTCTTAATCTTCTTCGTTTTACACAGCAAGATTGCCATAAAAACTTAAAGCACAATAATTACTAGCTGCGCAAAAATCTAGCTAATCCCAAATGGAACTGCAAATTTCACTCCGATGAACACCATGAATACCAATTTCTTCATCAAAAAAGCAAAATTTGAGGAGCAGAAACAAAAATCAAACGAAATCCCTAAATTACGAGACGACATTGAATCGAATAAAAGAGAGAAACGGCGAGAGAGAGAGAGAGAGAGAAAGAGTACCCAAGCAGCTGATTTGGAGAGGGTGGCGAAAGCAAAGCGATGATCTGGATTGATGGAGAGCTTGTTGTGAATGAATAGAATAATGGCTTGCTTCACGCACTCCATCCTGATCAACGGCCTCCCGTTAGTTCCCGTCGTCTTCATCTCCACCGTCGATTCCGCATCTACATCGACGCAGATGAGTATGTCCTCGCTCTTTATACGCGCCGGTTTCAGCGCGTACCGAGACGCTCCGCCTCCAATCACGACCGCTCTTTCTACCTCCATTCGCCGTCGACGCTCCTCAGATTTCTCCGAGTTGTTGTTTTTTCTGTTCTTACTTCCTTTCTCGTTGAACATGATAAAACGCTGCGTTTTTGCTACAATCAGTCAAACGACAATACGATGTCGTTTTAGCTGCATTTTTTCTTCTTTCTTACGTCAAAATGTTCACGTCCGTGACCTTCATCGTCTACATATTCAAGAACTTGTTTATTTTTAGATAATGACAATGATTAAAATACAAACAAGAATATGAGATAGTAGAGATAAACGAAGAAGTTGTATATACAATTATAATAGCATAAACAATCATGGTACTACTAATTGAGTAAACAAGCTTTTGTAACACAATTATTCTCTTAATTGTCCCTTTCTTGGCTCCATCACTCTAAGACTTGCCCCATTGCCTTGAAGTTGACCATTATTCAACTTCCTCTTGTTCATCTCGGCGTACATCTCTTCTATCATCGGCTTCCATAGCCTAACCCGCGCATTTATAAACCAGTTTGATACCTTTCACCACACACACAAACAAGAAACACTTTAGCCCGCTTTGGCCTTGAGTAAACAAATCATACGTCCGATCAAAATCTTGATACTTGAGTTACAAGTTGGAGTGAGACATTACCTGACTTCTTGTCAAACCACTTCGTATAGCAAGAAGATGTTTCTCCGAATCTTTCGGGTAACTGAAACAAAGCAGAATCAGCATTATCACACAAACAAACCTAAGCAAGACTTAGTAAAGAGTAAACGTTTGTTACTTACGGGTGAAGAAAGTTTTGGAACATCCAAGTCCGTAGAACCGATACTGATTTCTCAGGCAAACCTCGTTGCGGTCTCCATATCTGATGGTTCTTACGTTTGAGCTGCTGAAGAAGGCATTGCTGGTGGAACATTGAGTTCTCTTGAGACTTCTCTTTGCCTCTCTCCAAAACCGATCCCATCATAAGTATCTTCTTGCTGATTCTCTCTCTCAGGTTCTTGTATAAGAAGGAGATGGTCTGGAGAGCAAATCTGGTGTGTAGCTGCGGATCTAACTCCGTTGCAGCGTGGAACGCTGATACAACCGTGTGAATCTCGTCTACACAATGACTATATCGATCATCCACCTATAGAGAAAACTTTCATCAAATTCAAGAAACCATTGCTCTCAGGTTATGTAAGAATGTGAATCATACATACCATTTGCAGAAGATCCAAGAGATATGTTTTCTTTGCTTCCAATGCTCGTCTTTGCGATGTAGATCCTAAACCGGCCTCTGAGTTGTTAAAACCGCCATCAAGAAACTCGGTTGGATTCTCAAAACATGGATTATAGTCATCCCCTGACTCTGTTCCTCGGGATGAGTGACGTGGAGGATAATTCTCTAAGCCGTCGAGTGAGTATGTGGCGAAATGAGAGAGTATCTCCTGAACAGAGTGAAGGTACTTTGAGCCAAATATGACTTGAGAGACATTACTAGAAAGGTCTTTGCTGCTGCAAGAAGCTTGCTCCGAGGCTATTCTTGTGGATTTTGTAGCAGCACAAAGACTTATCTCCGAGCACTCATCAGAAACATCTGTTGCAAGACTCAACGAGAGCTCGTTTCTTCTATTGGAGATCAGGAAAGGGAAATCCTCTTCGTCGAATGTAGACATTATTGGTTCGCTTGGACCAACACCACCTTCTTCTACACATGAATACGCTTGGAAGTCACTGTTTTCTCCGAAATTCCACATGTTGTTTGAGGAGTCATCAAAGGGTCTTAAATGATCCAAATGATGAAGTGGAGGAGGAGGAGGAGGAGGAGCCATGACCTCAAAGCTTTCGATATTGTGAGGTTCTTGAACATTGATAGATCTTGAAGTAGATGATGATGAAGATAAGTACTTATTAGCAAGCAAAGAGTTGAAGATATCAAAGCCACCCATTTGTAGAGGATCTGGTCTCATGGAGTTCCAAGGAAGCATTGTTGGAAATGAAGAGGAATCTTCTCTTGAAGGTATCAAATCCATGAGAAGAGGATTTTGGTTAGTCATGACATTATCCAGAGAACTATAAGTGTTGTTGTTGTTGTTGTTGTTGTTGTTGTTGTTGTCCATTGGGTTACTAGTGAAACTGCATTAACAAGAAGACAAGTATTTAAGACTCAGACAAAGGAGGATTTTCAGAAGATCTAAAAAAAATAAACAAATCTTTGGAGAATAGTAACTAAGTGTATAATGCTGCAAGAGACAGAGAAGTTCGATGAAACACTATGACTATGTCATTAAATATGTAAAATTTTAAAACGCATAGGTAAATGTGAACTGAAGCAAGAATTAATGAAACTGTAAGTAGGCTCAATGATACACAGACCAATAATAATGCAACGATATCTGTGAAAACAGTAAAAAAAAGCTTTAGATTACTACAAATATCCATAGAACATAAAAGTGTTGAACTTGCCTTTATCCTTCTTCTTGGGATGGGAAGATCTCAGGAATCAATACGTTGCAAAGAGAATTTCTTACATCAAAATTTCCAAAATGTGTGTTAAAACTGAAGAAGAAGACAGAGTTTTATTTCTCTTCTTTCTCCGTGAAAGAACACTGTACTTTCACTCCGCAGCTTCTCTGAGTTCTCTCTATGTTCCTAATGAAAGAGAACCAAAAAGGATAAATCAACAATAAAATTATTATGTATTATAAATTAAAGTAAGAAAATCAATGATGATACAACAAAACTGAAAAAGAGAAAAGTGGGTCTGATATAATCTCTTTTGCATGAACGCGAACAATACAAAAAAAGTTTTTTTTTTCTTACTTTTATATAATTTGATGAATAAATCCAGAGTCTTCATCATCTGCCTCACTTAGTGATTCAAAGCACAAGAAAAACAAATAGCAACATATAAGTAACAAAAAAGCTAGTTTTCAAGAAAATGTTTTTAAATTATATCCAAGAGAGTAGTGGAAAAGAAGGAGGGCCAAATCACGTACGGAGCTCCCTCTGTTTATGACATGAATCCAATTTCATATATTTTATAGATCTTCCGACCAGAAACAAAATGAAAAAAGATTAAAGAAAAACAAGAATCAAATCTTATATAATTCTTTATTATAATTTTAGTCTTAAAAATGTTGATAACGTTGATCATAGAGAGAGATGAATCTCATCTATTTATCTCAGGAAATATATGGACCAAATCCAAATCCAAAAAAGAAAATCCAAAGACATGAAGAAGACCGATGTGTTACTGTTTACTACAGAGAAGTGCACTCATTTCTGTTGCAGGCTTTAAATTAGGGAAGAGACCCTACATTTTTACTATTTGCATGTCCCTATATATATGTATGTGTGTATAGGCAAAATAAAATTTGATTATTAACAATAAGAAAATTGGTTTGTCTTCTTGTGCTGGTTTCAATTATCACAAATCAGAAAGAGGGAAAAAAGTAAAGAGAGGTGAGATCTTTTTTAGCCATTTAAGGAGAATTGATGAGATGTGTGATCCATTTGGGTTATTGCTTTTTCTTCTTTCTTTTCTCACCACTCGTGTCTTTGTGTTGTGCCATCAAATCTCATGTCCATTTTAGTAACGTATATTTATTTTTTATATATTTAAGTTCTACGTAACCTTTACAAAATATCAATCAAGTTTGGCACTTTGGCCTTTTCTTTGATTGTTCATTTCTTTTCAAATCTTTTTTTTTCTTGGTTCAATGTGTCGTTATGTGTAACGTCTTATTACACTGGTTAAAAAATAATTAAGGGCTTGATTGGTTATAGCTGTAGTTTTGAATTTTTTTGCTGTAGAATTTATGCTGTAGAATTTTTGGTTGTGATTATAGATTTTAGTGCTGTAAGATTTTTTATTGTAGATTATGACATTAAATACAGCATTAAAACAAAAAAAAATAAGATATAGAAATAATAGATTAAAAAATAAATGTTGAAAACATAATAAGGAAAGAGAGAAGATAAAATTCTAAGAGCACTTAATTTTGTGCTCTAGAAAAATTGTTTTTCAAAGCCACGGAATTTCCATAAACAAAAAAAGTTGCTCTGCATTTCAAAAATGGAAAAAGATAGAATGAGAGTTTGATTGGTGATTTTGGATTGCTGTACAGAGATTTAGTGCTCTGGAGAGCAACCACATCTCCTACCAATCATCCCTAACTCTATAAGCCGTAGACTATGTATAGTAGATGCACATCTGAGTTTTATGCTCTTCGTGTTAAAATATTTGGCTCGATTTACTGGTCTTAGTAAGAAAAGAACAAAATTACATCCCAAAGCGAAAGAACATAAATTAACGTTCAACTCTAGGATAAGCTCTCAGAGTTTTTCTGTGTTAATATATAAAAAGTATAGATGTTTCTACTGATTAAGTGATTATCAATTAATTTTAAGTTAGGTGACGAAATGTGTGGAACTGGGAATAGACACAAAAGCAAGCACTGTGAATTCAGATACGTTTCCTACATGTTTTATCATACACTGTCAACAAATATGTACAATTGTTTTGTTAAAATTGGATATGAGTAATTTCAGAAACATGTGGGTTGATTGACTTGTTCTATAAGACTATTACTTGTCACTCGCGAATCACTTATGTATTATTTGCAAGCCACTTGCGTTTCATTGTGGGTAATTTTGTTTCTTCTTTCTCAGCTTTAAGTTTATAAACATTGATATTTTTATAGATAAATAATAAAATCAAAAGGAGTAGTAAGCAACTAGCAAGTAAACTAAACAAGATACATGTTTTCGAACTTGGTTCATACTTTTCTCGATTAAGTTATTTATCTTCACAATGGTGGCCACTTGCTTTTTCTCAAAGCGGATACGAGACAAATGCCAAATACTTATGTATACTCCTAGTTAAATGAAGCATTCATTTGACAAATAGTAATTGTTACTTTCGATTGGTCAGCAAAGCTCAACGAGAACTCATAGGTTTGAACCAAAAAACAAAAGAACAAAAACTCAGAAAAGCTCTTATAAAGTGAAAAATGGACTTGGCTGTGGAGCTTATGGACTCCAGTACCACAGCACATGAAGAAACAAAGCAAAATGAGACTTGTATAGTATGTTGTATGTATACAGCAAAGGAAGAAAACAAATTACTAAATAGTTTTGTTTCCACTAAAAACTGTTGGAACCCCTAGACAAAGTAAGTACCAATGTCGGAAAATTTAAACCGATTGTACCATTTAGGCTAATTAATTATTATCTAAACCGATTAGTTGCCTAGTCAAATCTTGTTTGCTAGGTTGATGGTTTTTCATTACATACGAACAATATACCTTATGCTACAACAAAATTGAAATGTTGATCATTATTGGGCCAGGTTGATGGACATGAAATGGATGGAAATTCGGGTCCAGTGGCACCTAACGTTAGTTTTTTAGCACGTTTGTGCGGTGTGATGTTGCGGTTTAGTGAAGAAAATCTAATCCTTAACCTCAAATCTAACCTCAAAATGTATCACTTCATGAAATAAAAAATTGGGTATTTGTACTATTAAAATTGAAGTATATGTGGTTTTTGTGGTTTTTCATGAAAACCCGTATGGAAAAACCAAACAAAACTTGTTAAAAACCTTTCTTTTGTAAACCCAACAATTTGAAAATCCGAAATTCTTTAAATTTTAAAAAAAATTTAAAAACCTGGAAAAGCTCATACTAATTAAAATTTTAAATATACAGTTTTTATACTTTTATACCCGGAAATCCAAAATCCAAAAAACTTACCTTAAACCAACGTGAACCCAAAATCCTAAACCTACATAAAATTATGTTAAAATCTGAAAATTTTGTAGCTAACAAAATCCTAACAATGAATTGCATGTAATTAAAAATGACAGCATAAATCTGTGCCCGATATCTGAATTCGACCCAAAAAAAACTCGAACTGAATCCATTCCCAATTTCTTTTTAAAAACAAATCCAATCCAAATATTTTTTATATCTCTAAATCAATAAATCTAAAATTCGGGAAAACTTGTAAAACCTAAAATCCAAAAAATCAATAAAATGCATTTGATAAACTTATGTATAAGAAATATAATATTTTTTTTTAACAACAAAACTAATACTTTGGTGTAACAACATCCTAAGTCCTAACTAATACTTTGGTCTTCCTCGCTAAGACACGTCCTTCCTCCTAAGACACGTGGTGGAAAGTGAAAACAAATAAAGACAGTTAAATTGGTCCAGAAAAAAAAAACGCAAAAACAAAACAAAAAAAAACTTTACCTTCCTTTCCCCTTTCCCCTTTCCGAATGCTATGTAAGATCGATTGCTGTTTCTAAAGTCTACCTTCCTTTCCCATTTCTTACATTGCAAGCCAGCGATTGTCGCAGCATCGAGAAAACTCTATGAAAATTGTAATTCGAATTTGTCAAGTTTGTAAATCGAAAGATTCAGCAAAAAGAAAAGCTTGCGGCCAGAAAACAATTCATATATGAAGAGACTTAATCGTTGGCTATGTTTCCATCCGTTTATTTTTGGGGCCTTGAAGATGACGATTATCTTGGGGATTCTTCTTCAAAGCTTACACTCGATCCCGAATTGATTTTGAATTGATTCCGTATTGTATTTTGTTATGCTTGTCAAAAGAGAAAGTAATATTATATATAAATTTAGTCGGATGAGTTAGGTTTAAGGTTGAGTTATGCGATGCTACTTATATAGTATTAGGTCATGAAGGTGTGCAATTATAAATTTTGGGAATTTAGATATAGCTGAATATATGATATTGATAAACTTAAGAAAGAGAATTTTTAAGTTAGGGAAGTTGACTATTATCTCTCTAAGATTTTTTGCTTTTGAATCAAGTAATTCAAATAAATGGAAAGTTCGCATATATCATTCCGTCATATTTGTATTAGTCACAAATTTTGTTTTACTTTTTATTTTTTTATTTAATTTGATTATAATGTAAATTTGTTATTTTCTTTAGTAACAAATTTTGTTTTACTTTTTATCTTTTCTTTAATTTGATTATAATGTAAATGTTGTTATTTTCTTTTTTTTCCGCTTCATATTTTTAGGACTTTTACCTTTTCAAGATTTTACCACATAATGGATAAGTGTAAGTTTTCTTTTTTTTTGCAGGTGAAATTGGATTTGATTTCACGATGGGCTTGTTTGCATTGGGCTTTTCATAGCCTTTTGAATTCGATTCTGGTTTTGGGGTTTTGAATTCGATTTTGGTTGACGGTTTTAGTGAACCGTTTCTATTTTTATTCTGGTTCGTTTTAAGTGTTATGGGATCCGCGTGTATATCCATTTTTAATCGGGTCGGATTTTTCGGCAAATTAAGTCAATTGTCAAACACTTTTTCTTCATAAAGGGATTGGTCTTTTGGTCCAAAAATTGTCAATGTACTTCTCAATTAATAATAAAGAGATATACTAATACGTTCATATATACACTAATGCATCAACGTACACGCAAAGCATAGACATTGAGATTTCGAGATTTGAATTGTCCTGACTTGAGGAGACTGGTCACTGTAAACTAAAGCAGGAGAAAAACGGGTTGCTTGCCTCGGCCAGCGACGATGGAATAGTTAAGATTTGGAAGCTTGCATGACGCCATGACTAGGCGGGTTTTGCAATTCACACCATTATTTGGTTTTTGATTTTTCAAATTTAGTCAAAGCTCATATTTCATGGTTTAACTTGGGAGTGTTTTTGACATTTTTCCTGTATGTTTCAGTTTATATAGAGATGCAGTTTTTGTTGTAATAAAACGCATCCAAAGAATTAGAAAGAGATGTCTCTTTTAAACCAAGAAGCAATCAGATTAGCGGACAAAACTGCTTTACGTCTGATCTACTCTTTCTATAATGCAAATCACAAAAAAAGATGCCAAGTTCATCGAGTCTTTTCATCTTTTTGAGGTTTCAAATTGCGTGTGAAATTGTTGTAACGCCTTAGTTGCTAAACAAATCGATTAGCTAATTGAACTATAGAGTTTGATATGATCATCAACTTAGTTGGTCGGCCACTCGTTTTATAAGACTCATAGGTAGTGCCGTAGTGGAAAGGAAATTTGACAAATCCTATGAAAATTGTCAAAGAGAAAACTGCATTGTCTAACATTCATGCCCTTAAATTTATAGTAGGAATTAATTAGAAAGTCTAACGAAAACAAAATTATTACAAACTGAACCAAACAGTAGATAAGATATACAGTAGTCAAATAACTTACATAAACTATAACGACCAAAATGACAAGACCTAATTAAAAACACATTAGTCCGGTATAAACGTAACTGTTACAAGTCATTGTATATATCGCTGGAGGTTTTTATCTTTTTTGGTATCTGTAACGGTTATGTTCAGAAACGGAAAAATCTTTTGTCTAGACATGTTTGTATAAAAGAATTTCATTCCATAAATAAGTCCGTCATTATGCAACCCGTGATTCGACCGGCTGAAACATTTGAAGACGTCAAGTGTAAGTGATTGGCGCATAATCAAAAGAGGATTTGGAAACTTGTGAATGCGAATTCAACACCATTTATTATTTAAGACCGAGCAAAGAAGGAAGACGAACAAACAAGGATTGTTAAAGCAAATGTGTCATGGACTGGCCGCAAGTTTCCTCTGTAATATTATTCTCTGGTTTTTGTTTTGATTTCTCGTTAATTGTCTCTTTGTTTGGTTTTGGATTGGTAATGTTGTTCTTGATTTGGTAAAACAGAGATCAAGCTCACTTGCAGTTGGAGAGCAAATCTGCGCCGTCTTCATTCCTTTCTTTGCCATTTTCGATTTCCTCTTCTCCTCCGTCGGACAATGTTTCGATTGCCGCCGCCGCCAATCGCCTCGGTCTTGTCAACACTCGGATCTCGCTCGTCTTGCTCGTGAATCTCGATGTGTGGTTTCTCTCTTTTCTCTTTTCACTCTCACTCTCTCTCTCACTCTCTCTCTCTCTCATTTCATTTTTGGACTGATCCTTACCAAATGGGTTTTCCAATTTCTCTGTTTGGTTTGAATGTGTTTTGCAGTTTCAGTGAATGAAGTAGAAGCTTTGTATGAGCTATTCAAGAAGCTGAGCTGTTCAATTATCGATGACGGCTTGATCCACAAGGTCAGTTTTCTTCTTCTTGTGATCGCTTTGAAAGCATACACAGTATGTAGTTTTAAACTAAACTGTTCATGTCTTCTCACTGCTAATGGGGTTTGTAGGAAGAGCTGCGACTAGCGCTTTTCCAAGCTCCATATGGTGAGAACCTGTTTCTTGATAGGGTGAGTCCATTCTTTAGAGAGAGACGGAATAAACCTTTTTTCATGGTTTCTTGAACTTGTTGGTGATTAAAGTTATGATTGTATAGGTTTTTGATTTGTTCGATGAGAAGAAGAATGGGGTTATTGAGTTTGAGGAATTTATACATGCGTTGAGTGTGTTTCATCCCTATGCACCAATCGAAGAGAAAATCGACTGTAAGGATCATATTCAGTGTCTTACTCTACTAATAAAACAGCAAAGCTTTGCCTCAAGCATATATATAGTTATAATCTTTTGGCAGTTGCATTTAGGCTCTATGATCTAAGACAAACCGGATTTATTGAACCAGAAGAGGTAAACAATGTGCCGTTTTGCAAGTTGCTACAGTCTTTTTTTTAATTTTTTTATGAGCTCAATAAAAGGTTGAGGTTGTTAATGTTTAGGTGCATGAAATGGTGGCTGCTATATTGAAGGAATCTGATATGATGCTGTCCGATGAACTTCTAACCATGATTATTGACAAAGTGAGTTTGTTTTTTTTGGATGAATCAAACATCTTTGGTAGATTCTATTTGTGGTTTCCTCTGACTTGGTTTTGGTAGACATTTGCAGATGCAGATTCAGACAAAGACGGCAAAATAAGCAAGGAGGAATGGAAGGCGTATGCGCTTAAGCATCCCACCTTGTTGAAGAATATGACTCTTCCTTACCTTAAGTACCAAATCTTAACTCTCTTTGTGTTTCAATCTAAGATAAGCTTTTAAGTTTGTGATGATGATCAACATATCTGTTTGAATTTGAAGGGATGTGACGACGGCATTCCCAAGTTTTATATTCAACACTGAGGTTGAAGACTGAGAGGCTGTAATCTTTTTCTGCTTGGTTTAACGTATTTTACCCCAAATTAGTTGGTGATTATTAGATGTAAGTAAAAAATGTGAGGTTGCTATCTTTTGATTGTAGACTTTTCCATTGAAAGAAATGAATCATTTTTTTTCTTTCTATTTCTCCTGTGTCTATGGCCATGTATATGGACCACCGATTCAGACATATCAGATTGGAAAGGATAAACAACAACTGGAATTGAGGCTAGTGGTTGTAGATAAGAATGCATACTGTGAATGTTCTTATCCACAATCAGAGAGGGAGAGAGAGACATTTTTCTGAACTTTCAAAATATGATTTTTAAAGTTGAGGCATGAAAATTCCTAATCACACCATTCCATATGGATAATCATTGCGGTCATCCCATAAAGCCAAAATACTTTGGCCAATTCAAGTTATAACTGAATTAATCGTAATCATTTAACTGATATAAGTTCCGTTTTTTTTTGGTCATGTGTGGAATGTCTATGTATCGAAATTAAATAACAAAGGAAACGAGTAATGGTGTGATTCGCAGCATTCTAAGGAACGTTTACAGTGGGAGTAAGAGAGTGCAAATGTATTATAACAAGAGAAAACTATGAACAGAATGTGAGAGAGAAGAAGAGAAATGGAGAGAGAAAGAGGACACATGACGCATTCAAGCGGACACTGCAGCTGCGACTTGTTCTTCATCTGGGAGGAGAGTGCACACCAGTTTCCTGTCTCCATACACATTGTCCACACGCCCTGTTTCCACATCACAATTGTTTCTCAAAAAAACAGATTCTCCAAACCAAAAAATACAAATGGCAAATCAGTTGAGTTGGATGATGTGATAGTACCTGTGGTCGGCCAGAACTTGGACGAGCGGAGCCACGGGGCAGGGAACGCAGCGTACTCTCGAGAATACGGCTTCTTCCACGCGTCTGCCATTAGCAACGATGGAGGATGTGGAGCTCCCTGATTACACATACAACCAACCCATCAGTGTTTGAATAACTAACAAACAACACTATTGGAAATAAGATGAGTGTTTTCGTTTTCTTGAATTACCTTGAGAACGTTGTTCTGGACATCTGCATTTCCTTTTTCAATCTGTGCAATCTCTTCCCTGATCGAAATGAGAGCATCGCAGAACCTGTCTAACTCCGCCTGCAAAACCATTCGATTATTTACTTAGTTTCATCAAGTTGATATACTGAGAGAGAAAGAGATTTTCATGTACACATATATAATACCTTGCTTTCACTCTCGGTTGGCTCGATCATAAGCGTTCCAGGGACAGGCCAAGACATTGTTGGTCCATGGAATCCATAGTCCATTAGACGTTTCGCCACATCCTCTGGTTCTACTCCAGCAGTGTTCTAAACAACAACAAAAGCCATGTTCGAATCGGTTCATGATAATGAATCACCAAAACAAAGATTCAACATCACTTTGATCTCATAAACATTTTCATACCTTGAAGCCTCTCAAGTCTATGATGAATTCGTGTGCCACTGTTCCGTTAACACCACGGAATAGAACTGGATAGTGTTTCTGTAAAAATACAAATAAAAAAATTGAAATCATGCCTCTCTCTCTCTTTTAGTCTTTGACTCGTCCAGCAAGTATTTGATTGTGAAAAGAAAAAGTAAAGGTACCTCTAGACGCTTTGCCATGTAATTGGCATTCAAAATAGCAATCTTTGAGGCATCAGTGAGTCCACCAGATCCCATCATGGCAATGTAAGTGTATGATATTGGCAAGATAAGCGCAGATCCCCACGGTGCAGCCGAAATAGCACCCAGCGGTACTGTCTTCTCCGGTTGCGGGATACCACCAGTGGGTATCTTTAATCATGGCAATAAGAGAGATTACATCACCAATCACCAAGAAACATTAAAACAGTGATGAAGGAAGGATCAAAGACTAACCACAGGGTGAGAAGGAAGGAATGGTGCCAAATGTTGCTTCACACCAATGGGACCCATACCAGGACCACCACCTCCATGGGGAATACAGAAGGTCTTGTGGAGATTGAGATGGCACACATCCGCTCCAATGAAACCAGGGCTAGTCAGACCAACCTACATGCATGCTCTTACAAATTAGACACATACCTGAGATCTCTATTTGCTGTTTTATTAAGATCTCTCACCTGTGCATTCATGTTGGCACCATCCATGTACACTTGACCTCCGTTTTCGTGTATTATGTTGCAAATCTCGTCAATACCCTCTTCATAGACTCCGTGAGTTGAAGGGTATGTAACCATGAGGGCAGCCAAGTTGTCTTTGTTGGCTTCTGCAGCTTTTCTCACCTCCTCGATGTTGATATTTCCCTTAGCATCAGTTCCAACTATAATAATTTTCATCCCGCACATGGCAGCGCTTGCAGGGTTTGTCCCGTGTGCAGAGACAGGTATAATACACACATTTCTGTGATGATCTCCTCTTGACTGGATCATGCATTCATTCATTTTGTTTATACAGTTGAAAATAAATTGTTAAGAGAAATTATTCAGATCAAGATATAGGATATAAGCTTTTACCATGTGATATGCGCGGATAACCATAAGCCCGGCATACTCACCAGCAGCACCAGCATTAGGTTGCAGTGAGAAAGAGTCAAACCCAGTGATTGTACACAAGAGATCACCCAAATTGTTGAACATTTCCTACACAAATGACGACAAGAAATCAGTCTCATTGTTCTGTTTTCTTGAACATGCCTCATATGAATCAAGAAAGTGGCTCACCTGATAACCCTGAGCTTGTTCAACAGGAGCAAATGGGTGAATGTCAGTGAAACTTGGCCATGTGACTGGCATCATTTCAGTTGTTGCATTTAACTTCATCGTACAAGATCCCAATGGAATCATGCTGTGGCACAATGAGAGATCCTTAGACTGTAACTTGTGGATATACCTGAGCAACTCATGCTCTGTGTGGTACCTAATCACATTGTTGAAAAGGAAACTATAGATGAGATACTGATAATCCACAAGCCAAAAACCAGTCAAGATTCAAAGAAGAGAAAAATACATGTTGAAGATTGGGTGAGTAAGATAAGGGCTCTCTCTTGTTAGGCCAGAAGGAATGGAATTCTCAACCTCAGGTGCAAGAGATTCAGCAGTGAATTCAACCTGAAAGTAAATTAGAGATAATCAGATTTCATGCAAGGAGCCAAAACTGACAAGTAAACAACAAAATAAAACGAATGAACAACTCTCACAGGCTTGCCAGAAGCAAAAACTTTGAAAAGTTTATCGACATCATCCAAGGTAGTTGTTTCGTCAAAAGAAGCAGTAATCTGAAAGACGTTGAGTAATCAATATCCAAATATTCAAATCTGTATACTACTATACAAGTAAGAATCCTTGAAGGTCAAAGCAAAGGAGACTCACAGTGGTTGAGTCCACAACACGCAGATTAATTTCACTCTTGGCAGCTGCATCAGCAATTGCATGCGCATCCGAACACTTAACTTTTACAGTGTCAAAGTAGGGAAGATCTTGCACTTCTGCAACCCCAAGCTTCTTCAATCCTAAGGAAAATATGCCAGCAAGACCATGAACGCGTTGGGCAATAGCTTTTAGACCTGCAGGTCCATGGTAAACAGCATACATGGCAGCCATGTTGGCAAGCAACGCCTGCAAGAAAAGGCAAAAACATTACACAAAAGTGGCAACAACAACAAAAAACATGAAATTTTCATCAACATGAATCAACGTAGGTAGTAAGAAAGTGATTTACTTGAGCAGTACAGATGTTGCTAGTGGCTTTGTCCCTCCTAATATGCTGTTCTCTAGTCTGCATCGCCATACGCAGAGCTGGCTTTCCTGCAGCATCAACACTGACACCAATAATCCTCCCAGGCATCATTCTCTTATACTCTTGTGAAGTAGCCAAGAACGCAGCATGAGGACCACCGTAACCCATTGGAACACCAAACCTCTGAGCCGAACCAACCACAATATCAGCTCCAAATTCCCCAGGAGGCTTCAACATCGTCAAAGCCAGCAAATCCGTAGCCATCACAACCTTAACTCCGCTAGCATGAGCAGTCTTGACAAACTCAGCATAGTCCAATACTTCACCTTCAGTTCCCGGATACTGAACCAGAACCCCACATACATCACCGGAGCTGTAATCGATATCCTTGAGATCAGCCGTGATGACTTTGAGATCAAACCCATCAGCTCTAGTCTTGCAAACATCAATCGTCTGAGGGTGACAGTTACTAGCAATCACAAAGGTCTTCTTTTTACCCTTTTGGATGTTGTTGCACATCGCCATCGCCTCCGCAGCTGCGGTCCCTTCGTCTAGCAGCGACGCGTTGGACATGGGAAGTCCGGTGAGATCGGTGATCATCGTCTGGAAATTGAGCAGCGATTCGAGACGGCCCTGGGAGATCTCAGCTTGGTAAGGAGTGTACTGAGTGTACCAAGCCGGATTCTCCATGATGTTGCGGAGAATCACAGTGGGGACGTGTGTGTTGTAGTAGCCCATCCCGATGAACGATTTGAAGACCTTGTTCTTCGAAGCTAGATCAACCATGTGCGCAATCATCTGGCTCTCGGTTAGCCCTCCGTCGAATTTGGAGAACTTCATCGAATCTAATCGGATGGATTTGGGCACCGTGGCGTCGATGAGGGAGTCGATGTGATCGAATCCGCAGTATTTGGCCATATGGGTTTGCTCTTCCGGTGTCGCTGAGTTGTGGCGACGCGGGAAAGTATCGCTGGGTTTCACAGCCTCGACGGAGATCGAACGAGCCTGCTGCTTCTGCTGGTGGTTGTGGTTGTGGTGGTGGTGCCTCCCTAGATTGCCGAATGCCGTCGGATTGACGGATCCACGGGTGGAGAGGAAAGGGGAGAGAGAAGAGACATACCTCGCCGGAGAGTGAGGAACAACGGACGGGACATGAGGAGTGGTTTCGCCGTTGCGGTTTCGTTTCGCGTCGCTGACGAGACGTCTCACGATCCCACGGTAAGCGAGCCTCCTTGCGCGCTCCATGATACAGTATTAAAGGTGGGAAATTGAAAATGGGATGGACTCAGAAAAACGCAGAGATTTGAAGAAGGTGATGTCTTTAACTTCTAAAAATACTCCGCCATGGATTGGAGAATGGTGGAGAGGTTGGAGAAGGGTGAGAGTATATACAGCAAATGTGTATATTATCACACTCACCGATGTAAAGAAAAATGTATATCACGTCCTCAGATAAACTCTGTTTTTATACTGAAAAATATTTAACATGTAAGAAGAGCGATATTTTATTTTAAATCGTCGAATTTCGTGGATCTCGGGATGTGGTTGGTGAAAAGTATCGAACCATTTGTACAAATTCCACGTGTATCGCATCTAATCAGTAATAGACTAATCAGTTCTACCATATTGTATGATCAATCATAGTATTTGTCTATATTTTTCATTTATTTATCTATATGATTAAATTGGATCTGCGACATCTCTTGATTAGTGCATTTTCTCCAAACAATATACTCCATTTCTTTTCTAACATATCAATACACTGTTTTATCTAGCATGAGCGAAATAAATATTCACTCTGTTGGTCTAACTCTAACTTATATTTTAAAAAGAGTACATGAGAAAAACTGAAGATAATTATAGGAAGTATTATATAATTGCTGTAAATGAAATCTGGAGATAATATATGAAAGGAAGGGAAGTGAAGTTGAAGAGATTGGGATTCGGTGGACAAGAATGTGTTATCACCTTTATCAACCAAATAAGCACGATAGCAGCAAAAATAATAAAAAGAAGTGATGATTGATTATTTTGGTTCACAATCACATGAAAACAAAATAAGATAAATTGGGTGGCGGGATCTGTTTCACAAAGAGTTTATCTCTAGACTCTACATAATAAAATAAATAGAGGGTTCGTCATCAGTTCATCTTCATCCTTCACTATGGGAACCATCGTCCTCCAAAATATACGACAGAAAATGAAATATTCCCGTTTTCAACCCTACAAAGAAAAATAAATCGTTTGAGAGTTCCATTCTCTTTGGAAAAGCTTATTCTTGAACTTTTTTTTATCAAAGAAAAATGTTGCATACGATGATGTTACTGCAGATGAAATTGTTCTCTTGGCCTAGGGAAAATTGGTCGTGAAAGAGCCGGGTGACATATATCCACAAAACAAAACACAACATCCACACGTACTTAAAACGTTAATCATTATACTTTATATGAGGTTCGAAATGATGGAAGGATCAAGGATGTGATGTAAGTTGTAACATGCAATTAACGAATGGATGGCCGTTGTGAATTCGGATATCATTTGGGCTAATTTCATACATATCTATGTACATCAAACGTTACTTGATTTGATTTTGTAAACGACTTGACTTGGCCAAAATAGTCATAATACTAGCCTATAGAAAGTGCAAAACACATTAAGAAGATTAGTGTACTGTGTAAATGACGTCCGTAACAAACATGTTTGATCAAATTATTAATTTTCATACATAAATCACAACAGCTCATAACTTGTGGATAGAAATCCCAAACACACAAAGATATATTAGCATTACAACGAAAATTGTGTTTTTGTAATGAGGTAACGGAAGCTTTGGTTTTAAAAAAGAAGTGAAAACTGATCAAGCCCAAATAGCAAGAGCAGACATCATCCCAGCTCCGAGGAACAAAAAGCAATAAGACACAATCTGAAGTTTAAAATCAACACTCATCTTCTTGCTCAAGAAATCGGCAGCGATCAGATCCACAAGAGCCATGTACACAAGTATCCCCGCAGAGAGAGAGTCGAGCACTCCTTCAGCCACCAAAGCAGCAACACTATAGGAGTTGTAAGATGAGGCAATGGCCGCTCCCACGGACACACCGATTGGGGTAGTGACGGCGAAGAAGAAAGCCATCATGACCGATCCACGCGGGGTTAGCCTGGCCTCGGCGACGCAGCCACCGAGTGCGAAACCTTCGAAGAATTGGTGGAAGGAAAGAGCCACAAGAAGAGGACGTATGGTGCATGGGCTGTGTGATACTCCAAGTGATATTCCAATTATTATTGAGTGTGATACTATTCCCAATTCAAGTATCTGTTTTTTTTAAAGAAAATAAAAAGAAATAGAAAAGTATCATCAGTTAGCTATATTTGGGCAACGAAAATATAAAAATAAATTTCACATACGGATGTTAGCTATATTTGGGCAACGAAAATATAAAAATAAATTTCACATACGGAATCATTTGACTAGGTCTAGGTATCATATTTGACAATGAATACGTCAGAATGCATAACACTAACTAGCTAGTCTTTTGAATACTTTGAAGAACACGAAAGTACAATATGGTATTTTCAAATGATGTATAGCTGGTTATATGAATGAGTGAAGTCAAATGTTTTTTTTTTCTTTTATATAAAGTCCATTAAAACAAATCAAAAGTCAGAGCTTACTATAATAAATTAAATACGAAAAGCAGGAAATGTGTCTTTCACCTGAGAAACAACAACGTGCCTGACACCACTGTCCAAACCTACGTCACCGTGGTCATGGCCGGCGGCGCCACCGGAAGCTCCGCTCCTCTTTGCGAGAGCCTCAAAACCATCGGCGCCCATCGAGAGGCTATGACGGTGATGGTCCGCGTGAGCCCGCATCCCCACGATATGCAACTTCCCGCCATCTTCATGTTCCCTAAGAAAACCGGACTCAAGAAAACCAGACCTTATTTCCCGACCCGGATCCGACAGAACCGAACCGGCCTGACCGAGCGACTCGACGGACTGGTTCATCATCTTCTCCTGTTTCCTCTCGTAGTATCCCGTGATCATGAAATCGGCGAGCAGCGTGAGGAGCGCCGCGACCATGGCGAAGAACCCTGGGAAAGGGAACTTCTTCCATGGAAAATCCGGAAGACACGGGTCGGACAGAGCGTCGGAGCCTCCGGAGAGCATGTGAACGAATCCTGTTGCGAGGATGACTCCTGCTGCGAACGCTTTGGCTCCTCTCATCAAGCCGCTGTTTGACGGGAGGAGGGTCCCGAAGAGTGGGATAGAGACGCCGAAGGCTCCGGTGACAAGGATAGACGCCATTGCTGCGAACTTGAGGGTAAGAGCAGCCGCGTCATCTCTGCACGGGTCTGTCTCTCCCGTGTCACAGCTGGTTGTGAATGACTCTATTTTTTGTTTTTGGCAAAATAAATTACTTTGAAAGGTTAAAAATAATTCATTATGTGATGATAATAGAGAATTGAAGTACCTGAAAATCTAGAAGATAGTGGTCGGAGAAACTGCCAGAAATCCTGAAAACATTTGTAACAAAAAAAAAAAAAAATGTGAGGGAAAAAGGATATATGGAACAATTTTTATAAAAAAGAAAAGAAGAAGGATGGAACAAGGCAAGAACGTTAATAGGAAGGATATATGATGAAGTTTGAAGTTTCGGACCTGTAAGAGAGACATGACTAAGTTGTCTTAGATGGTTTTAACTTGAAGTTTTTCTATTATTGTAAACCAGCAATTAGAGGTTATTATGAAGAAACGAGTGGGAGAATATTACTACGTATGTGTTTGTTTGTTTGTGTGTGCGTGCACGTATGTGGAGAAAGTCACAAGCGGCTCATGATCATGAATGACCATACAATGTCGTCATTTTTGATTACCTACTATCATTAGGAAAAAGTTTAACAATTAGAAGATAAAAGAAAGGTCGCCATAAAAGTGTACTATATATAAAAAAATGAAAAGCGAAGAATGTTTTGCCTTGCGTAGGGATGATCTTTTATCTTTCAATTCTTTTTTTATTTGTAAGAAACGACTTTTTTGGTTTGTCAACCTGCAAAAGAATGACAAATAACCACGTAGATAAAGTGATAAACGATGATGAGTTCACAAGCAACTTGGGATTTGCATCGGGCCGGCAATTACATTAAACTCATACAACAGACAAGGCTTTTGTAAGTTGCGTTGCATTTTCACTGTCTGGCTGGTATTTGAACCAATGTTGGTCCGCTTTAGATATAGACGAATTTGTTATCATCCAGCACTAGACAACTTTAGACATGTGGCTAAATAGGAAATAAATGATACTTTGACTCTTTGAGTACCACTTTGTACTTCTACATATATTTTTTTTCCACATACAACTAATTTTTTGACTAAAAAAGTGATTGTTGGGTTTACATTTTAGGGACTTTGGGTTCAAATTAGATATGGATATCTAGATTTGGGTAAGCCCAAACCCACAGATTTCGCAGTTCAATTTCTGGTTAACTTATTGCTTAATGCGTTAATAATGAAAACATTAGGGACCGAATAAATAAGAATATGCTTTCGGATTTCGGCATATTAAATGATTTATCTGTCTCACCTCTCATCGTCTCCGGGAGAAGCGAGAAAATCCACACTTCAAAAGTCCTCAAGCTTCTTCTCCAACTCTTCGACCCCAAGCAATTTTCCAGTTTTTCAAGTGTAAGCATTCCTCTCTTCTCAATCACTTTTAATTTCCCCCTTTCTGCAACTTCACTGATTTCATTTTGTTGAAATGGATGGATTTCAAATTCACAGACTTTTTGTGTGAAATTCATTTTCGCTTCCATCAGTGTGCCTTTTTTTCTTACTGTTCTGTATACTTACTTACTGCAATGGTGAATTGCTGGCAGATGATCTGCAATCTCCATTTCTACTACCTTCACTTGATCAAATTTTCAGTCTTTAGCTGAACCGATTTCAATTTCGATTACAAAAAAGGACTGATTCTTCTGTTTCTATGCATGCTATGGATTTTGGTTTTTGTGTGAAGAAGATAAGGCTTCTAATTAACCGAAACAGATCAAATTGTTAGTAATGTCCTCTTAAAGATTTTGGCTTGAATTTTGTTTTGCAGGTGATTTGACTCTCTTTGATAGAATAAAGAACAAACCTTTAATAGAATGGCGCATCTACTCTCAGCTTCATGCCCTTCACTAATCTCACTCAGCAGCAGCAGCAAGAACTCGGTTAAGCCGTTTGGTTTAAAGCAAACCGTCCTCAATCCACAACCTCTCTCAAAACCTTCTCTCAAAGGACTTCTCTTCCAAGTCAAACAACACAAGAGAAGAATCTCCCCTTTCCGAGCAACCATAAGCCAACAAGCACCACCTGAGACATCCACCAACAACAACTCCTCCTCCTCCAAACCGAAACGTGTCATGGTCATCGGAGGAGACGGTTACTGCGGATGGGCCACTGCTCTCCACTTGTCCAAGAAAAACTACGAAGTTGCCATCGTTGACAACCTCGTAAGACGTCTCTTCGACCACCAGCTTGGACTTGAGTCCTTGACCCCTATAGCCTCGATTCATGACCGAATCAGCAGATGGAAAGCTTTAACAGGGAAGACAATTGAGCTATACGTAGGAGACATCTGCGAATTCGAGTTCTTGGCTGAGTCTTTCAAATCTTTCGAGCCTGACTCGGTTGTACACTTCGGTGAGCAAAGATCCGCTCCTTACTCCATGATAGACCGGTCCAGAGCTGTCTACACACAGCACAACAACGTCATTGGCACTCTCAACGTTCTCTTTGCTATCAAAGAGTTTGGAGAAGAGTGTCATCTGGTTAAGCTTGGGACGATGGGTGAGTACGGGACTCCGAATATCGACATTGAGGAAGGTTACATAACGATAACGCACAATGGCAGGACTGATACGCTGCCGTATCCGAAGCAAGCTAGCTCCTTTTATCATCTTAGCAAAGTGCACGACTCGCACAACATTGCCTTTACTTGCAAGGCTTGGGGTATTAGAGCCACTGATCTCAACCAGGGAGTGGTTTATGGAGTCAAGACTGATGAGACGGAGATGCATGAGGAGCTTCGTAACCGGTTGGATTACGATGCTGTGTTCGGTACAGCTCTTAACCGGTTCTGTGTGCAAGCTGCCGTTGGTCACCCACTTACAGTTTATGGTAAAGGTGGTCAGGTAAATGAAAATGACTCTTTTTTGGTTTAAATCAAGAAAAATGTGGTTTCTTGATTTTTTTTGTTTTCCTTTTTTTGCAGACTAGAGGCTATCTTGATATCAGAGACACGGTGCAATGTGTAGAGATTGCTATTGCGAACCCGGCTAAGGCTGGGGAGTTCCGGGTGTTTAACCAGTTTACGGAGCAGTTCTCGGTTAACGAGCTGGCTTCGCTGGTGACGAAAGCGGGTGCGAAGATGGGGCTGGAGGTGACGAAGATGACGGTGCCTAACCCGAGAGTGGAGGCGGAAGAGCATTACTACAACGCAAAGCACACGAAGCTGATGGACCTTGGGCTTGAGCCTCATTATTTATCTGAGTCGCTTCTTGATTCGTTGCTCAACTTTGCTGTTCAGTTTAGAGATCGTGTGGACACGAAACAGATCATGCCTAGTGTTTCTTGGAAGAAGATTGGTGTCAAGACTAAATCCATGACCGCCTAAAAAACGCAGATTTGTTGTTGTTAGTAGATTAATGCAAGAGCTGTGTTGTTTTGTTGATACCTCAAACTTCATTTGTGCTTATATAAACATTGTGCATGATCATCAAGTTTTAGATCTATGAAAATGCTTTAGTGTTTGAAAACATTATCGTTTGTTTAATGATTTTACAGACAAGAGAACAAACACTGAAACACTTCATCTTGACGACATGATAATATATACAATGAATATGTTTTTTTTTGGTAAAATTTCAATGAATATGTTCTTCTTCACTATAAGAAACTAACTCCATGGAAACAGAGCACTTGGAAGATTGAGGGTTTATAATAAAATTTAATTACATTTTCTGGTGTACGACAAACATTGGAGAAATGGAGATAGTGTTGGTGGGTCACCGGAGCTATTTTATAATGTCAATGCCTTTTCCAAATACGAAGGAAACTTGTGGGGTCAAAGTAGAAAGAATCGAGTGGTTTTCGTATAATTACCATTTAGCCCTAATGATTCTCCTTTTAAAATTCCTTTTCTTCTTATGCACCATTTATGCACCGGCTGAGAGCGTGAGACACACATAAGTTTAACATTTGTGAGTTATTAAATCGAAAAAAAGACGAATAATAACAAATCAACATTGAGGAAATAATTCTTCGTAGTTTATAGTATTATAGTTTCACTGAAAAATAAAAGCGGGAGGCTTTTGGTGTGGAAGCACTGAGTTTTATCAGTGTATTCCAAATATTGGTATCATTAAACTTGTGTGTTGTTTTTTTGCATTTAAGTGGTTTCTTAAACCAAGAAGATTTGTTATCGTCGTCCGAACTAACACGTTTCTGTTTGCAGGAGCAGTGGATATAAATGACTGCGAGTTTCATCCGATCCAGAGGCATCTCATTGATTTGACTGATTCAACTGACGTCCTTGTCATCTCTCAAGACCAGCGTCTTAATGACGTAATTCAGCACATAGTCAAACGCGGTTACAGACTCTACGTAGCAGCTGGAGCAGCGGACACTGGGAAACCGAGCTGCTACAACCAATGACTAGACAATTTTAGACATGTGGTTAAATTGGAAAGAAATTGATACTCTGAGTTTGAGTACCACTTTGTACTTCTACATTTTTTTTTTGCACAACCAATTTTTTTGACTAAAATGCTCTCATTTCAATTCGTCATATATTTTGACTAAAATGACGAATGATCAAATCAACAATGATCAAATAATTGAGGAAATAATTCTCTGTAGTTTACACTATTCTCGGTTTCACTGAAAAATTAAAATGGGAGGCTTTTGGTGTGGAAGCACTGAATTTTCTGTATATTCCAAATATTGGTATCATTAAACATTTGTTGGAGAGATTGTTGTTTATGATTGATGAGGTCATCGTCGCCATCAGTATTCATCAACTTGCAAATTTTTTAAAATATATAAAAAGCATAACCTTAATCTGGAAGACATGTCACATGATCTACACAAAAATCTGAATCCCACACAACCACCAAGTTGTATAGGTCGGCAACTTTTTATTTCTTAATTATTTTGGATGTAATACTTATTTGCCTGCATTTGCACTTCACTGCATGAGTTCGGATTTTGAAACTGAAAGACGTATCCGCATATCTAGAACAAACTTATGTGAATACTGAAAATTTTCAAAGGTCGTTTTTTTATGCAGATCAACACCCTAACAATTACATTTACGCTAACGAGGACTTGCATGCATGTTTAGGATTCGTAATGATTTATAATTAGACACCCTAATGATGCATTTTGTGTTATTTACGGTAGATCCGTAGATGAAGCCGCTTCAAGATCATTTGTATCTTTAAGCAACCAAACAAAATTACAGGACAAATAAAACAAAAAGATAATGGAGTGTTGGAAATTTGGAATTCATGCATTCCCAACATGGAAAGCTAGAGAAAGGTTGAGCACGACAAAGAGAGACAAAAAAGTTTCGTGCATGGAAGCTACGTTGTAAGTTGTAACTGCGGAGTCAAAAAGATAGTTGCCCTTGTTGTGCTTCTGCGCTAATGAAGGTGTTGTTGAAGTAGTTAGGATCCGTGGCTTACTCGTTCGTCACTATATATATACAACACTATCTTCTGGCCTTGTGTACTTGTACGTAAGACTTTTGTGGATGACTATGCAGTGATTGCACAAATGGTGCTATTGGCTGGCCGAGATAGGTTGCTCTGTCGTGTGTGCTCCCATAGCCTGTGGGCGAGAAATATAAGTGACTGGGCCATAAGCAATGGCATGGCCTTTGTGGTAGAAAATGGTGCATGGGTCTTATATATGTTCTCATTCGTGACATATATTATTGGTTATAAAAATGTTGTCTCTGCGACTTTACCTAAATTGAAACTCCTTTTTTCGGTAACATATGGTTTGAGTATTAACAAAAGTCAAAAAAATTCGACGCATCGCACAAAAAAAAAAAAGGTTTCGACCAAATCATTCCGAAACTCTCTTCTTGGTAGAATAGGCAGTGTGGTGTGACATCAGTATCTATCATTTATTCGGTATAGGTCAATCTTGACCCTTGAAATATGGAACTTGGACTTTTGACCTTATTTGCCTAAATCCTACTACAAAAATCGACCGGTATAAAGGAAGTAACATAGCATTCATTCCAATTACCCAACTCCAAAGAAAGAACAAAAATAAAGAAGAGAAAATTCCTGGTCTTTTCTGAATCTTTGAAAAAGAAAATCAATAATTGTGAGGAGGTAAACAAAAGAGGGTTTGTTTTTGGAGATGCCACTTAAGCCCAGCGTCGCTGTCAAAACCCCCTCAATTATTGAAAGTGGGTCTCCCATTTTTCCACTTCTTATTATTTCTTTTCCCAAACTCTCTGAATTTATAAAACCAAATAATTTAAAACTGTATATATACAATTCCACAACATACCTTTTTTCTACCAAGACACGTTTTATTTTAGGGAAAAACTAAGAGATATGAAATTTTAATGAAACTTCAACAACTTAATGCATAAACTATACCGGCTAATTTACATATTACAGCTTAATGTATAAAATCATGAAATTGTCTAGCTTAGGATAGTTATCTCCATTATACAGTTTAGAGGATCAGGGATGTTTAGCTTGAGGTCTTCAACTACACCTCCTTTTATATCTATTTTGCAATAGTAGTTGAATATAGTCATAAGAGAATGTTTCCTTGAATAGGAGGAAATTAACGTGAAGCCGAGAGCTTGGAGACCTTACAAATAATGATAGAATCTTCTTCCCTCTTTTATCTATTTTATTTCTTAGAACGAAGAAACAAAGAAGCAAATTCACTTTGAAATTGACAAACGTACTCATATGTCATCATAATTTTGATTCTAAATATGAATATTCATATGATGAAGCTAGAATAAATCCATATAATCGACTAAATTCATTGATGAACTATCATACATAAAAAGACCAATTGCCAATTAAGTATATTATTAATGAACTATATATAAAATGTGCAGTAATAGTAGATCAATCCATAGAACCATCTTGCATTTTACCAATAAATCTATGGTTGGAATCTCACATCCTGATCATTATAGACAAACAAAATTATAATCATTATATAAAAAACTAGATCATATTTTATTAGTCCTAATAATAAAAATCCAATTCATAAATAAGGTTGCTGGATCAATGTAGAGAATGAGGAAGCAAATCATATAAAACTTACTACTTACACATCTTTAGTTATTCATAATTCATTTTCTACATGGGTATTTAATTTGATCATCTAATGATAATCAGAAAAGAGAAACCCTAATTTTTTGCTCTTCATACTGCAAAAGACTATTAGAAAGCAAGAAGTAGATGATGAAACTAAAATCATACCCAAAGAGCTCCAACTTGGACAAGCTTAGGAACAAGGTGACCACTTAGATGGAGAGCAACGAGGGACTCGAGACCTCCGACGCACTCACGGCCAATGAAAACAGCCGGCGGAGGAACAACTACGGAGATGCTGCCGGAATATTCTTCGTCGAGAGCCGTGGGAAGAGAGGAAATCTCGTGATCATCGAGCTCGATGACGGTGGGGATGACACCAATTGTTGCGAGGAGCCTTTTCATGACGTGGCACATGCAACAAGAAGATCTGCTGAAGATGATCACTGGATGCTCAGAGATAAGCCGTCGGATCTTGGCCTCCGATGATTCCTCTTCGTCGATGGAGAGAGAAGTTGATGAGCTTTGGGAAGGAGGAGTGAGGTCTAAGCGAACGACGTCGTTTGAGAAACGTTCTAAGCCTAGTTCTTGCATCATAGCAGCAATTAGAGAGAGAGAGAGAGAGATGGAAACGTAATGAGCTTTTTTAAGAGGAAGAGGTGATTTGGTATTTGTATATATAGAAAGAATCAAAAGAGGTTAAAACAAATAAAGGAATCGTAATAATAATATTTATGAAAAATATTAGGGGAAATGGAATAGCCAATAAAATAAGAAGAGAATTATTGGGGAAAGGAAAAGAAAAGGACAAATAATGGGGAGGAGAAGAAGGGAGTGGTGTATGTGGTTGCTTACATCACAAAGTACTGTCTCGTGATGTGTTTCTTTTGCTTTTTTATTTTTTTGTTTCTTTTTCTTTTCTTTCTCATATATGTTGGAGTATTTTTCTTAAAAAAGATTGTTTATTCTGATGAGTTAAAATGCATGGGAGTTCCAAAACCAACGGGATAGATTTTATAGCCGATGTTGACCTTTTCAGTGGAAAAAGGTTGAGCGGAAAAGTATTCACAAATTTGGAGTAGTATTTCGTTGTAATGTTGGGAACTTGGGATTTGGGAACACGACTCCTCCTTGTGCAATATCATGCGTCATACGTTTTGTTCAAGATTTTTCTTTATCCCAATTATTTCTTCATTCGGTTGGTTAACTGAGTTAACTTAACTCTAAAAAAAATTTGCTCGAGCATGAAGTTTTGGAAACGGTATCAGAAGTGTGATTCATTGGGTCTAGAAACAAATGTACGAAATTTGTTTTGAATAAATTTGGTTTGAAAAATAAAATATCGGTTTAACAAAATTAAAAGTTTAAAGATTAAGATAGTGAAAAGGTTAAAATGATGTTACATAGAATCATGTTTTGATGTTCATTTATGAAAAGTATAAAAAATTGGACCAATCCTAAGGCTTATTAGATTGAGATTTTGTTGTCACCTTATTCCGTCATTAGCTAGGAAGCTGCTTGAGGCTCTATTTTGTCTAAAACTTACAAACATAGGATATCAAACTTATCGACCATATAAGTCGTCTTAAAAACTTTTAGTACTCTACTAATTTCGTCTTCAAGTGGAATTACACAGATTCAGTTGTGGATGATATAAGTTCTCTTCAAAACATGACGATTGTAAACAACAACCGCAAAGAGTTATGCATCAAAATTGTATAAACTCACATAGAGTTTAACAGAGAGAGTTATTTCATGACCAAAGTTAGGAATGCATTTTGGCGAAAAGCGAGTAAATACACACAACTAAATGGAGAAGGACAAAAGCATGAATGGTGTGGAAATAGATGAAATGGAGCCCAAATTGAAACGGACTTTAGAGAGATGTGGTTGTACGAGCACCGTTGATGGTGTTGTCTTCAACTTCATGTCTGCCACATGTGCTCACGTAAGCCCATCTCTTTCTTTCTTTTGGTTTAAAATAAAAAAGTAATAATAAGTTTTTCTTCTTTTTATTTTCAGTGGATCCATTTTCTTTTGTTGTCATCTCTTCTTAGTCTTTTTAATATGTCCACCAGGATCATGACGTATTGCTTTTATATTGGTCTCACCTAAAACATTATGTCCTAAGATTCTATATGTAAGATTCCATTTCCATCCATATTCCAAATTAAATAAAAACGAATCTCTGTCCATGATTCGAAAGATATGTTAGTGCGTTTGCGGTAGATTGTATAGTGAAGTTAAACAGCTGCATTTACACCTACCCACAGAGTTCTCACTAGCTAACTAAATAAATATGGCCGTAGCACTGTGTTATTGGTTAAGATGTTGTAAGTCTTAAATTTAGAATTTTAAAGGTGTTTAAGTAGTTTTTTTTGGTTTTAACGTTGAAACAAAAGTTATAAATAATTACTCCTTAAATTTTCATTATTGACCCAAATCGGCCATAAATCTGAATGGGTTGATCTCTAACATTATACAGTAAGTCAAGTCTTGATCTTACAGAGTTACATCTCACAAGAGAATTATCCAAATATTCGAGAAAATAAAAATGTAATTCGCGAAATATACTAAAGAAATAAAAGAAGAGAAATATGGAGGTTAGTTTCTCTTCACTAATCTCACTCTTCCTAGGATAACACGTTAAATAAGTGTGTGCGTGTGTTTTTAGCATTTAACAGCCCTAGGGCTTGGGATTCCCATATATGCTAAACGTGGAGAAACCCTGACTTTAGGACTCGGCCTTGGAGATGGAATTGGTCCGTAAGAATTAGCTGGCGAAACCCGAGGCGAGAGACTGACTTGCTCCAGTGCTTGTGCCTGTAGCTCCATTGGGTAATCTCTAACACACCCAATTCTTGGACCAACTCCACTTGACCATTTGCAAGACAGTCTCTTGGCAGGATCAAATACCGTTCTTGCTCTCTCTTCTTGCTCTGAAGGCATCTCAACTTCTTCTGAGACTTCCTTTCGTTCTTCTTCTTCGTCTCCATTTGATTTGAATGACGAATACTCCTCGTTCACAGCACATCTCTGCGATTCAAAACGCATCCCTCGTTAATACAAACCATTATCTTGATGCCAAGAACATAGAAAAAATCAAATATCCTTTTTTGGGTTTAATTTTCTTACCTTAACATTGGTGAGATCAACATTGTGCTCCTCCAAGAAACTTATGAACTCATTGAAGTTTTCTTCTGTTGGGAGATAGTGTCCACTGTATGGCCATATAGCCTGAAGAAATCAAAAGCTGAGTAAGACCCTTTTAGTTTACATATAACATAAGAGAAGCAAGATAGATAAATTAAGTACCTCAAGGATCCCATCACGAGCGACCAATCTTCCTGCAGCGGTTGTGGCGCCTCCAGATAAGAAGCTCGAGTGCTGGAAAAGGCCTTTCTTTTTAATCCCTACGTATAAGGTTCGAGTCGTGCTAAGTACAAAAATCGACTTTGATTCATCAGTTGAATTGATCAGAGTCATGCTCTGTTTGTATAATAGTCTCCCATCTTCCACTATCACTTCATAAGCTTCTCTCTCCATCTGAAGATTTAAAAACCGTTGATGAGTGATCAAGAAGGTAAAGCTAGCTTACTAGTAGTAAGAAGTAAGAACTCACTGGTCCTAGATATCTGATGCATTGTTTCTGCAGAACACTTCTTGGGTGTTTCTCAAGATTCACATCTTTGCCGTCTCCTATATCCAACCTTTAGTTTCAAATGTGTGGAAACAGAGTTTTTAGTAAAGATCCAAACAGAGGAAGATATAAGATGGATTTTTTTGGATCTTAGACTAACCAGTAAAAGAATGGCTGTGAGCTCTTGCTCCCTGACCAGACATCATAATAGAAGTGCAAGTTGTGGCCATAACGATGACGTGGGTCAATCTGTAAATGCAAGAAAGGGACGGTTAGATAATTTTTTGATATTCCTGTGTTCTACATCACAAGCCCTAAAAATTAGTTTAGAACTCACAAAGAGAGGTCATGTAGGACTTACAGCTTCAAGCCAATGCTGAAGAGCTAACTTCTGAGCCTTTTCATCTTTTGACAAGCCTTTACCAACCTACAAAAGTTTAGACCCACATTGGTTTTTCATAATAAACAGAAATAGTGAAACTAATAACACCTTGCGTTGAAAGTAAACAGAGAGCATTGTGCAAACGATGTCTGACCTTAGCGGCTCGTTTTCTAGCTCGTGCCCATTTGGAAACAGCGGTCTCATGTTTTTCTTCTTCAAAGAAAGACACAGAGCTCAGTTTTAGAGCTGCACCATCCAGAGTCTTCCACCTACAACATTTCAATCAGTAATACCATAGGGTTAAGTTTAAACATCTTTAAAAGACATTAAGAAGAAGAAGAAGAAGATCGATCAAGTAACTCACCAGAGCTCCTCAACAAGGACAGCACAATCTGCTAGGTTCCTTCTTGTCCGGTAACTCTTGTACACCTTTTGAAGCGTAGTTGCAGCTGCATCGAGCTCCGTGACCGGTTTAGGGGAGAAGAACACAAAAGGCTCAGGTGGAGTAACTGTGGGTTTCTTTATTTGGATTCTCTCACAGTTTCTTCCATTCAAATTGTTAGGAGCTGACTTCTTTGTCTCAAGAACCTCAACATCTGAATCAGTCTTGGTCTCTGAGCTCAATTTCTGAGCTGGAGCATCCAAATTCTTCCACCTACAACATTTCAAGCAATACCAAGGGTTAGTGAAAACATCTTTAAAAAAGTCATTAAAAAAGAAGATGACCAATCAAGTAACTCACCAGAGCTCCTCAATAACGATTGCACAATCTGTTAAGTTCCTTCTTGTCCGGTAACTCTTGTACACCTTTTGTACCGTGGTTGCAGCTGCATCAAGCTCAGTGACCGATTTAGGGGAGAAGAACACAAAAGGCTCAGGTGGAGTTACTGTTGGCTTCTCTATTAAGATTTTCTCACAGCTTCTTCCATTCAAAGTGTTGGGAGTTGACTTCTTTGTCTTCTCCAAAACCTCAAAATCTGAATCAGCCTTGGTCTCTTTAGGAATCTCCCAGCTGTTGAAGCTCAACGACCTCTGCATAGTGGTACTCCGATCAATCTTGGGAGAATTCTGGTGCGTAGTATTGTATGTCTTGAAACTGTTGGTTCTTGATGTAAGTTTGAAGCTTAATGAGCCAACTTCAAGACCCATGTCCACAAAAGGATACTTCCAAGAAAATATTCAATATAGAAATCTCCTGCACACATCAATCCATATCAGTATCAGGCTTTAACCAACCGCACCTCTTAAAAAACTGTCGTGGTATTAATAAAGCTATACCAACCAATTATTGATAATTGAGAACATCTGATTCAGATCATTTTTAAAAAATACCTTGTGGGAGTCTAACACAAGAAACGTTCCTTGACGTTAAATGATTAGAAAGGCTCTGTACTTTTTTACCAGAGAGATAGAAGAAGAACCAAGAAAAAAGAGGAGCTTAAAAGAATAAAAAATAAAAGAATGATTATTTTTTTCTTTGGAGAAAACGAAACGAGGGGTATGAATATGACCAACAAAGGTTGAAGAAGACTTATATATATGTAGAGTAGTGTGGGTAGATGAAGACTAGTAACAGAGTAGAAAGTCTTGATTTTTACAAAAGCGTTGAATGTCAAAAATATGACGGAAGATTCAAACTTGGTGTGTCTGAGAAAGTTGAACATTTGAATATTACGTAAAAGAAGGGTAGGCTAGAAGAAAAACAGAGGATGTGGGATCCCATTAGAGATGGAGGCTACTGAGAAGGTAAACTTCATGGAAGTTATTTACAAAACGACAATACATACACATAGATGATACTACTATTACTCGTACTATTCTGAGTTTGATTTTTCCGATAACAACGAGTCATAAATATGGTCTTAAATGTGTTATGTAGATATACACCATAGACATTGTCTTTGTCAAGACTCGTGCGGGTCACGCTTGACTTTTCTCGAGATTTTCCTCGATTTGCAAGGGTTTGTGGTTGGAGACTTTAAGAGATAAGGTCCAAACATTGGAGCATTTTACAGCTCCAACGACTTTCTATAACTTATTGATCTAATTTCCACGTAGGGATTATATAGGCCTGATGGCTACATAAACACTTGTATAATTTTATAATCTCCGCTCACTCTTCTAATTTATTTTTCTTTCTTTTGTCAACTCCGCTCACTCTATCTTTTTCCATTGGAATGTTTTTAATCGAATCTTATAATTATAGTCACCCAATTTGTTATTCATACATAATTAAAAGTTTATATCTATCTAAAAGGATTTTTACTTTGCATTTAAAATATTTAAATTGGGAGTGACAGAGTTAACCGAGATTAAAATTGATGGAAGATTCATTGTTCTCTAACTAATTCTTTTTATCGGTTTAAACATCTCCTGGTTTGTGGGCTGAAACTTAATAATGAAGTGGGCTTTATTGTCGAATTTGAGCGCACCTAATATCCTGTTAAGTTTGCCTCTTAAACCCAGCAAGCAAAACGGAAAACTGAGAAACATCTCGGAGAAGAAGAAGCATAAGCGTGTGTAGAGGAGGAGATGTCGACGATTTACGTGCTAGAGCCACCGACGAAGGGAAAGGTCGTCGTGAATACAACTCATGGCCCAATCGACATCGAGCTGTGGCCGAAAGAAGCTCCCAAATCCGTACGGAACTTCGTTCAGCTATGCCTCGAGGGTTACTTCGACGACACCATCTTCCACCGTGTAATCCCCGGATTTCTCGTCCAAGGCGGCGATCCCACCGGCACCGGAACCGGTAATTATCCACTCCGCCCTCTGATTAAGTCTGTATGAGTCAATTTCTGAACCTTCACGATTGTTTTCTCCTTATAGATCGGATCAGCTAACTCTTAAGAGTGATGTGTAACAGGTGGAGAAAGTATTTACGGAGGTGTCTTCGCCGATGAATTCCACTCGAGACTGAGATTTAACCACCGAGGGATTGTAGCCATGGCTAATGAGAGCTCACCGAATTCGAATGGCAGTCAGTTCTTTTTCACTTTGGATAAGTGTGATTGGCTTGATAAGAAGCACACTATCTTCGGAAAGGTAAAATGAAATGGTTTCCTTCTGCTTCGTCCAACTATTGTTTCCAAAATCATGATCATGTTAAGCTTAGCTGCAACTTGTTTCTCATTCTCTTAGGTAACGGGTGATTCAATCTTCAATGTTCTAAGACTAGGAGAGGTTGATACGGCTAAGGACGATCGTCCCCTCGATCCTGCCCCCAGAATATTATCTGTTGAGGTACATTCTCAATCCATTATAGTGTTCCATGCTGTTATATTGATACTCGTTTTTCGGTATGTTAGTTTTGTGATTTACTTGTTTTTTTTTGTACGTTAGGTTTTGTGGAACCCTTTTGAAGATATTGTTCCTAGAGTGTTAGCAAAGACGTCACATGAACCTGTTGCTGAAGTCAAAGAACTCCAAAAGAAGCCTGTGAAGTAAGATGCTATCCAGGGACAATCTAAAATTTTAGCTTATATGTTTGCTTTGGCTGTTTTTTTTAACATTTGTTCCTTTTGTTGTCTTTGCTGCAATCAGGAAATTGAATTTACTGTCATTCGGAGAAGAAGCTGAGGAGGAGGAGAAGGAACTAGCTGTTGTAAAGCAAAAGATTAAGAGCAGTCATGATGTGTTGAACGATCCTCGACTTCTGAAGGCAGAAGCTTTAGATAAAGAACGGGTACTTATACTGTTTATCCTTTTTTCTGGCATTTATTTTCACTTAAATTTACTCCCCTCCTGATGTGTATTGGAAACCATTTTTTACATTTCAGAATGCATCTGACTCGAAGGAGGTGCTGTCTGTGCGGGAAGCTCTGGGTTCTAAGAAAGAAGCCGCTCAAAAGGATAAAAGCTGGTCTGTATCTGATTCAGCTGGACGTAGCGATGATGACGATGATGATGAAGACGACGAGAGAAAATTTGATGCGAAGATGAGGAATCAGGTGCTTAACAGAAGGAAAGAGATGGGAGATGCGCCTTCAAAACCAACTCAGAAAAAGAGTAATTAGTTTTCCCATCATCTCTCTAATCTCTATTCGGAAATATCAAAACTTAGGATTTGCATATTAGAATTACAAACCAACTCATATCTGTGCTTAGGAATGTTAACTGTTTATCACACGGTTTGGCACCAAGTAATTGCTAGAGAGGAGTATTTTACAGTTTTCTCTGTTCCTGCATAATGTTTATATTATCTCTAGTTATTTCTGGATATTCTAATTTGATTTACTTGTGGTTGTTCTCTTAATAGAGAGGGAGAGCTCTAATGTGAAAGGCCCTGAAGAATCAATTCAAAGGTAATGAAACCCACAATTATACCCACTAATCCACAGTTAGTTCATGTTGCCATAACCAGTAACACAAGCCATTGACTCATTAGTTTTGCTATTAACAGGTCTGATGCTGCAAGTAGTGAAGACGAGAAACCAAGGATGAAAAAGTTATCATTGAAGAAAAAGGGTATTGGTTCAGAAGCCAAAGCCCAACGGTTGGAGAAAGGTGACACTGATTTAGAGCTTTACAACGCTTCTGAACGTGCCCGGCAGTTACATAAGTTGAAAAAACGCAGACTGCGAGGAAACGAGGATGCTGTGAGTTGTTTACTAGCTTACATTTTTAAATCTATTTTCTTATTGATTCTGTACCTCCTTTACTCATTGACTAAATCCATAAGCTGAAAAGTAAAACTTAATTTTGTCTGAGAAACAGTGTTAGTAGACAAAATTATCAACTAATCACTGTAGCCCTCTTGCTCTGCAGGTGTTGGCAAAACTCGAGAAATTTAAGCAGTCCATTTCTGCAAAACCGTTTACCTCGAGTAGTGAACCAGGAGACAACGAAGAAGAAGAAGATGTTTCTGACTGGAAGAAAGTAAAGCTCAAGTTTGCACCCGGGAGTGGCAAGGTAAAATCTCTTAAGTTTCCATCTCACATTAGTTTGGTTCTAATGGATCTAGTACGACACTATTTCGTTCCCTTTCTTTACTTATCGTGAAGATCGAATTATCCATGTTTTTAATCAAACGCTTGAGCTATATGTATTCTGTTTATCGTGTCCCATGGAGAAACTGAAAAAAAGTGAAACTACCCTGCAGGACAAAAGGCGCAAAGATGATCCAGATGCGTATGTTGTGGTCGACCCTCTTCTTGAAAAGGGAAAAGAGAAGTTCAACAGAATGCAAGCCAAACAAAAACGAAGGGAACGAGAATGGTCAGGAAATTCGCTTGCTTGAGTTTTGGAATCTTAACAGTTCGGTTTGTGTTTGCTTCTGTTGTTTTGTTGATTCTTATTAAGATGCCGATTCAGTGTCAAAAGCTCTCCAGTTTTATTAAACTTGGATACATGCAGAGACGTGAGCTTCTTAAACACAAGGTCATAAGCTCATAATGATACAGTTGTAGTATGTTAATACTAATAGATAGATGTTTTGTACGAAACTTGGCAACGTGAGATGGTTTCAAACCCTTTAACTTGCATTTTATCTTAATGGACTCCATTTTTTTTACAGAAAATGTGATAAAACGTCTTTATAGAAAGAATCTGACATGATGTACTATTAAAAAGTGATGTTTCATATTTCACGGCTGGTGTCGACAATGTCTCTTTGCTAATAAACTACTAATAAAGGAAACTTGTTGAGTTGGCATTTCTTCAGTTGTGTCACGTAAAATATAAATAACAAGAAAACACCGAAGCATTTTTAAAAAATAATATGACATATACATAAGTCTGTCTGATTTCTCTTTTTTTGCTTTAATGTAGCATGGTTTTTTTATTGGTTTTTCAGAGAATGAACCAAAGAGTTATTAGCAATATGCGTACATATGAATCTTCTGAACTCCGCATGTGTAACATTCAATTCTGCATGTAAAAAAAGTACAGAAGCCCACTTGCCCTTTTTATCTCTTTTGAGTTTTGATCGACCCTGAAATCTTGATGAGCTAAATTCCAAAAACATTTGCATTTTTAAAAATAAGTTATTAAAAAGTTCAGCCATTGATGTGATGCCACGTATATAAGCCGTCGAAATATAGACAAAACACCTTTTTACTTTTTCGAATTTTAATTGTCTCTAATTATGATTACAACGCAGCATTCTGACGGTTTGCTCCCTCTTACAGCTAGACCACTACCCTAACTCTACTTGTAAACAAAAGTGAATACATTTTTTCCCTTTTTTTAACTTTAGTTTACAGTACACTTTACATACCTTTTCTCCCATCATTCATATTCCCAAAATAAGAAAAACATAAATTATCGTCTCTGCCTAATTTACATTCCTAATAAATGACTTGAAATGCAATTGCTTTTACAAGAGCTATGTTTTGTTTGGTCAACCAGAGAATGGTTGACATTTAGCGTTATATGAAACTGAAACTTATTGTATGCTCACAACTGGTTAATAATACCGTATGAAACTGAACTTTAGCATCGTATGTCTATGTGAAATATAAAAGTTGATGGATTTCTACCTTTTTCTTGTATATTCAACGAGATTGCTGTAAAATGTAAATACAAAGTTCTGTAAGATATCCATGCTGTCCACATTTTATGACTCTCCTAAACTATTAAATTATAATATCATTCCGAAAGTAGAGACTAATGATTCTTTCATTTGTAAGTGACAGTATTTGAATACAAATACAAACTTCACAGTTCCTTATGTGACTTCCATTTAATCTATGTTAAAAACAAAAAATAGCACCAAAATTGGTCTAACTGTTACTCTATGCAAAACTCAATGAAGAAAAAAACTTTCACTTTCACATAATGGTAATTAATTTGAATAATGTACTCCATCATTTACCTAGAGTGACAGTTGAGCTGCGTACACAAAAACAGCAATAGTTGGAAATTTAGATACCTAGTTAATAATTTAGAAATAATTTAAAACCGAAGGGATAGACGCTAGGAACAAATTAATTAAATACTTATAATCACACACCCATCGAATCCTATGCGCGTGTGAACACTACGATCCAATCAGGAAGCAAGCAGCTTCGTTGTCTAAACTATCAAGACGAAGTTCAAATTCCAATTAAGCCCCTGACAGCGACACACACACTCTCTCTCCAACCAAACATATCTGGAAGTTATAACCACGCGCATTCGTAAACGCGTGAGTCTCTTCTTTTCCTCTACTCTCCTGACAATAATCGTTAAAAACTTTATCGGCTAATCAAATAAAGGAAATAAAAATTTAGAAAAACAAATCTTCTGAGACTTTAGAGTATGCAAGTATTTCTGAATCTTTCCCATATACAGAGTGCCATCTCGACGAGAAATCAACACGTGTCCCCTAGAGGTTCGTCGTTTGAGGGTAAAATAGTCAAACCACGTCTCCTCCATCATCTCTCTTTAAGAATTTCCAGAGCGAGAGAGAGTGAGATAGATAGAGAGGGAGAGGTGCTGCTTTCCATAGTCGAGAGAGACCTATTTATACTCAAAAAGGAAGAAGACGACTTGTCGAGAGAGAGAGAGAGAAAGGAGATGGAGGATATTCAGGAGGAAGAGAACGGCGGTACGGACGAGGAGGTGCTGGGATCGAGCTTGACCATGGAGAAAGTGGCGGCTGCGAAGCAGTACATCGAGAATCACTACCGAGCTCAGACGAAGAACATTCAGGAGAGGAAAGAGAGGTACAAATCGTCTCCAATTTCCGTCTTCTCTTTTCACTTTGGAGAGATTTGAGATTTGGAATCATTTTGTTTCTGATTTCTGGAGACATTGTTTAGGGCAAAATTAGTTGTTTGAGCTTGATTAGCTGATTAGCTCTCACCTTACTCTTTTGTACTGCGAGTGTGCGAAGCAATCAAATAGCGAGATTAGTGTTTAGTGTTGAATTTGGTGAGTAAGCTCCGGAAGTTCAATAACCGATTAACCGGCATTTGTTCGATTTTGCTGCAGACGGTGGATATTGGAAAGAAAGTTAGCTTCTTCCGGAGTGCCAAAGGAGGAGCAGATCAACATGATAAAAGATCTTGAGAGGAAAGAGACGGAGTTTATGAGGCTTAAAAGGAACAAGATTAGTGTTGATGACTTTGAGCTTTTGACTATCATCGGAAGAGGTGCTTTTGGTGAGGTTCGCTTATGCCGAGAGAAAAAATCTGGGAATATTTATGCTATGAAGAAGTTAAAGAAATCTGAAATGGTCATCAGAGGACAGGTAAAATTCGTAGACAAATTGTGTTCTCTGAGTTTTATGTACAGTATGTGATTTAGATTAATGCACGTTTTTTGGCAGGTGGAACATGTCAGAGCAGAGAGGAACTTGCTGGCTGAGGTTGCAAGCCATTACATAGTGAAACTGTACTATTCGTTTCAGGATGCCGAGTATTTATATCTGATTATGGAATATCTCCCTGGTGGTGATATGATGACTTTGCTCATGAGGGAGGATACTTTGCGTGAAGATGTGGCCAAGTTTTATATTGCTCAAAGTGTCCTGGCCATTGAATCCATACACAGATACAACTATATTCATAGGTGGCTTTTTGGAAATTACATTCCTAGTTTGAAAGATTTTGGTGCGTAAAAAGTGATATTTATGTACATCTTGATTGATCCTCTTGTCTGTCGTTTCACTCTTTTGTAGGGATATCAAACCTGACAACCTTTTATTGGACAAAGATGGACACATGAAACTCTCGGACTTTGGGCTCTGTAAGCCGCTTGACTGCAGAACTTTACCTTCAATTCAGGAGAATAGGGCCACCGACGATGAAGCTGTTACAGAACCTATGGATGTTGATGACACTGATAACAAAAGAAGCTGGCGCAGTCCCCAGGAACAACTTCAGCATTGGCAGATGAATCGCAGAAAACTGGTGTGTTGTTCTTTTGTTGGAGTAGAAAAAGTCTAAACATGGAGTAATCTTCATATTGGATGAGAACACTTTCATCACTACTTCAGTCTGTTTATTAATTTGGGTGAGAACTTCTGGCTATATTTCTCTCTGATTGGTTTCTCGTTTTATGAAAGGCATTTTCGACTGTGGGAACACCCGACTATATTGCTCCTGAAGTTTTGCTGAAGAAGGGATATGGCATGGAATGTGATTGGTAAGTTGTTTTGTTAAGAAGTTTATCATTTTCAGGATCAACTGTTACGATGATGCATGCCTTTATCCCTTTATTGATAGTGCCGTAGCTGTTCAAAATTTCTTTTCCATTACCTCCTGGGCTGGTGTTTATTTTTGCCCTTGAAATCTTGTTTTGTTTGTGGTCTTTTAGGTGGTCGTTAGGTGCAATTATGTACGAAATGCTCGTTGGGTATCCTCCTTTTTATGCAGATGACCCAATATCGACATGCAGAAAGGTATTACGTTTTGCTGTTATGTTTACTATCCCAGTGAGTTTGCTCTGTGCAAAGCTTCAAACAGTAAGTTCACGAAGTCTTAATTCTTTCTGGTAGATCGTCCATTGGAGAAATCATTTGAAATTTCCCGAGGAAGCTATGTTGTCATTCGAGGCAAAAGATCTTATCTGCAAGTTATTGTGCAACGTTGACCATAGGCTTGGCACAGGAGGAGGAGCCCAGCAAATCAAGGTAAGAATGTTCCATGGGAAGACTTGGTAGTACTTATGATAAGCTTTGTTAAATTTCCTTTAATAACATGTTCCTTAAATTTGCTTTAGGAACATCCTTGGTTTAAGGGTGTTGCGTGGGAAAAGCTCTATGAAATGAAGGCTGCGCACAAACCAGAAGTGAACGATGAGCTAGACACACAAAACTTTATGAAGTTTGATGAAGTATACCGTAAATTCTTCTTTTTCGTTTTCTTACATGATTTGAAAATGTTATCTGGAAAGTTAGACTATCCTCATATTACTTTAAGCGCTATCATAACTTATTACAGTATATATTAAGACTCTAATTCTGGAATTTCCAAAATTCAGTCTAATGTAACTTTGTACTAGTTATCCTACAGATCATACCCGTTATGTTTAAGTTAATATTGATAGAGATCAACCACTCTTTTGATCCAATTAGGAACTTAAATTGGTGACAAAATAATAATTTAAGTGCATTGTCACGTAGCTTTTGTACGATATATGAGGGTTACTGAACTCTGAACTTGTTGATATCATCTCAGGTGAATTCTCCTGCACCTGAAAGAACTAGATCAGGCCCCTCCAGGAAGGTTTGTGATTATTATTTGTGTATACATTATCATGCAAAGTTTATTTGCAAAGTGATAGATAGTAAGCAACCTATTTTTCTTTTGAACGACCCAACATTTTCTTCATTTGGTGCAGATGCTTCTTGCACCCAAGGATCTAAGTTTTGTTGGCTACACATACAAGAACTTTGATGCTGTAAAAGGGTTGCGTCATTCATTAGGTACATTAAAAAAGCCTATAACTAAATCATTCTCAACCACGAACCTTGACTCGTGTATTTTTCTTGCCTAATAATCTGTTTTAAGTAATTGAGATACACGAATTCATTTACTCTAGGGAAGATTCTGACTCATTTCTTTTCCAACACTGTAGAGATGGCAAGAACTATGTCTCTGGATCGATCCCCAGGTAACCTTTTGCTTTTCACCGTTGGAAAATCCCATTCATTTTTGCATGCTCAGATCCATAAGCTTCAAGTTCATGAAAAAAGTTGAAATTGAGAGAAATCAAAACTGTGTGCAGCTGAGGCTATCCCTGTGGAGCGGATAAGCGGGGAAACAGCAGAGGCTCAGATGGTATCATCGATGGATGATCCAATGATTATTTGAAGTAACCAACCAAAACAAGTAGTTGAAGATATATATAGTCTTCCTCAGGTTTCGGAAACTCATCTTTAGCCTTTCTATTAAAAAATGGAAAAGTGTACAGCAAGCCCAGAAGTGAACAAGAAGAAGATCGACAATGGTTAAGCGTTTCCTGATGATTCTGTGTATTAGAAGAAGAAGAAAGAAAAGGGGACTAGAGGATTTGAGTAAAGTCTTTGTGTTATATTAAAAGCTGCCCAGGTTGGCTAGTAGTAATGTTGCCTTCTCTAGTGGCAGTTTTACTGCAACATTTTTACTCTTTTTTTCTTTCACCTTCGTCTGTGTGTGTATCAACTTTAATTTTATAAATTTGAAGACCCACCACTGAGGAGTGAGGACTTTATTAGAGTGTATATTTGAGTTCTGTCGGGAGTCCATTTCTAACCAAACTTGGAGACAGGAGTTTGATGTGTATTCTATTTCCGGTTATATTTTTCGTTGTTAGTAATAGTAATCGTGAGCAAGTCCATTTGCCTTAACCCAATTGTTCAAAGTAGAAAAGATCAAACGTATTGTTAACCAGATCCATAAAATACAGTGTACTAAATGAATTGTATTGAATTTGAAGATCTATTTTTTGCCGTTGTGCTTCTGAAGGTTGGTTTAAACACTACAAGTTCCAATGCCTCATAAAGATGACACTGGGAAGATGAGTAAAAGTGTAAAACGAGTCTTCTATCGAATCTTTATTCATTAAGTTCTTCCATTAGTGTATTCCCAAGATGATTAGTTTGATCATTCACCAAGTTTGACCTGTGTTATATGCGACTTTTGCACTTCCATTGGAGTTAAATTCGTTGGAACACGTATCCTCTATCTATCTATATATAGGCACTTCTCTTTTCGCTTCACTTTTACCATTACAGATCCTTTCATATTCTAAAAGAAAATGTTTCTCGAAGTAGATTTGGGCATAGCTCGTATCAAAACGACAATAGCTAAATATCAAAAACAGGTCGATGAAGCCATACAAGCCCTGATGTCTAGTTCCATGAACCGTAATAGGTTGATCGGCTTGGACACGATACAATGGCAAACACCATCAGGAAAATCCAAAATCGCTCTCCTCCAGCTCTCCGATGGAAGCCAGTGCCTTATAGTCAGGATTGTGTACTTCTACCGTCTACCACAGTCTCTCTTCAACTTCCTCAGCTTTCCGGGTTTTACCTTTGTAGGTTTTGGAATCAAAGATGCAATGGCTAGTCTCAGGGAAGAGCACGGGCTTGTGTGCAAGAACGTCCTCGAGGCTGGACACTCCGGGTCGCGCAGTTCAATGCTTTATTTGGTGAAAAATGAGCTTAGAACTATGCCTATACCACCAATTCATTACATGCCAGCCACTTGGTGTCCTGAAGATGATCTCACAGATGATTTAGTCAAGCTCGCTGTCTCAAATGCCCATACTGCATTTCGGATTAGAGACAAACTTATTTTCTATCCTTGATACAGTCATCTTAAGAAGCAAAAAAGTAGTTTCATTTATTTTTGGTTTGCTTTCCGAATTTACTCCTTTGCCTCATTTTCTTTTGTATTCTTATGGTCAAAAGTCCTTAAAAATATGGAACTGTAAGGAACCAGTAATATCTGCGTTTTTGTTTTCTACATTAGTCATTATTCATATTAAACATTCGGTTAACCTGACTATCATGAACGGAGCTTCAATTTTCAAACGCGATTACGCTTTGTTGCTAGCGTTAGTCATCATCCTCTACACAATGGATACGTTTCCCGGGTTTTGGTCGCTGAAAAGCAAACTTTATTGGTGCCAAATCCAAATTTTGAAAACTGCTTTAAAAATTCAGTGTTTAAAAGACGAAACAACAAAGGTTTGCTTAAAGAACATGAGCATCATAGTTAATTCTGGAGAAAAACCTGACACAAATTGAGTTAAAAACTTTCTAGTTTCGAGAGAGCTGAGCAACGAGCTGTGTGAGATTTTCTTCCTTCCTGATACTCTCAACCCAATTGGCGTTAATGTGAACCCTTTCAATGCTCTGCTTCAAGGTTCTTGCCATCGAAGGCTTCGATCTCGTTGCAAAAAACTCTTCCACTTCTTTGGCCTTCTCAAACGAAGCAAACTGAGACGATGAACATAATAAGAGGAAATAAATGAGCGAGCCGTGAAAAACCAAAAGATCTGTTTTATGAATACACGAAGGTTCATTTTAAGAAGAACAAACCGGAGAGACGACTGCACTAATGAAGCGTGTAAGGAGAAATCCGGAACCCCATGTGTCCCCAATGTACTCCCACTTCTCCTTTAGCCATTTCCAGGCTACTTCACGTCCTTCCCAGCTTACACCGGAAAGTCCATAAACTGCATCTTGGTTACGGACCTGTACAAATAAGAAATATCCATTGTTTCAAGCCTAATGATGTTATGATTGTTCACTAAATCTACAGAGTTGTTAGTAAAATCCATATATATACCTCATCAGACAATACGAAGTTGAGAACATCTACAACTATGGCGGGATCTGGGCAACATGCTAACGAACCTGCAAAACCACAAAGGAAGAATTAGTAATTGAACCACAAATTTTGAACTATTTATTCTCTGGTATGAGACACGTTTGCAGTCAAGTTACCTAAGATTCGTGTTTTCTCTTGGCTGAGGTCTGTTTCCCTATAAACTTTCAAAAGAGACTCATAACCAGATTTGTCTGACTTGTTGGCTCTCTGCATTACAGCAACATAAGCAGCCTGCAAAACACAAAGCCCATACAGATATTTAGTTTAATATGTCTGCCATTCCAATTTCAAAGCGTGATTGGGTTGTATAATAAGGAACAAACCCTTCTAATGTCAGGAGGCAGAAGAGAAGTGTTCCTATCAGCTAAGAATGCATCAAATCTCCGAATTGCTTCGTTTAGTGTCTCATCATGCCCAAACACAGCAAGTACAGTTAAGACCTCCCCTCTCAGCATAGCATCTAGATGGCTCTCTCCTTGTTTAGGGTCCCAGCCAAGTTTCCTGTAGGAACAATGAACATTGTAACGACATTGATTCTTTTATTTCCGTTTGGTATTGATTACAGTTTTTTTATGTTGGTAAGTCTAAATTCTAAAGAAGGGAAAACAGCTAACCCAGCAGCAAATTGGAAAACGCCGATGAAAAACTGTTTAATCCCAGAAATCAGTTCTTGACTTGCATCTGCTCCAATCTTCACAACTTTGTAGCTTATCTGTATGGAGGAAAGAGTAAGAGCCAGAAGCGAAAAGCATAACTATGCACCAGGGAAAATTAAAGGCAAAAAAGGACAGATCCTTACAGCGATGAGGTTTGACAGCACGGTGTAGTCAAGTTCCTTCTTGTAAGCACTGGTCAAAGTGAGTAAAGAGGCCAAAGACTGCTGACGAGCCATGGAAAGTGCAAAAGAATCATCCAAAATACCTATGGAAGAAAAAGTAGGATATATTTCATCTCCACAAGAGTTCCACAATATGTCAACCAGAGAACAACAATTCTGCAAGGTTACATTACCATATCTATCAATAGCGGACAAGCTTTGGCTCTCTGTTGCTTTTCTGAGTCCAGCCGCAAGGCTATCATCATATTTCACCCTGTAAAATCCAGCCTGGTCGACATTAATTTTTATCCACGAACATGTCGCACTGTTTTTGTCACTGCAATCGGCAATGGAGCAGCCCACTAATTCCTTTAGATCATATGCTCCAGACTTGGATTCCAATAAGAAGTTTTTGCGCTTGTCATATGAACCACAGCACAAGGTTACTGGCACAATCCATTCTCCTTCCCCAGGAGAACCGCTTGACAAGAAACGAGACTGTAATTTCAAAATGAATTTATTTAGTCGATTATGCACAAAATATAATTATGAACCTCCAACCTTAGTGGCATTTGAAAGGGTATAAGAAGGACATTCAGCAAGGGGAATAAGTCTACGAACCTGCTCAAGTTCCAATTTTCCATCTTTAAGTTTGGCTGAGACAACAGGATATCCTATTTGCTTTGTCCAAGAACTCATAAGCTTGTTCACAGGTTCTCCTGAACCCTTTTCCAAAGCATTCCATAAGTCTTCTGTCTTTGCGTTTGAGTAGGCGTGATTTTTAATGTATGCAGCAAGTGACTTCTGCTCACGAAAGCCATACAAGTAGGGTAAGAAGATTTGGAGACATTAGGTAAAGTGAAAATAGAAGCCCCCATATTTTACATGTATAATTTAAGAAGATAAAAGCTGCAATTCTCATAACAGAAGAAGATGGCATGAGCAGAACCTGAAAAACTTCAGCACCAAGATAGCTTTGTAGCATACGGATGACAGATGCACCCTTCCTGTAGCTTATTGCATCAAATATTTCATCAATTTCAGCAGCATGATTAACCTCCACCTGATAGTTAAAGGAAAGAAGGCACTAAGCTTTTACGACACATCATTTTTCATTATTGTGCCCCAGCTAATAACACAGACTTATTTTAGTTACCTCTATCGGGTGGGACTCCTCGAGCCCATCTAGCCTTAGACCCTCAGTAGATTCGTCTAAAAACTGGGTCCAGATTTTCCACTCAGGGAACAAACTATCAGTAGCCAAGTAGCTAACCTGAAACAGATGAATAGTAACATTACATTTGCAACAAAACTGAAAATCATTGTTAATACAAAGACCTAAATTTGCAACTTACCCAAGTAGCAAACCCCTCGTTCAGCCATAGATGAGTCCACCACTCCATAGTGACAAGATTGCCAAACCACTGGTGAGCCAGTTCATGGGCAACAACAGTGGCAACCTGGCAGCAGAAAAATTAACTGCTTTAGATAATTTCACAAAGGCGCACAAAGCAATTTCCATTAGAGGAAAAAAAAAGGACATGTTTGCAGTACCCTCTGTTTGTTAGAAGCTGCTGAATGCTGTTCATCATAGAGGAGAGCTGTTTCACGGTATGTAACTAAACCATAATTCTCCATAGCTCCAGCAGCAAAATCTGGTATTGCTATCATATCCATTTTGGGAAGGGGATATGGCACAGCAAAGTACCTACATGAATGATAGGAGTCATTTCGAAACGAATATGATACAGCCTAAATGTATAAGTGAGGCAATGATGAATTATGCATGCACATAAAGATTCCAAAGTCACGAAGGACCTACTCTTTGAACAAATCCAAAGTCTTGGCACCAACATGCAATGCAAATTTCCCTTGGTCAGCTTTGCCCACTTGACAGTATACTCTGACTTTAATCCCTGAGAACAAAAAAATGACAGTTGATTTAGAGCTATTAGAATTAACAAGACGGGAGATAATAATTTTGATAAAATGAATAATTACCATCAGATGTATGATCTTCCACATAGTCAAACAAACCAACAACAAATGCTACCAAATATGTAGACATAATTGGTGTCTCTTGATAGGAGACAACCTTCAGAGCCCCATTAACTTTCTCCTCCACGACGGGCATATTGGAGAGAGCCACTAACTCAGTCGGCACCTCGAGGGTAATCTTGAAGGTAGCCTGTTGCAGAATGTGTAAATATAGATAAATAGGACGAAAGAAAAACAAAAATGCTGATAAAAGAGAAGGTTCAGAGAAAGGACATGTACAAACCTTGCAAGCAGGTTCATCCCAGCAAGGGAAGCATCTCCTAGCATCAGCTGGTTCAAACTGGGTAACTGCCATATTCTTCTTCTCACCATTATGTTCATAGGTACTACACCAAGATAGTTTGAGGGATTAGCCCTTATCTATGTAAATTCCTAAGTAGAGAAAAAAAGTGATACTTTACCTTCTGTAGAATCCCTTCATTTTGTCATTTAGTACTCCAGTGAACCCCAGTTTCAGAACTCCCACTCCATGGGGAAGATTCTCACCAAACTCAAGCACCAGAATCTCATCCTCTTCAAAGAGAGAAACTTTTGGAGCTGCAAGCGCCTGCTTAACAAAAAGTACTCACGTTATACTTTTTACTTGCAGAAACGAAACATAAGAAGCAAAAATCCAATATTTTCTCCTACTTCTAAAGATGTCAATCCAATCGAATCCCGAGAAGACGGATAGCTTTCTAAAGCTCAAGCTGTAGTTTTTAGTTAGTAACCAGCTCAAACAGAGCAAATCTGGCCGAAACCTAGTTAATCTATCACTGGAATCAAAATACATAAACCATATCGAAGTTAATCATGAAAACATCTCTATTGCGTTAATTGCTCAACGAACAAAGCATCAATACCATACTTCTTATCACATTATCGAAAATCAGAAACCATATCATTAACAACAAAAATAGAACGCGACAGAGCTAATGGATCGGAGCGTTTGAAATACCTTGGAGGAGGCAGGAGGAGTGAAGGAGACAGAGGCATCGTTGACGGAAAGATCAGCGGCATTGAGAACGATGAAGCGAGTATCAGCGACTATATCCAGGTCGATGGAGACGGTTCCGGAGAAAGTGCAGGCGGTGAGATCGGGATTGAGGCGGAGATCGTAGCGCTTGGGGACGGCGAACTTGGGGAGACGAGGCTGACCTTTGAACTGATCCATTTTTCTTAAGGGATGTTGTCAAAGTGCAAATAAGATTTTTTTTTTTCCTCTCTCTCTCTCGGATCCTTTATATAATCGAAATCGCAGTGGAGGAAGGTTTTATTTTATTTTTATTTGGATAAAGAGAGAGAAGTGTTTTATGTTACGCCACGCGAGATGATGACCATCACATGTACGTGACGTTGACCCATTATGTTATATGTACTTTTCATAAAACAGCTGAACATAAAGTACACACAACTCTCAATTTCTAAATTCGGGTGTAAGAGTTTTTCATTAGCCATCTTTGATGAGAGTGACTTATTATTGGAGCGAATGAAATTTGTTGAACTAATAATCTTGGAGTTGTAAACATATGTAATGTGATTTCGTATCGCAGACGACGAAATGATAAACTCTGCTTCATTGCCATTTAAGGACTAAACAGTCTGGGCTCCATATCTTAGTGCCTTAATGGGCTTAACAGTCGAATGCCAGCTTCCAAAACGACAGCGTTTTAATGCTTGAGTTAGGGCTTTTGTTTTGTCTGCCAAGAAAACGGCGTCGTTTGCGCGTTTCCCCACTCGGTTCGTCGTCGTCTGGGTCGGTTGATTGATTTGCGGGTCTGGGTCTGAGAACAGAGAGCTCAACGTGACAAGGAGTGCTCACGACGAGAGTCTGAGGTTTACGGGTTTTTGCCAAGGCTAATATCATTCTCAGATTCTTCTTTCTCTGCTCTAATCGAATATTTACCACCCGTTCCGATCTAATTCGGGTAAATTTCATTTCCTTCATAAAAGATGTCTGGTTCTGTCTTCTGTGCATTAAAATCCTGTTGTATTGTTCGATTTTTTCAGTTTTCATCCTAATTTATCTCTCTGTTTGGTTTCTGTACGTATGCTCATTAAATAAAAACATGTTTGATATTTGGAAAGAGACTACATTTGGTTTATAATCGTTCATGGGGGAAATGTCTTGTGTCAATGTGCAAGGAGCATGCTTTTGTGGTCAACAACTTTGAAAGCTTTCTCTGTTTTGGTCCTCTGTTTTCTCTTTTTCATTTTCTGTAACTGCTTGTCTTTTGGTTATGTTCGAATGTACTTCTCTGTTTTCGATGAGTCATGAAGCTTGTGTTAGATATGTAATGTCAAGTGTTTACACATTTCAATTTCTGTTTCTTCTTAGGATTGATATAAATCTTTGAATTATAGATGGATTCTCGAAGTTGCTAAAGCTGACAAATTATTAGTGACTGCGACGATGGGCTTGTTGAAGAAAAAGGATTCAACTTCTGGTCGCTCCTCTACTTCCCCCTGCGCTGATCTGCGAAATGCTTACCACAATTGCTTCAATAAGTGAGTTTCGTCTCTTCAGGCATTGTTGTATTCCTTTCTTCCTTTCAAGTTGTTCCTAAAAGTTGCATCCTTTTTCTTGATATCTACAAGATGGTACTCGGAGAAGTTTGTGAAAGGCCAATGGGATAAAGAAGAGTGTGTTGCTGAGTGGCAAAAGTACAGAGCCTGTCTCACGGTAAACACTAATCATGTTTTTACATGATACTAAATCAAGTATTAAGCTTCTCTTTCTGAGTTTTCTTTTTCGGATTTTCATGTTATCAAACAGGAGAATCTAGATGGTAAGCTTCTCACTCGCATTTTGGAGGTCGATGGTGAGCTCAATCCAACAAAGCAAGCTGCTTCTAAAGAATCCAGTTAGATCATTACTTGACCCCCAAATGTTTCTCAACTTTAAAACAGATTAATATCCATTGAGCAGTTTTTATGATAGGAAAAATAAAAACCATATGAAATCAAAGTGTTTTAGGAGATTGTTGTATTGTTTAAACGTTGCAAAAAATTCAAAACCACCAACGAATTATTTATTCAGAGAAGAAAGAGGTAAATCATTTCTTCTTGAAGAGGAAGTGAGAAACCATCCACTCTTCTCCATTGCTGTATCCAAAAAGCTCAGCGACAGCGATGAAGAAGGTTCTCCAGTAAACCATCCACTTCACTGCTTCCTCTTTCCCATATGTCATTTCCATTATCTCCTTCACTGCAACTATCTCCTTATCCATCCTTTTAAGCCACTCTTCACTGCAAAAGATTCGTACTATAAATTAACAAACATCACAAGACACAATAATCATCTTCTTCTTGCTTAATATCACAACAGCTTTTTGAAGTTTTTACCTGGTCTTTGAATAATGCTTCCCGTTTATGAGCCAGTGATCCACAATCGAAACATTTTCCTGAAAACAACAACATTACATATGTTTGAATTATTGATGATAATCTACTGAAACATGCATGGAGAGTTGTATAATGTGCATTACTTGGAAATAGAGGAGAAGATTCGCTGAGGGCATTGTTCCTCCGCTGAAGAAGTATCTTGTGATCCAGTCATCGTCATTCACATCCTATAGTTAATCAAAACAGTCTCAAATTAAGTTTACAATCATTGCCAAGAAATATGGTGAAGTAAACTAATCAAAACAAGAAGCTAATGTATTTACTCATACCTCAAAATGGTAAGCAAATGTCTTGTGGCAGAAATAGTGAACAAACAGAAGACTATCTTCCTTCATCCACCCTCCTATCTTCTTCAGAAGCTCTCCATAGTTTTTCATATGCTACTCACAATCCCAAATAGAAAAACATCAAAATCGATGACACTTGATACACATCAGTCAAGCCTGTAATGAAACATTTTAAAAGAGAAAAAAAAATCCAAACCTCAAACATTTCGATGGAGAAGACTCGGTCGTACGTCTCTTCATGCTCAAAAGTGCTAATGTCCCCAACCATTATTTCAATATTCTCAAGCCCGAGTTTCCTTCAAAACATAGACAAGTGAAGAAACCATTTATAGTAGAACTTGAAGCTTGAAGCTTATGATGTATATGACAATGAGGAAAATACATTACCGGCATTGCTCATCGATGAAAGCTTTCTGTGTTTTTGAGTTGCAGAGACCGGTTATCTTGCATTTGCTGTATTTGCGAGCAATGTACAAAGACAGAGATCCCCAGCCACATCCGACATCAAGAACAGTTTGTCCATCTTCCACTTTAGCTCTTTCGCAGTAAAGAGCCAACATTGCTTCCTCTGCATCTTCTAGGCTACTTGAATCGTTTGAGAAATAGCAAGAGCTGTACTTCATTTTTCTTCCAAGAACAAGCTCGAAGAAAGCTGTTGGTAACTCATAGTGTTGAGTCTTTGGCTTCTCGGTATTGATTGCTATTGGCATCTCCTTGATAGCTGAAATATATATCATTCATAAGAGACTTATAAACATTTTTGTGAAAGAAAAAAAAATGAAAATCATCAACAAGTTTAAATTATTTTTACAAAGAAAGTTTATGCATCACAAATATCCGAGTCTGAAATATATCATGAACAAAACTGTCCTATAGTTTATTTATTTTGAATTATGGCCTTGAATTAGTCTTCTATATGCGTAGAGCTCGGATATTCAATTAATAACACAAAAGTAACATGTATAATTTTTTGTTTATAAAAATAAAATTTGTCTTCGCGGATCTCTCAACAAACAATATCCAAACTAGAAAGATATACACTATTTTTTTTTTGGGTAAAATATACACTATTTTTTTGTTAACATTTCTTTTTGAACATTTACACTAAACAAGATTAATGAATCTTTACTCAAGACGATATGTGGTGGAGAGAACTATGAGATAAGAAACTCGCTGTATTGTGGGCCACTAAAGTCATCTTGTGACAGAAGAAACTAGAACGTTTTTGTACTAGAACGAAACGAAAGTCGTCTTTAACCTTGAAATCGTACGTTTAACAACATAAAAACGAATCAAATAGAGTAGAAGTTTGGTACGTCACTTACAGTTAATGAAACGGAGGAGATCGGAGAGTTGAAGCTCCGCCGTGGGTTTGTAACCGGAACGGAGACGACCGGCCAGAAGAAGCCGCGTCAGCCGCCTAATGACAACATCCGGCAAGAGATTCTTCTCCAACAACGTCAAAACTGCCTTCACGGATGCGTTATAAGCTACCTCAACAATCTTCTCCATTGCTCTCTCTATCTCTTTCTCTCTCTCGCCTCCTTTTTGTTCTGTCTCTTGAGTTTTCTCTTTTTTTTTCTTCTAGTTGTAATCTTAATAAATAGGCACAGATTTGTTTCTCAATTAACGCACCAGCTGTTTCATTAGTCGTACAAACAAATTAATGTACCAGAGCCACCAGGCATTCTTAATTTACGTGTATTACCTTACTTAGTGCTTAAAAACTGAGGTTTAAAAAACAAAAACAAAACGTGCGTTCAATTTTAAAGTTCTAAATCTCCTTAATGTTTGACCTTGGTATTTGGATAAACTTTTCAGTTTTTTCACTATCAAACATCAACAAAATCTTATCTCATCTTATCTCTTTGGCATTGTTCCATTTTCTACTATTTCAGTATTTTAACTAGGCAAAAAAAAAGAACAAGACCAGCGCCATATACAATAAACATGTTATTTTATATTTCCATGTTATCAAAGATCTTTTGTAAAGCTGTGAATTCATGCATTTCAGGTTTCAAGCAACCAATAACTTCGTTTTTTTTTAAATAGTCTAGAGATCAAGTAGAAAACAAAACATTGTACATTTTTTGGAAAATAAATGATCAATTTGGTTTTGCCAACTTACACTTAGGGGGTCTATAGGTCTGCACAATGCATTATATGTTTAACTAAATAAAGAGTATGAATCGTTGCTACTCTTGCATGCCCATAACCTTACCGGATATCGTCAGATTTGCTAAGCAAATTCAGAACATTGCTGTGGGTTCTTTTTCAGAAATTATAACGTTGAGTTCCTCGGTGAGTCCAAGTAACACACCCTGCATTTTTTACGTCCAAGTTACTTTTAGGCAATCAATGAGATCAGGAGGAAATTTGATGAGGAGGAACAAGAAATTATTGATGCTAAGCAAAAGGTATATGCTGACAAAATCTTTTATCAGTTTATGGTAGATCAATTGAGCAATTGATCATGGTTCACTAACTTTTTTTTGGTTCTGGTGTCACGTTGAGAAGCTTATCAAAGAATTATCCACGATATATGGATAAGAAATCTCAGCCGAATCAAAGCAGCAGTTGGTGATCATCCAGGATCATCTTCCACGTGATTTAGTTGAAGCAATTTTGGTTGGAGTTCATGTCTCACATCTTGTGCACTTCAACCTGGTTTCCAAAGAGTGGAAGAGACTTCTCAACCAAAAGCAATTTGTGGAGAGAAAGCTGGTTTGGGATAAAAAGAATGAAGCACAATTTCTGCATGTGAGGGTAACTGAATCCCACACACCCTCACATACCTTTGACTCTTTCTCTTCTCAGGTGTGGTTGTTTGATTCCAAACCATCTCCACCAACATACATAAAAGTGAGAGAATTATGTGGGTAAATTGTTAGATCAATTTGTGAATGTGATGGAATGCTTCTATGTGTCACTATCTCCAATTGGATGGTCATTTGGAACTGCAATCGTCCATCCATATGCAGATGGATACAATTGATAAATATGAGGGATTTTCAAAATTTGAATCTTTATACATGAAATTAATTTCATCAATTACAATAAGATATCAATTGGATAGACAAGGGTATCTCTTTCTATGACTTGTTCACTCATGGACAAAGTGACATGACCTTCAAGGTTATGAAGTTCAACTTTGGCTAGCCTGACATACCACTTAGATACTGAGCAAAATTAGTACAAGCAAAAGTTGAAAGAACCCACATCGACCGATTCAACAAGCTGTCTTTAACTTCAATTATTTGTCAGTAGTGTCCAAGTTTGATTCAGGTGCCAAAGAAGAAGATTAATGTCTCTTATGGTGAAAGTTGTCTCGAACATTGCTACACATTGTGTTATATCCTGGCTGAGACAGTATTGTTTTTTTTTTTTTTTTTTTTTTTTCTTTTGGTAGGTTAAAAAAATGGATGAAGAAAACGAAGTAGTTATAAAGTTGATATTTGGTGTAAGTGTTCCTATGATTCTTGGGGAAGTGTTTGGTTCACCACATCATATAAAACATTTTTGCTAACCTTGTTCACATTTCATGATTCATCTAAATAAATGCATAAAGAAACTGTTAGGAGAATTCCAGATGATGAATGATCTCCCAGCCTTCAAAAGGAGAAGAAGAGAACAACTTCAGGTCTTTGAAAGGTACTTCCCTTCATCCGAACCTATTTTCTAAAATAATCATTACATGGTTTGATTTGATCGGAATGCTGACTGTTTATTCTTTTAATTTTGACACATAGGAGAAAAGCATCAGAAGACAACCCCACATATGTTTTGACTAGTTCTTCTCCAGGTACATTTTCATTCTTTCTTCCAAAGTATTTTTCTCTGTTTTTCACTTTCTGCAGTTGAATTCACTCTAAACGAGTTTCTTCATTTTGAAATCAGACACATACACAGGAAATTTCGTCATCAATAAGCAATCTCAACCAACTTCTTCAACGATTCCAAAGCCAGAGGAGGACGGTGTGGCGAACATTGGATTAGCGTCTATATTACACAACTATGACAATGATGAAGACGAGGATTGATTTCTTTGCTTCTTTTTCTTTTCAACAGGCTTCCCACCTTACAATAGACACTCTTTTAGAATTTCGAACCCTAAGCTTCTCCATCTCAGCCTCAACAAGAACATAGATTCAACTATAATCTGGCATTGTGGCTAATGGCTAAGGACCACATCATCATCTTTTTTTGCTTCTTCATTCTACTTGTAAAGCTTCACTATCCACAGAAACCACTTGTTTCTTCTCTCTTTTCCTTGTCACCTGTGGAATCAGAAAGAGCAATCATTTGTTAAGACACTAAAACCAAAAAATGCACACAAAAAATAGAACTTCAAACAGAGTCATACCAACTTGTTTGGGAAACTTTGTGCATTAGTCAACTTCGAAGGTGCAGAGTAATGAGACTTCTTCTGTAAAATCTCAGAGAGACGCCGCTCGTTCTTCTCTTGCCTAAGTAAATACCTCAAGGAAACCGATTCTTGCTCAAGCTTCGACACCGTGATTTCCAATACAGCTAAGCTGTCCAAAAGCTCTTGTGCCTACAAAAGCTTTCAAGAAAATTTCAAACACCGAAAAAAGCAACAAAGAAAGAAAATATCTGTTGAAAGAAAGGATTGACCTTATCAGGAAGTTCACAAGGTGACTCCATGAACGGCGAGCTAGAGTGCTCAACCGCGCTTGTTAGAGCTAACCGCAAATTGACCTCCTCTTGTAGCTGCTGCTGCAGTCTCTTAACCTGTATCATCTCAAAACATTACTGATTTGTACATAGTGAATAAAAAATCTAAGAGCACAAGCACACAAGCAAATGGGTATGATGGTGATAGATCTGACTCAGCTTACTTCTTGTTCAAGCTCACATTTGTACCATAGTTTGCTCTTGCCTTCAAATCTACTACTACTTTGATCAAGCATCTTGCTTTCCTGCTACAAACAAAAAAAAGGTAACTAGTTTCAAAATGGATTGATGTGACCCTAAACCTCTCAAAAACCCTAGATTTACTGAATATCTAGTTTTTGATCAAGAAATGAGATAATAACGAAATGGACAGAGAAAGAGAGCTGCATTACATCGAGATCAGGGAAATACAAAGACCCATCTCCTGAGGAGTAAGATCTTCTCGAAAATGTACCATTTTTCTTCAAGTACCTCCGGATCGAGCTTCCCCTGTCACAGGAGAAAGAGAGGAAGTAGTGCAGCATCAGCAACAACAAAAAGAGAAACCAAATCGAGAGAGGGAAACGAGCATTGTGGGAGAAGAAGTACCAATTGATGGGAAGACGGAAAGTGGGATTTCCGCCGGAGCTACGATCGGTGGTGCTGGGAGAAGAGGAAGAGGAAGCTAAGGTTTGATCGTCGCGGAGAGCTTCCGATTTGAGACAGAGCATCGTTTCGTCACGGAGCGGAGAAGAAAGAAGAAGAAGAAAGCTGATTTGTTCAAAGTCAGAAGAAGCTTTCAAGTTTTCTCCAGAGGAAATTGAATTTGGTTGGGCTCACACTTCACTCTCTTTCCTGATTTCTGCTTCTCTCTTTTATGATTTCTGAAGAGAAAACAAAAATGAAAAATACAAAAGCTGAAAAGGGAAAAAGGACGAATTTATTCGTGTCTCAGACAATTTTTGACTCCTTCACTCACTCATTCATTTTCATTTACACTGTCTCCTACTTTTTCGTGTAACTCAAAAACAAAAAAAAACAAATTCGGCCAAAAAAAAAGTTATATGCTTAAACCCTTTTTCGGTTTTCAAATTTCTTTCTCTCATTTCAGATTTCTCATAGATCAGAACAGTGCACTTTCACTTAATTATAGCTGTTGACTTGTTTCTCTCATTCGAAGAACCATATGGTTAGTCAATTGGACAAAACCGGATCTACCATTTCGAACAAAGTGTGTATATGTTTTTATCGCCGTTCAATTTGTAGAGGTAACGCCGTAAATGTAGGGGACGACCATATTCTATACGAGTAGTAATTAAATTCATTTTTATTTTCCGTTTCCGTTTCAAGTCCCACCAAGTGCTCTAATGCATGATTATTACGTTGGAGCGTTCTAGATTGCTTTTTCAGATTTGTTTTTTTTTTTTCCCTGTCTTGAGAATTTATTATTTCGTTTCGTCGATTCGATTTATCCTTTTTCTCTTTTGATTTCGATTTTCCTCTGCCTCGATTGGGTGAATTTAGGGTTCGATTGGCTCGTTTGCTTTGGATTTTGATTGGTGTAATGTGAGAAAGGTTCGTTATGTTAAAGAGGCAGTCTCTCGCCATTCTCTACAGAATCGCCCCACGATTCGATTCACAAACCCTAATGTCTGCTTACACCGATCCCCTTTTTGTGCGATCGCTCCACACTCGATCCATCGCGAACAGAACGGACGGAGATTTCGTTAGCAGAATCAATCCCATTGGAATTTACAACAATAGCAGCAACAGTAGTCGCTCTCATGGCGGATTGTTCAAGGTTGATAAAGGCGGAAAGCCCAATGGATTAGCCATTAGAAGTTGTTTTGATTCTCACAAGAAGGCTGATCAAAAGGCGCGAGCTTTAGCTCAGCAGCATCGCCGTGGCCTGGGATCTGGTCCGAGTGAGGAACGCGGCGGCGGAACCACCGACTTAGCGGATGGCCGTGGTGCGTATCTGCGTAGTAGCACGACGAGGTTCCCAGGAAATGATAAGATAGTTGTGGCTGTTGACATAGATGAAGGTTTGTTTCCTTTCTTCTTTACTGATGTTTGCATGTTTGAATTGTCTTCAAAAGAAATTCCTTTTTTAAAAAGTTATGTTGACTTGTTGAACTGTTAAATGTGTTCTTGGAAATATTTGGAGTCAATGAGTGATGTAATCATAAGCTGAAAAGTATAATATATGGTGTAGCAGAATTTAGAGAGCTTCCTATGAAGATCCTTATTCACATTGTTCGTTTTTTTTGTAAAATACGTTTACTGATTCGAATATGCATCACCATACTAATGGATTTATGTGAATTTTTTCATGTGATGTGTGATCTGTTTCCAACTCGATTTTAAGTAGTGTCTTGGTTTGATGGCTAGTTGGAATTTTTGAAGTGATTCATCTGCTAATATCTCTTATCTTTGCTTCCTTATATTGAGATCACATTTTGCTCATCTCATCTTCATTGAGACATTAATTTTACCCTTTGCTTCATCCTCTGTTCTTTGTTTGTAAGCAGTTCTTGGAAACTTTGTCTCGGCCCTTAACAGGTTCATTGCGGACCGCTATTTGTCTAACCATTCAGTCTCAGAATACCACGTCTACGAGTTCTTCAAGGTATGAGGTCATAGCATCACATTTTGCTCATCTATTGCTTTTAGCTGCCGGATTGGTTTGCATTCTAGTTTCTGACATCATATGATGAGATGAATGAATGAAATATTGAGTTAACTTAGGAAGAAACCCTCAAGGAGAAGTTTGTTTATAAGGCTGACCACTTTAATTGCTATATTTGACTTATGATAATTGCTCCTGTTGCAATCAGGCTTTAGCGTTGCCTTTTAACCATTGATTTTGCCTTAAACTTGTGTGCAATTTTCTGTCGCAGATATGGAACTGCTCTCGCAATGAAGGTATCATCTTTGGCTTACATACAGCTATGGCATTAACCAAGTGACCAGCTGATTATATATGCTCTGTTTAAAACTGTCTTGTTGTGCAGCCGACTTACGTGTCCATGAATTTTTCAAGACATCATATTTCAAGAAAGGGATCCATCCTCTTCCAGGTGCCCATAAGACTCTACACAAGCTATCAAGATACTGCGACATGTCAGTTGTGACGTAAGTGGCAAGTGGTGTGTGATCTTCTCTCTGTTTAATTCTAAAAATCAGTATCTGAGTGTTTGCTATATGGTTGTTTGATAGGTCACGGCAGAATGCGATAAAGGATCACACACTTGAGTGGATCGACATACATTTCCCGGGACTGTTCAAACAGATTCATTTCGGGAACCATTTTGCTCTTCATGGAGAGTCTAGACCAAAGTCTGAAATCTGCAGGTGCGTACATAATCAACTCACGAAATAGCTGACTTCTTTCTCATATGATTTTGATGGTGCTAATCCAAGAACTGGAACTGCAGATCATTTGGAGCAGAGATATTGATTGACGATAATCCGAGATATGCGGAGGAATGCGCCAACATTGGGATGAAGGTTCTTCTCTTTGACTATGAGAATTCATACCCTTGGTCTAAAACCGAGTCTGTGGATAGACATCCTCTGGTGACTAGAGTTCATAACTGGGAAGAGGTGGAGCAGCAGATTCTCTCATGGGTGGTTTCAAAGTGTCGAAGCAATGTATAATCATGAAGAAGGCAAACGAACCTAGAAAGCAAGCTTGATGGGGGAATAAGTGTAATCCGAGATGGAATTAGTTTGAATTATCACTTTATAGCATAATTCAATTCTTTTTTCTTCTTTTAAATTTAGTTTGGTTTCAAATTGTTCAACTGCATTTTTATTTGATTTGATGGTAAATAAATAAAATCATGTACAATCTTTTTAATTTTTTTTTTTTTTTCAAATCAGTTCACTAAAAGAAATGGTTTGATTTGGATCGATTTGACCAAACTTTAGTGGATATGTTGAATTGGAAGTTTTATGTCTGATATGAAGAAATGTATAAAATGGCAGAATATTCAAATTACTTTTGCTTTGGAGGTCAGATATTCAAATCTCTCATTACTTGCTAAATAACATTTTAAGGAGGTGGTCAAGAGAGATCGATGGTTGCTTAGGGAATACGGAATACTCAAGTAACACAACGCAATAAAACGTAAAAATAACCAAATAAAAAAAGTATAACATAAACCATATAAATAGATAAATCTTATTTATTCAAATATATGATTCATCATAGGAGCATAAACAAAGAAGTTCTTATGCTTGACTAAAAAACCTAAAATTTTCACTTATGCTTGAGTAAAAAAACAAATAAAATCAAGTACAATCTTTACAATTTGTTTTTCAAATCAGCTCACTAAAACAATCTTTGGAATCTACGAATTCGAATTTGGAATGATGATTCTACAGTAGAATCTAGGAATTCGAATTCAGAAAAATGATTCTTTACTCAGCGGGATACAATTGCCTAGAAGGACTTATCATTAGTTTCTGATTCACTATTTGAAAACCTTCATTTGATGCATAGACGAATAAACTAGGATTCCTAAATTACATACGACATTAACATGAAACCCCACTCAGACTCATGTGATCATCAGTTTCTGATTCACTCTTTGAAACATCCATCCGATACATACAAGAATAATTTAGAAATCCTAAATTACATACGACATTAACATGAAGCCCCAAACAAACAAAAAAACCTAAGAAAAACTCAAAACATTCCTCAAACGGATCAAGTCGTAATTCTGAATAAACAAGTGTGAGATAGAAATTGAAACCTGGCAGTGATTACTTATGCTCTGGGCGATCCACTGCTTGAGGCATGCCTTATGAGCATACTGAATGGAACCTCTACAGTTGCACGTAGTCCATAGACGGTTTCCTGGTTACCCGCTTGATAGCAAATCTGAAATTAATCTTTATCATTGAGCAGCAGATTAGTAAACCGAGATGGAATTTAGTTTTTTTTCTTCTCCTAAATTTAGTTTGGTTTCAATTATTTTACCCATTATTCAACTAAATAAACAAAATTAAGTATAATTTCAAATTTCATGTATAGTTTTTCAAGTCAATTAATCAAAACATTGTTTAATTTTCATCGATGTTACCCAAATTTTGTACCTTTAGTGCATCTGAATTGGGAATTTCAAATCTGATATCATTATATGAAGAAATGTATAAAATGGTAGAATATTCAAATTGAGGTAAAAAATTCAATTGATTTGTTATTTGCTAAATAAAGGAACGAGTTGATGATCTATGGAATGAAGTTGTTATTGTACTATTTATCTCTACACAGATATCTCATAAGAATTAGATGTGATTCTTGTTACCGTCAAAGAGAAACATGTTTGCGCTGTGTTATATGTATAAGAACGTAGTTTTTCTAATAGCTTTTCAGTTTGGTTTTCGAATCATCCATTTATTTACAATTTTTTTTGGTTTCCGGGTTCACAAATCAGCACCTTTAGTGGACTGGTTGAATTGAATTGATTCAATTATCTCTATCCATGAAACTACACCTTCTTCAAATTATTATTCACTTTCTGTAGGGGATAAGTCATCTAACTGAATTACTTGCAAATTCTAAATTTCTAATGCAAAGTCACCAAGAAGGATTTATGGTAGCGTAATAGAATTATATAAGACAATCAAAATAAGATAAAGATAAATAACTCATTTTTTATTATAAATTATGATCATCATAGGATTAATAACATCATAGGAGCATAAACAAAGAAGGTGCTTATGCTTTTAAGTTTTTAAACTATTAAACGCTTTTCACTTAGTTGCCTTGTCCTTGGCATGAAGATTGTCAAAATGCGCTTTGGTATTTGCTTCGAAAGCATCACGAGGTATCTGAACCACACCACCAGTCCCCGGTGCCACCATATTCGCCGAACCAGATGGACCGGATCCATTGCCACTGCTTTGTGCTGCATTGCCAGATTGTCCGCTGTTCTTGTCCATTTTCTTGATCTCTTGAAGATGCGAGTTTAGTTATAGTATGATGAGAGAGATGAGATTTTTGTTTGGAGTGATACTATAAAATGAGGAAGAGGTGGTGAATTTATAGATGGGATTTGATCATAATTAGTCAAATCAACACTTCCCAAGATCATATCAACGAAACCAAACGCATGCATGCATTAAAAATATGGAGAGAGTCTTGTCTTGGAAAGCTATCAATGGCACTTGGAAATAACAACACTCATCTCTTTTTCTTTGTCATGTGAGAAACTTAATTGTAGACTATCAAATTAATTTATCTCGTAAACGGAATTTTGTAAGAGCAATTTCATTTATTCACTTTTCCAAATTGCTCTTAACAATTTTATTTTAAAGTTTGTATACACATACATATGATCATTTACTATACACATACATTGAGATTTATGGACATGAGTTCTTCTGTACAGAGACATTATACATATAATACATATCCATGTACACTTTGTCTTATCTTCTTCTGTCCTTTGTGGGGTATATAATCTCTCTGTCTTCTTTAGCGTAGTCTTCAAGTTATTGAGAAACAGTATACAGAGAGTTCTTCAACGAAAGAAAATCATTCTGTCTTCTCCATTAGCTTTATACCATATGCTTTCAGTATATCCAAAGCTGTACGAACCAGCACAAATCAGCATCATGATCGTGTTCATCTGCAAACACATACGCTAATATTGAAGCGGAAAAATCAAAGTTACCTGGCAAATAAACCTCTGGTTCGAGAGGCCTTAACACTCCTCTTGTCTTGATCTTGTCTTCAATTAACAGCTGTAACACACAACACCAGAATCATACGTTTAGAAGTGTAACTTAAGAGACAAGTAAAGACGGGACAAAGTGGTGATCAGTGTAAGAACCAGAGCTCCAATGGCTGCAGGGATCCCAACGGTTTTAGCCATAGCAGTAGTTGCTTGCCCGTTCTTGATTTCCCCAAATTCCAAGAGAGTCGCAGTGTGCTTCTCTGTGCGTTTGCTTTCAGGGAATTCTACTTCTACTTCGTGATGCAGAAGCACCATGTCCTGAAAACATAATTCTACGTCAGCAAATCAACATCAAAGAGAGAGAACCAATGTTTTATCAATGAGAAGCTACTTGAAACAGAGACCTGCTCGTTTCCTGAATAAGCTAGTTTCTCTTCCATTAGGTAACATGTTGCATCGAATACACTTTTACACGATGATGGAATCTCCCTCTCTTCGTTGAACCCCAAGAATCTAAGACCATCGAAAAACAATCAAGCTTACGTGTGTTTCACGTTAGTTTTAGTCTCAGAAGACAACACTCAGATCATGGAGAAGCTTACACAATTGTTTTGGCAGCTTTTGTTGCAGTCTCCTTGGAATGTCCAAGCTTGATCATTCTCTCGCTGATCTCTTCTTCTCTCGCTAGAGGCTCAGATTCATTGTCTGCGTCCTTTTTCGTAATGTTACTTAAAAGATCACCAAACGTAATCTTCTCTCCAGTGGAGAGTACTTGATTTGTTTCATTGTCAAAGAATCCGAGTTTTGCAAGTGTTGCCATTATCATACTAAACCCTGTACAAGCGCCAAAATACAAACAAGAATGTTAATTAATAAAGCTATCAGATGTCAAGATGTGTGACTTGTGATTCACGGAACTCATGCCTTCATATCTGAGGGTTCCACGAAAGATCGTTGATGCTTCGCTCTCGATCCCATAATGCTCCCCGTAAACCAAGGAGTTCCGGTTGGGAAGACACTCCAATGCAAAAGCTGGAAGATTTGGTACTCGGAATCTTGTGGCTGAATCATACAGATTCTCCCCTGATATTTACATTTCTCGGTTATAAACAGAAAAAATGACATGTGTAGTGAAGCTAAACTATAGACCAAGAATAGTGTCTATCATTATTACCATCAACATGTATTATGTCTCCGTTGATTTTGTATTTGGCCGGATTACGACCAGCTCGAATTGCTCCAGCAGGATTCCAGCTGAAACATATAGAGATGGTGATTGAGAAAGCTGAGTTTCTGAGATGATGGAAACAGAGAAAAAAACATACCTAAATTTGTATGCTAATGGATTGTTTGCTGCAGCAGGAGAGGGAAGTCCACCACAGTAAGAGGTGAAAGACTTCACTTTCCCTTTTCTTATATGAGCCTCGTTGATCATCTTCATCGCCATCATGTGATCTGAAGAAAGACTCATTATTGTATCACCTTCTAAATTTATCCCAGAAATATTTTGAAGCTACAAAGAAGCTATGTTGTGCGATGTGATTTACCGATTCCAGGGTCCAGTCCCATTTCACCAAGAATAGTTATCCCAGCACTTTTAGCCTTGTCATGTAACATGGATGTTTCATCATCCACATAGCTAGCAGTGACGAGATGCTTCTTCAGCTGATGAGTGAGTGAATCACAAAGAAGAAACAGAGGAATTTAGAATCAAGAAACTACTGAGAGAGAAATGTGCTATGTTGTGAGAGTATGAGTGTACCTCAATGCATGTCTTTGCTACAACAGCATGACAATTTGCAGGTAATAAACTCAGGACAACATCAACCTGTTGCGCAATGGTAATGGATTTGAGCAGTGGATTTAGGTGTAGTAAAAGGTAAAATTTATGAACAGAGGAGTTAGTAAAAATACCTGAGAAACATACTTAAGAAGGCTTTCACTATCTGACACATCTAGCTGAACAGCTTCTACGTCTGAAATACCTTCAACCGTCTGAAACATTTATTCCATCACTTCAGTGAAACAGAACAAAGCTTGATTGATACTTCAAGAAGCATCTTTCTCATACCTCTTTGGCATCCTTAAGATAGAGAGAAGCGACAATCACACGAACATCTGTTTGTTCTGTTCCCAAATAAGTTTTGTACCATTGCTGTGACGAAATGGTTCTGACTGAAGCTAAGAACTCAGCAGCCGGGCGACACACACGTCCAGCGCCAAGAATCAAAACCGCTGATGATTTCTTAGTCATTTCTTCTTCTTCTTCTTCTTCTTCAGGCTTCTCTTTTACAACGTTTTCTTGCTGGACTTTTCCAATCTTGAGTGAAATCTTATTTGTTTCTCTATCTTTATCTGGATTAGCTAGTCGAGTTAATGAATCAATGATTTGATCCAATACTTTTCTATCATCCGCACCAACCTACCCAACAATAATGAAAGAATCTTTAGCAAGTGGCAAAAAGTTAAAAGTGGGACCTCACTCTTTTGGCTTCTAGGTTGATTACTTGTTCTAGAAACTTACGACACTATTAGCGAAAACGACACCAAACCTAAACCTGACAACTAAATCTCTTGACAGCTGTACAATATCAAGAAACAGACTTACTTCAAGTTCTGAGTATGACTCAGCATCGGCGCTCTGCCCCAGTTCACATTTAGCCAAATGAAATGAGCCACCGGCCGCTTCGATCATATCCAGAGCTTCGTTTATCAGAAACTTATCAAACAGGTGTCCACTTAGAGATACCTACAAAAATCATTGTCTCAAATCAAAAACATTATAATAAACTACCACATATCTTGAAAAACGTATCAATCTTTCTTTTCTTTAAAAACGTATCAATCTTTGGCCAAGAAACTAGATAGAGAGATGATATAGTTATAGGATGTTAAATAGTTATATTTTACTTTCTTGCACAAGAACCTTATCCTTGAAAAATTAATCTCAAGAAATTGGGTATCTTCTTTAGTAATGGATCAATTAACAGACGAGGGTATTTGTAGCAAGAGCTTTGTCTCTCTGCTTTACGTTGTTTTCCAATCTCACTGACCTTAACTTCTTCAAAACTCACCAATATGTTGTTACATGTCTTTTGGATGGAGACCCCATTGGCGATGTTGTCTTGTGCCTCTCTGCATTTAGAGTGTATTAAAAGAAACATTAAAACTATAGTTTAGAGAAGAAACCTAATCACTTGAGATGGAATCGATATTGGTCGAAACAGAACATACTCTGGATCAGACTTCCTCATACGTGGGATATACTCATACAAAGATGTCAACTCTCCTCTATAGCTTATGCAAGCCCTCTTCAAATGCTCCGGTAGATCTGCCATTTCACTCATCGAAGCCAAACTACCAACAAATTCCGAAAGAATATCTCCAAAATGCTGAGATGCCTTTTATCATAACACACAAAGAAATACAAATCAATATAACCGTAGAATCAGTCCAAAGTACTAAAACTGTAAATCTTTCTTACCTCTTTTGCAAATTCTGTAGGTAGAATGTCAATGGCCATGCAGAGTACGCCATCACCATCCATGTCATCGTAGTATGAATTGTTCCAAGGATTAAACCTAAAGAAAGGGGAGTCGATTAACGTAGCTCGGTTAACAAACTCGATGGAGCCACCGATGTCACAAGTTATATCGCATATTCCCACTAGTGGACATCCTCTTGTTGTTAAATCTTGAATCTGTTTGATGCTCAGGAGTCGAGGAAACCTCTTCTCCCAGTACATACAGTTTACTGCACAGAAAAAAATGACTTACTTATTATGTAAGCTCCTGAACATTAAAGGTGAAACAGAGATCAAGATCTACCAAGAACAGATGTATACGGAGCGATCTTCTCGTGGAAAACTGGATTGTAGTGTTCCGGATGTACATAATAGTCGGCCTAAACATCAAAAAACTTGAAAGAGTTAATGTAGTGACACACAAGTCACAGCCATGGAACTAAATTGTTAGGTTAAGTGTTACTTTGTCAAACGACTTTGATGGATCTTGGTGTTGAACCATGTCTTGGCTGGTAATGATACAACCGTATACTTGATGGACTCGCTTTGTTGATTTCCCATTTTGGCTACTTCCTTTGTCCTATACAGAAAACATACACTTCATTTCTCACAAAACAGATTTTCGGAATATGAATAAAAGGCAAATCTAAAACTTACTTTAACAAATAGTTCCGGAAGCTTGCTTGGTTCAACAAAAGTGTGAGGAAGAAGCTTGAATATTTCTTGTGCCCCAAGAGAAACTGCGGATAAGAAATTTAATTGACATGAAACATCCACAGGCTGAGAGGTGCAGTAGGATTTAAAGAAGTTACCGTTGCCTGTTCCGGTGAAGACAAAGACAAGAGGGCAGATTCCTAAAGGCAATCCCTGGCTTGCAATTTCTTCACCTACAGAAATCACAGCTGCTTTTGCTGCAGCCAATGAGGAGTACATATATGATGATCCCAGAGAGAGGAAAGGTGTTGAGTATCCAAGACTTAAGTATCCTGCATCAAACATGGAAAATCAAGATTCATCAAATCTTGATCTGCAGAGAAACATGAATTTTCATGAAAATAATAACAACTAACAAGAGCTACACTACTTACTCTGTCCAAGGCCGTGTAAGAAGTCAACAAGACCAGCTCTGCCTGCATATCTACCAAATGCCAATAGTCTTCTCCCTTGATCCCCAACTATGAGCTCATAATCACACAACGTCACTCTCTCTGACATAATCTGCATTTTTTCAAATTCCTCAATCCTCCACATGTCTTAAAAGGATGAATATTGATAAAGTGTCTTACTTTATCCAACAAGGGCATGTTTTCTTTCTGTGCCTTGTGAGTGTGGGAAAAGAAAGCATATGCTCTCTCCGGTAGAATCATTTCTAACTGCAAACACAACAAAACCCAATAAACCGCTAAAATCTCATAAAAACTGACACAAAAAACAGATTCTTGTTTTCTTTGTCAAACCTCGGGTTGTTTGATTCCGAGTATAAGCCCGCAATCAGAGAGATCATCAGAGATTTCACATCCGACATCTTCGTAGAGTGCATCGTGATGGATACGCTTAGCAGATGGCTGGACCACAATCCGGGAAACGCCGGTTCTGTCTTTGCCACCGTGTAGTAGCCGAGCGCAATGCGACGGCGTCAATGGTGTTCGTCTCTCCCACTTGTTCACTGTTTCAGCTAGAATTCCCACAACTCCATTCCCCAACTTCTTCATCTCCTCATCATCGCCACTTGAATTCATCTTCTTTTAAGTTTGTTTATAATCTCTGAAGATGAACAACATTTGATATCTCAAGTACGATCAAGCGAACATCAAAACCCCAAACTTTAACTAATTTACCGAAACTTGCACATGAGTGAGAGGACGATCATCGATTCGCTACAAAAGAGAGCTTACCGATTGAGAAACTTAACTATTTGTGAAATAGATTTTTCTCGAGATTTGAAGTTAAAATCGTACGATTTGAGATCTAGGGAAATTAATTGATAAGTGAAATCAAAAACGTTGAACAGAACAGAACAGAGTAGAGCAGAGCAGAGCAGAGAAAAACAGAGAAACGAAGATCAAACTATTATTTTCCAAATTGAAAAGAGAGAGTGAATGATTCAAAGCTCTCGAAGCTCATTTACGAATTACGATAAGGAAAATGATGCAAGAAGAAATCAAACGTACCAGATGACTTTGATCATGCAATGCCTGTGAAAGATAGAAGCTTTCTTTTAAGCTGAGTTTGGGCGCTGTAAGAAACCTGTTTTCTTTTTCAATCCTTTTATAAGCTCAATTACGTATTTGATTAGTTTTTTAATTTGATAAAATGATTAGTTGGACAATAATAGCCGTGTGGGCTAAATATTATTTATATCTTTAATTAGTAACAAAATGCAGTCCAAAAAAAATAGATAACAAATAATATTAGTATAATATATGATGACAAAAATATCATTTTTAAATGATATGATATGACAACAAATATAAAAAATGACCCCCGATCGATAATTCATATATTTTCTGTAGCATATTATTCCATTTGAGTTTGAATAATGCACGAAATCTCTTGGTACTTTTACAACTTATAAAACATATCATATCTTTATCACAGAAATCCAACATGTTGCATTATATATCGACACATCAGTTTTCCTCGATATGACACATTCTTCTCGTATATAATATGATAGCTCCAACGAAAGAAAAATTAATTTTGAACTGTCTCCCTGTCATTTTCAAACTTATTAATCTTAAAGTCCATTCATTAATTTCCTTTTCATGGATATTATTAACATTTTGTAAGGAAACTATTTTTATGATTTCTTTATAATTTCACCAGGAAAAAAAAACAAAAACAAAAATCTTTTAAGTAATAATAACAAGTCCAGAAATATTACAACTTTTTTCCGAGAATCTCACAGTTTTAGGAAAATGTCTGAAATAAGGTGTAAGGGTTTCTAACCTTTTTGGAGACTTCTTAAACAACATTTGGTCATGTGTTTATAAACACACGAGAGTGACATGAACCAATCAATATTACAAAAGTAACCCAAACATTGTCGAAGAGTCATGTTAAAGTTATCGCTTATCACAAAAAGTCATATAATGCAGTAGCTAGACATTAATAAATACTTACCAAAGAGGATAATATTAGTGAATAAGGAGCATCTAAGAAGATGAGCTAAAAGAGGAAAATGATTCTTGTTATTCATTAATTGTGTGATTACATTTCTCTTTATACAAGAGTGTTTTCGGTTTACCACACACGATAATCGGTTTACATTAATTTCTATCGCATACTCTAATATCCCCCCTTAAGATGGCGAGTATATCGAAAGAAGCGATATCTTGGACAGCAAAGAATTGAACTGAGTAGGGAACAAGGGCTTTGTAAACACATCCGCAAGCTGAGTCTCCGTAGTGATGTGCAAGTCCTGATCAAACCACTCTGTATCTTGTCACGAACAATGTGACAATCATTCTCAATGTGTTTAGTCCATTCGTGGAAAACAGCGCTGTTGGCTATATGGATTGCAGCCTTCGAGTCACAGTAAAACGCCACAGAATGAGGTTGATTTACCTGAAACTCCTGCAAGAGATTGACCAACCAAGTGATTTCCCGGACAGCAAACACCATGGCACGATACTCAGATTCTGCCGAGGAATGAGAGGAAGTTTGTTGCTTCTTAGACTTCCAGGAAATGAGAGAAGCTCCAAGAAACATACAAAAGCCAGAAGTAGATTTCCTCGTGTCAGAACAAGAGTTCCAATCAGCATCAGTGAATCCTTTCAACAACAAATCGAACTCCGCTGAGTAGAAAAGACCCAATCCAATCGTGCCTTTGAGATAGTGAAACACCTTATGAGCCGCATGAAGATGAGAAGGCTTTGGAGCGGAAGTAAACTGACAAAGACGATTCACAGCATAGGTGATATCAGGGAGTGTAATCGTCAAATACATCATCTTTCCCACCAAACGACGATAAGGTGTTATATCCTCAAGAACCGGCTCATCAGAATCAAGCCGCAATTTGAAAATGGGATCCATCGGGATTGAAGAAGGTTTGCAAGCAAGCATACCAGTGTCCTCAAGAAGCTCCAGAGTGTATTTCCGTTGGCAAACTGATATGCCTTGCTTGAACGAGCAATCTCCAAACCGAGAAAATATCTTAATTCGCCCAAGTCCCGTAGCTTGAAAGCTAACTTTGGATTAGACTTTAAAGTCTCAACTTCTTCATCGTTGTTGCTAGCAATGATAATATCATCTACATAAACCAACACAGCCACATAACGACCACAATCGTTCTTGATAAACAGGGTGTGATCCGCGTGTGACTTCTTGAAACCCAAAGCCAGAAGTGTAGTACTGAATTTGATGAACCACTGACGAGAGGCTTGCTTAAGGCCATACAGTGACTTCTTCAGCCTACAAACAGCATTTGGAGGTAAAGTGATTCCAGGTTTTGGAGTATAACCAGGAGGAAGTGTCATATAAATTTCCTCATCCAAATCCCCATTAAGGAAGGCATTAGAGATATCGAGCTGAGTCAAACTCCAATTCTTGGCCGCAGAGACTGCAAGTAAAGTCTTGACAGTTGTCATCTTGGCCACCGGTGAGAATGTGTCTACAAAATCAACACCGGGTTTTTGAGTGTACCCTTTTGCAACTAAACGTGCCTTATAACGTTCCAAGCAACCATTCGCCAAAAGTTTGAGCTTGTAAACCCATTTGCAACCAATAGCGTGTTTGCCGTGAGGTAGAGAACAGATGTCCCACGTATCAGTCTTCTCCAGAGCCAACAATTCCTCATTCATTTCTTGAATCCACTCCTCAAACTTCAAAGCATCCTTAAAAAGGCAGGCTCAGGTAATAATGCGAAAGCACAGATATAGTCCTTATACTCATCAGAGAGTTGACTATAAGACATGAAATTAGCCAATGGATAAGGAATATCCACATCCGTAACATTGCAGTAGTAATCTTGCAAGTAGGCAGGCTTCTTCTGTGCTCTCTTGGTACTTTCCCTTTGATCTCCATCACATGAATCTTCAGAACGAGAACCAGTGTGGGAGGGATTTGGGTTCTCGACCATAGAAGGCGAATTCACAACTACGGGAACCTCCCCGATGTCCACACCAGAACTATCAGTGTTCAAAGATCCCTGCGAAAAATCGAAGAATTCTAAGGGAAAGGAAGACTGACCATCAGAAAATGGGAAAATCTCTTCATAAAACACCACATTGCGAGAGATATGGACTGAATTTGTCTCCAAGTCCAAGAGTTTGTATCCCTTGTAGCCTGAAGGATAACCCAGAAAAACACATGGCTTCGAGCGTGGTTGGAACTTGTGGCGCTGCTTCGGAGAAGTAGAAGAGTAGGCGAGGCAGCCGAACACACGCAAGCCAGTATAGTCAGGTTTCTTCGAAGTCAGAACCTGAAACGGGGATCGGTCTTTCAGAAGAGGAGTCGGAAGTCTGTTGATGAGAAAAACGGCCATAAGAACGCAGTCTCCCCAATATTCCAACGGTACATGAGCTTGAAACATCAAGGAACGAGCCACGTTCAAGATATGCTGGTGCTTTCTCTCAACAACAGAGTTCTGTTCTGGTGTCTCAGGGCATGAATGATAAGAAACGATGCTCTTTTTCTTATACAGAGCTGTGAACTTCAACTCTGGAGCATTATCTGATCTCACACCTTTGACCACTGCATTGTACTGCGTCTCAACCATAGTCAGAAACTCCGGGAAGACAGTGAGAACTTCATCCTTAGTCCGCATCAAGTAGATCCAAGTCACTCGGGTGTGATCATCCACAATAGTGAGGAAATACCTATAACCTTCAACAGTAGACACTGAGAAAGGACCCCAAGTGTCTATGTGAAGAAGATCAAAAGCATTCTCACACATATTATTGTTAGATGCAAAAGATAAGCGTTTCTGTTTGGCAAGAGGGCAAATAGCACAATGGAAAGCTTTATTCTTTTGTTTGGCACCAAGTACATCCGCAATAAAGTCGGTTTTAGAGAAAGCAGGATGTCCTAGTCTATTGTGCCAAATGGTTGAATCAACGACAACATGAGAACAAATATAAGGGGATGAAGAAATGTCTCTAAGGGAAGCAGCATCCAGAACGTAGAGATTGGAGATTTCATCACCCTGACCAATCATCAGCCCCTTGGTATGATCCTGTATCATACAGAATCCTTGTCAAAAACAACACGATAGCCCAAATCTTTCGTCAATTGACTGATACTGAGAAGGTTCAGACGAAAATCTGGGATATACAGAACGTTGCGCAAGACCAAGCTATCATTCAACTTAACCGTGCCAATGCCTTCAATAGCAATGCCTATACCCGTAGGCAATGTCACTGATCGATTCATAGAACTGGAAATCTCAACAAACAAGTCTCTATCATGACATACATGATGAGTGGCACCACTGTCTATAATCCAAGACTGAGAAGAAAGAGCATTGCCAGTGGCTTTCAATATCCCAACAAAACACAATGTAGAGTTTGAAAAAGCCATACCGGGTAGAGCCGTAATAGTGCCACTAGTGAGAGATGATGAGGGCATTGAGGTGTTCTGAGAAGGAGACGTTTGAAGTTGAGAGTTGAAGTAGGCGATAACACTCTCAATTTGGTCTTTAGAAAGATGATTGATGATATCCGGAGACTGGTTCTCACGAGTGCCATGATGAGGAAGAGACACTTGAGCAACCACCGGTTTTGAATTTTGTTGAGGTCTAGGAGCAGCAGATGGCAAATTCTTCTCTGGCTGTTGTTTCACCTTATGCTTGAAGCCAACGGGGTAACCATGAATCAGATAACACGTCTCAATAGTGTGACCGGAATAACCACAATGAGAACAAAGAGGACGGTTGGAATTTGGTTTCCCATAGGTGGAGGCAGCAGCGTTGATAGAGGGCTGAGCCGAGTCGGATACTGCAACTTGAAAAGCACCAGCGTTGTGAACGGGATTGATGGTTCGCTGGCTGTGATCCTGATCAAGCAGCTTGTAAATCTCCGAGAGCTCAGGAACATGTTTCTTCATGATGATTTGGCTTCGAATAACTGCATAGCTATCGTTTAACCCAGCTAAGAACTTAATCACCTTAGCATGATCGGCCTTCTTATTCATCGCCTTGCAACAATCACAAGAATGGCAAGTTTCAATGCATTCAGCACCATCGAGTTCATCCCATAGAGTCTTCAGCTTGGTATAGTAGGTAGCTAGATCATGAGAACCCTGCTGGAGAGTCCAAATTTGCTGGGACAAATGGTATGAACGAGGGAGATTGGTGATATGAAATCGAGTCATCAGATCATTCCAAATCTCAGATGCATCATTAAAGCGAAGAATACTCATATAGATCTGCTTCGAAACAGAGTTGAGAAGCCATGATTTCACCATTGAGTTACAACGAGACCAAATCCGAAAACTACGATGCAATTCAGTAGGCCGAGGAATAGATCCATCCACAAATGAGATCTTATTCTTAGCATCTAGAGAAATCGTCATCGCAATACGCCAATTATCAAAATTTGTACCGTCAAGGACCTCAGAAATGAGAGAAATACCGGGATTATCACCGCTTGTGAGGTGGTACGGTGAATGGATACTGTTTACCGATTCCAGGGAGAAATCCGAAGAATCCGGTGAGGATGGTGGCGAGACTTCAGGAATGGAAGCTCTTCGTGCTGATGACGTCGCTTTCGAAGCGCGTCGAGTAACTTTCCGTCCGATCACCATTGAAGTGGTTTTCGAGCTAAAAATGAAGATAAACCCGTGAAATTTGGTGAAACTTGGCGGAATAACCAAGGATCTTTCACGAAGAACCGGGAGAATCAACGATCGATTAAGGTCAAAACGAAGGGAAGAGAAGAAAATTCGGATCGAGTGAGCCGTTAGAGCTCACGCTCTAATACCATATTAGAGAACGAGAAGCATTGAAGAAGATAAGCTAAAAGAAGATAATCATTCTCATTAATCATTAATTGTGCGTTTACATTTCACTTTATACAAGAGATTAGTTCCCGGTTTACCATACACGATAATCGGTTTACATTAATTTTTATCGCACACTCTAATAGATAACGTGACCAACCAAACAGTTAATTGTAAATTTTTTTAAAGACTAATACAGTCATTGTTAAATGCTTTTGTACAAGTATTAACTTCTGCCGTATCATAATCTAAATTGAGTAGTAACGATACAAAAGAAACCAAATGCAATAGACATTAACAAAGTTTATCAACATACGAGGACAACAACAATCAGCCAACATACGAATCACTGAATATCGGAAAAAGAAGAGCTAAAGTATATACGAATCACTATGAAACGTTGAAGAATTTAGTTTTAGTTGATTAGTGCCTTTTCCCCCTTTTAAAATAAACATATGTACTAGAACATGCTTATAGTAAATAGCATAATTGCGTTTCAAGTATATGAGAACCTCTCTTCGAACAAAAGAATAAGAGTGAAATCATGAAAAGCTAGTATACCAATCGGTCCATTCGTTAATGTTGTAATATTAAGTTATTACTTATTAACATAAACTTTTTTATTTTGAAAAGACTAGTAAAGTCACCGTTAAACTTAAATATAAATGAATGAATGAATTCACACGAAAACAGTAAGGAGATTATTATATAAGAAGAAAAAAGATAAGTGACAACGTCATCTTTACGTGTATGGATACATGATAGGACCGAGGGAGGATCCCTCCAATGGAAATTGTATTACGTGTACAAGAAGAAGAGAAAGAGACAACAGAGGAGTAAATTAAGATGTTCATCACTTGCGGTTTCCTAGATCACGACGCTTACCACTTTCCGTCTTCTCTACGTCTATCTTTTTTTGGGTTTAAAACATGGAATGTGACTAAATAGGGTTATGTGTATTCAATGAATAGAAAAGTTATGTAGCTACACTACCAATGATAGATAACAACGACGGATAACAAATTCATTGGGCTGTAATTGTGATCTGAATCTTAAATAGTAATATCAAATTTCAGAGGTTGGGCTTAATTTGTTGTCTTATAACAGCCCAAGTCCATTTGTCTTCTCGTGATGTTTTGTGGATTGAGGAGTTTCTTCTTTGTGTCACATAATCTTCTTCAAGTGAGGAATGTAATATTTGTCAAATCTTGATTTTTGACAAATTCAGAGTATTAGCCCACTGTGAGACAAACTCATCAGGAATTTTACATACATAAATTTTTATACAGCAAGTTCTGACAAATACGCTAAGCAAATTTTGTAATGTAAATTTTAGTTATTCTCATAGTTACAACTTACAACTAGCAAATAAATTTCTGCAACACGTTTTTCCGGTCTTCATACATAGTAACTAATCACATTTGTTACAAGGAATGTGAAATGTGAAACTGAACATTGTTTTGGTATCATCGATATCTCTGCGGCGACCTATTTGGTTTTTGTCGACAGCTTTTCTTTTGAATAAGGTTTTATATAGTTCTCTTTTTAAAGATTTGTTATTATATTTTGTATAAATAATGTAGTTAATTGGGCATGGCCTGGGAACAAGTTCTGGGCATTGACTTTGCAATGGCACAAAATTCGATGCGAGAAGAGATTCCTCAACGAGGCTACAAAGTAACAGTGGTCCTATGCTTTTGCTTTTACACCTATCCCTTCTTCTTTTTTTTTCATAGATTTTCCTCACAAATAAATAACTTTTCTTCTTTCTTTCTCGGCTATTATTTTCTCTGACGTTGCATATACATATTTTGCATCACTTGTAAATCTGAAAATCCCTATTGGATTTTTTTTCAGTATAATCATTTGTTTATACATAATTAGACGAAGAAATATGGTAAAATTTTGTGTGATAAACGAAACATCTTGCAATTCCCATGACATTTTACGATGGAGTCTCCTTTTTTGGAGATAAGCTGAGTAAACATTTTGAAACATTTGATTTCAAATCACTTTCTCTGCGAATTTTCATAAACTGAAATATGATAGCTAGAATGAATATCCTGTATCATTTTCCTAAAGAACATTTAACAATAGCATGAAATACAAAAGATTGTATGTTTGGATGAAGAATTCAACGCCAAGTTTGACAAATGATAAAGACAAATATGAGTTGATGCCAAAAAAATAAAAGACAAAAAATAAGAGAAAACACGAGCAAAAGAAAAAGTAAATACTTTTAATTTGATATTCGAAAGGTAAAACTGTTTAAAACAAGAAAAGAAAAAGAAAAAGGAGAGGAAAAGAGAGAAGACAACCCACACGAATCGCTTTAGATAGTAACTGATAGTATTAGACAAGAGAAGAGACTAGAGAGGGCAGCTCCTCCTCCTAAGTCCTAACTAACTTTCTCTTTTGCTTTTGTGTCTCCTTCTTTAAACCTTCCGTGGCCGTGCCATCTCCACTCTCTCCGTGCGTTTGTTTTCCTTTCTTTTTCTATGCTTATGCTTCTAATTCCTTTATTATTGGATTCTCTCTAGTTCATCAACAAATGACAACATGAGACGTACACGTCATTTTGCGGAAACGAGATTTCTGACGTGATATAACTTTGTTTCCTTCATTCTTCTTTGATTAGACATATGGTATTGCAACAAAAAAAAATTACAGAGATTAAATTTGGAATTACAAGTTTATAACTCAAAGAAATTTTTATTTTTGTTACTAAATAAACAAATATTTTTTGGTGTAATATATATACATTTGAAACAATATTCTAAATAAAATGTAAATTTATACAGAATTAGGACATGACTTAATAGTTTTAATCCCATCCTAGTTAACTAAACTAGTAAAGTACACACTACACAGAGTGTTGACAGCTGTTTGGGTAGTGAAGAAGAAGTTACAACACAATCTTTCACTTTTACTCTCTTTTCTCTCTCTCTCTCTCTCTCTCTCTCTTCTACCAAACAGTATCTTTGTGGATTGTCAACGCTCTCCGAAAGAGGAGCCCAAGAACTTTCCTTTTCTCTCTCTCTCGTCCTCTCTACAAATCTCCTCTCTTTAAAAATCCCTTTCTACTCTCTCTGCTTCACCACTCTCGCTCGAGCTCAACAATTGTCTCTCTTTCACTTCTCTCTCTCTTTTCTTTTCTGCATTTCATCAATCTGTGCAGATTTAAGCAAGCCAAGCATGGGTTTCTCAGCTGGGAAAAGAAAATCACGAGATGAAGAAGACACAGACACACTGACCTTAGCTTCTGCTGATTTCCCCATGGATGACCTCAGCGAAGACGTCCTCGAAAAAGTCCTCTCATGGCTACCAACCTCCTGTTTCTTCCGCATGAGCTCCGTCTGCAAGCGATGGAAATCCACCCAATCCTCAAAAAGCTTCAACCTCGCCTGCTCTCAGATCCCTCGTCGAGATCCTTGGTTCTTCATGATCGGCACCGATCTCAATCCTTCTTCCTTCGTCTTCGACTCCACCGAAAACAGCTGGAAAAACCTCAACCACCGCAATAATTTCCTCCTCCACCGCCGCGATTTCACCCCCGTCGCTTCCTCCGGCGGCCTCCTCTGCTTCCGCTCCTCCACCTCCGGCGAATTCCTCCTCCGTAACCCCCTCACCGGATCCTCCCGCCACCTCCCCCCTCCAATCTCCAACAAACCTCTCCAAGCCGTAGCCATGACCACTCTCACTCCCTCCTCCTCCAGCTATAAGCTCGTCACAATCTCCGGCGAAATCCCAAATCTCACTTTCCGGATCTACGACTCAAATTCTGACACGTGGAGCAAAAACCAACAACTGTCGCTACTAAAGAACAACAACGAATCATCACCACACGATGATGGCGATACTGAAATCGGCAACAGCACAGTCTACTTTCTCAGCAAAACAGGAAACGTAATCGTGGCGAGTGACAACAATCTCCAGAGAAGTCCATCGAAGCAATACTCTTCCGTTATAACCGTCAAAGACAACACCGAAACCGTTTACTTCCTCAGCTCTTACGGAACAATCATAGCTTGTGATCTCACCAACAGATGCTTTACCGAGCTCCCAAAGCTTCTTCCTCCCTTCCTTGAGTACTCCATCGACTTGGTGGAATGTAACGGAACCATGTTCGTGATTCTTCTCTCTGAGTTTTACGAGAGTGCGAGCTTAAGGATCTGGAAGTTAGAAGAACAGAACTGGATTCATGTCGGAATGTTGCCTCCTGCTTTGTCTCATGAGTTATATGGGAGAAGAGGAGACATAAACTGCGTTGGAGGAGGAGGAGATGGGAACAAGATTCTTGTCTGCTTCAATGCGAATCCTCCTGAGGTGTATTGTAGATACTTTGTGTATGATTTAGTTGCACAAGAATGGAGCGAGCTTCCGAGATGCTTCAATGGTGGAGAAGCTGTTGATTTCGTCTCTGCTCTTTCTTTCCAGCCAAGAATCGAAGCAACAGTTTGAGATTTTTTTTAGCTTGTTCTTTACATTGATTAGGCTTTGTGATGACTTGTTGTAAGTTTATCAGTTTGTGTGTAATGTATTGGTTTATAAAATGATAAATCATTCAAAATTCTGTTACCAAAAATCACCACAAGAGCATTGACCAGCCTTAAACCGGTGAAACCGGTTTGCATCTCTCAGTATAATCTCTCTATTGTACACCTTTGCTATGTACTTCATGGCGTTGTGACAGTCTCCACATACGCGTAGGTTCTTGATCACACGGATCGGTGTGGAGGGAGGAGTGTTCATAAGCCCGAAAGCAACCGCAAGCTTCTCGCTGTGGTAGTACAAGGCTCGCTCTTTCTCCTCCTCTTCCACGTCCACAAGCGTGAAGTCTGTCTCAGGAACATAGCCTTCTTGCTTGATGTCTCTGATCACATCTTTCACTTTCCTGTATATCGATTCGCTTTCCGGGTTTGATCTGTCGTCCACAACGAACAGATGGATCTTGTTCTTCACCTCGATCCAGCTGAAACCAGGATCTTTCTTCACTCTCTGCCCTTTCATCATTACCCGAGCAAGTTTCATCTCACTCCATTTGGAAGCAGCAGCGTACATGTTGGATAAAAGCACATAAGCTGATGAATCGGACGGCTCTAGCTCCAGAAGCTTAGTTGCCACTCTCTTCCCTGTCTCTGTGTCTCCTTTAACTCTGCAAGCAGCAAGCAGAGCTCTGTACATTGACGCTGAAGCTTCCATGGACAATGACTCGATTAGTTCTTCAGCCTCTCGAACAAGTCCAGCACGGCCAAGCGCATCAGCTAAACAAGAGTAGTGTTCTATTTCCGGTTTAATGCCATAGTCTTGATGCATTGTTTTGATATACTCGTGTGCCTCTGATACTAAGCCTGAGTGACTGCAAGCAGAGAGAACGCCGATGAACGTGACCTTATCAGGTTTGATACCCAAAGACTCCATCTGTTTGAAAAGCTGGAGCGCTTCTTTACCTTCTCCGTGTTGAGCTAATCCTACTAACATTGCATTCCAGGCAGCGATGTTCCTCATTTCAATCCTTGTAAACAAAGTATACGCATCGTCTATGTTTCCACACTTTGCATACATGTCCACAAGTGACGTTCCAACGAAAGGATCGCCTGTGCAATTCAGCTTGAGGGCATTCGCATGAATTTGGCGGCCTTGTTCTAATGCAGTCAAACAAGAGCTCGCTTTCGCAAGTGTGGCTATTGTGAATTCATCAGGCAACACTCCCATGAGCCTCATCTGGCTATACACATGAAAAGCTCGCTCTTCTTCTCCGTTCTCTATGCATCCTGATATCATTGTCGTCCAAGCAACATCGTCCGGCACAGGAATGCTATTGAAAGCGAAATGTGCTGCCTTCATATCGCCACATTTTACGTACATGTCCAAAATTCCACTGCTGACCCAAAGATCTAAGTCATATCCAGATTTGACTGCATAAGCATGTGCTTGCTTCCCCTGATTCATCGCAAACAAGGAGCCACATGTCTTCAGCACTGTTGCGAGCGTGAAATCATCTGATCTCTCTCCTTGTTTATGCATCAACGCGAAGAGCTTCAGAGTCTTGTGACCGTCATGACTCTGCGTATAACCAGACATCATGGCATTCCAAGCCACAGGGTCGAAACTGTTCCTCTCAAACAAAGCCTCTGCCTCTCGCATACACCTGTTCCGAGAGTAGGCATCAATGAGAGCAGTAGATACGTAACTGTCTGCAACGTTATTGAACTTGATCGCATGAACATGAACTTGTTTGTTCAGCGACAAGCTTTCAGGAAGAGAAGAAGTCGCCTTTAAAACACTCGTCAGAGTATACTGGTCTGGTGTGAGGCCGCAACGTAACAGCTGCATAAAGAGCAACACTGCTTCAACTTCTAGGCCGCTCTGAGCAAGCCCGTCGATGATCGAATTCCACGAAATCAAATCTCGTTCGCTCATACTGTGAAACACTGTCCTAGCAAAACCGATTTTCCTCAGCTTACAGTACATGTTTACCAGACTATTCCCAACGGTGAGCATCAGATCAAATCCTAACTTCAGTGTCATACAATGAACTTGCTTCCCTAATGCTAAACTATCTAATCTAACAGCTGAAGCTAACACTAAGATAAATGTGACTTCATCACATTCCAAGTTGGACTCAACCATATCAGCAAAACATTGGAGAAGAGCTGAATACTGTCTTGCCTGGAGATGTTTAGTCAATCTCTGGTTATTGGATCTTATCTCTGACTTCAAACGTCCTTCTACAGACTCATCACCAGTAATTCTAGCGAGTAAACGCAATGTGATGTTATTGGGACGCAAGCCACTTCTATGAAATGCAGAAGAGAGGTCAATTGCTTCTTCTTTAAAACCCATTTCCAGATGTGCCTTCAACATCAAGTTCCACAACACCAAATCTTTGTAAGGCATCTCCTCAAACAAAACCCTACCTTCCTTAACCTTACCAAACTTCAGATAAATATTGACAAGAGCTCCTGAAACAAACTCGTCACTGTCCAAACCGATCTTGCAAGCATACCCGTGAACTGCCTCTGAAGCCCACGCATATCCAGAATGCAAACAGAGTTTCAACAGTGGAGATAGAGTCATTCGACTGGTATACACAACGTCTTGGCGTAAGATCCGGAAAAGAAGAAAAGCCTCCTCGATGTTCTCGAGAACCCCTTCGGAAAACTGGGCATAGGCAGCTAAAATCGAGTTCCAGGAAACGAGATCTCTTTCAGGCATTTTATCGAACAGTCGGCGAGCATAAGTGAGTGATCCACACTTTGAGTACATTGAAATGAGATTGTTGACTAAGAACCGTTCTGGGTTTTCCTCCAACGCTAGGATACGCGCGTGTGTACATTTCCCGAGCTTCAAATCCGACGTGGAGATGGCGTCGCGGATAAAGCCGAACCATTGTGACGAAGAAGAGGAAGAAGATGAAAATGTCGAAGCAGAAATGAGACGCAAAGGAAAGAGAGAATGTGAAGAGAGGAGATAGTAGAGTTTCGGAGGTCTGTGAAAGGAGAAAGGGATCGCCTTTAGCGTTGCTTGCATGATCGGTTAAAAATGTAACCTTTTAAAGTTGAGGGGCGTTATCTTGCGAATCAAGAAACCTTGAGGAGAAAACTTGACGTCACTTGGGTTTTTTTTTGTTTTAACCAGTAGTGGATTAGTGGACTTAAAATATCAGTAAAAGTGATTTCATTCTGAAAATAAATTATTTCTTTCTCTTGTATACAGAAGAATGGGAAACAAATCATTATTAAAATATTGTTCCATTAAGGGAAGTCTCTATACATTGAATAAACATCACTACAAAAATCAAAAAATCATTTTATCATCATATCTCCCATTCTCTCTCTGACAAGAAGCCAAGAAGGGTAGAGATATGTCGCTGTCGTCTTACCTCAGCCCGACGCGCCTTCTAGAAGGCTATATCCGCCGTTGCCTCACGGCGGCAGGACTGACGTCGCAGACTCTTTCCATAGACTCCGAAACAACCATCCACTTCTGGGGTCCATCACCCTTACAACGCATCGACGACGACGATAGACCGGTGATGCTTCTTCTCCACGGCTTTGGACCAGCCGCCATGTGGCAGTGGCGGAGACAGATGCAAGCCTTCTCTCCGTCCTTTTTCCGGCTGTATTGTCCCGATCTTGTTTTCTTCGGCGACTCTACCACTTCCTCCACCAGTCGCTCCGAGGTCTTCCAGGTATAAAAAAATTATAGTATATGACAACTGTTTTGATTCCACATGTTTCCCACTTGAATTACCGAAAATATATAAACATAAATTGAGAATTAAATGAATGTTGGTAGCTAACTAAACGCATTGGGATGGTAATAATCATGAAACCACAATAATTTGAATATTATTTTGGATAGTGCTTTTTAGACGAAATGGTTGGACTTTGGAGTATATTGTAACCATTTAAATAACAATTTATGGCAAAAATAAATGATTAGGCGGAATGTATGGCAAAGCTAATGGAGAAAATAGGAATAAAGAAGTTTAATGTGGTTGGAACAAGCTACGGCGGGTTTGTGGCGTACCACATGGCAAAAATGTGGCCGGAGAAAGTGGGAAAAGTTGTGATTGCAAGCTCCGGCATCAACATGCTAAAGTGTGACGGTGAAAGCTTGCTGCAAAGATCCAACTGTGAGTGCATTGAGAAAGTTATGTTACCATCAACTGCCAAAGAGCTTCGGACACTTATGGGTTTGGCATCTTCTTGGAGGATAGTTCGTATGTTTCCTGATGCTCTCTGGAACGACATTATTACCGTAAGTAACTTATATTACTGTTTTATACTAATTTTCCTTGTACTATAATATTAGCATGTATAAGAGTAAAACTAGGAATTAGATTCTTGTTGACAATGCCTATCATCGCAATTACATAGACCAAACTCTTATTGACATTTTTTGTTCTAGCAAAATTTGAAGCTAACCCGGAGCATGATTTGTTTTTTTTTTAAATGATTTTACGCAGAATTTATATCAGAAGAACAGAAAAGAGAAAATAGAATTATTGAAGGGGGTGACTATTGGCAAGGAGGAGAAATTAAACATCGGTCCTCTTTCTCAGGTACATCCGTACATGTTTCTTCTTTTCTCGACCACGTTTTTTTTAGTAGTCAGAATGTAAATATCAAACATTTCGCGAAACTGTGTTTTACGTAACTTACGTCCAACATATATGATGTACTCTTAGGAGGTCCTAATAATCTGGGGAGACAAAGATCAAATATTTCCTGTGAAGATGGCTTACGAATTAAAAGAGTAAGTAAAATTATACCTTGTCCAAGTTTAACGTACAAAATGAACTGTTATTAGTTAAGCATATTTTCCAAATGCTATAACGGTTGGTATATTAATGCAGGGTTCTTGGAGACAAAACGAAACTAGAAATCATTAAGAACACTTCACATGTTCCCCAGATTGAATGTGCGCAAGAGTTCAACAAAATCGTTTTGAGATTTTTGAAGGGATCTCAATAACGGTGATTATTTATTCGCTACATGATCTTTGAACATTTAAGATTTTTCTGGCATATGTAATATTTTGCTACTTTACAGTTTACATCCCATGCTTTCTCAAATTTTAATGTAATAACTTCAAATATTGTGTCAGATAATATTTAATTATTGACACGAGATTTGGTCCTGTCCGTCATTAATGAATTGGTTCGAAAGGAGTTATGATTTGGTGACCAATAAATAAGTAGGCACAGTCAAGTGGTTCAAAGTTGGTGGTTTACCAAACTACAAATCACTTTCTCAAAACTCAAAAGTCAAAACTATTTCATTCGATCACTTTCGTCCACGTTACCGAATCGGTAACGGGAATGTTCACATTGATCTCGACATGAGAATTTCAAAGAATTATGAGAATTCATTACTTAAATATTTACAAAGATGTTCTACCATTTACAGTAGCCAAAAAGGAAAAAAAAAAAAAAAAAAAAAACGAAACACTGACAAAAGTTATACAACAACAAATATTTCGCCGTCAACATACAGTAACATTTCTACAATTGCCAAGTCTAAGCATCCATTGTTCATTCTCTTAAAGAGAAATTTGCAATAGCAAATGGTTTTTCTAACTCTCAATGATGCATAATCAAGCTCATATGCATCAAATGATCTGCTTTGAGGCTGAAGCTGTGGAGAGTTTCTTCACAAGGGACTGCGCACAAGTATATTCCGATACGAATTTTGGTGGCTCTACTTCTGACGGGTCTAAAACTGGAATGGCCTTATCTATATCTTCCGCAGAGAAAGGAATGCTACACACAAAGAATGAAACTCAAATAAGTTTTAAGATATTTCATTTAATTACACAGACAAAAAAAACGAAAGAGAATAACACCTCATATCATCATCCAGCAAGAAGGAATTCGATGTTAGTTTTTGGCTATCCTTGTCAACAAGTATTCTCATTTGAGAAACCACCTACAGCGCAAACATGTGTTAAGGTGATTAACAAAAGACATTCAACGCCTCGTATTGAGAGTTTTAGACATTTGCTCACCTCATTCGAAACGCTTTGAGTTCCATATTTATCGTCCCAGTACATCGTACTTATTCGATATATTTGCCTTATTGTCAGTGCCTGTAAGAGAATAAGATAGTGCCGAGTTTCAGTGAGATTTGAGAAGTGCTTACGGCAAGGAGAAAACGGGAAGCCAAACAAAATACCAACGTACCGGGCATAGATCCTGCCTGATTTCATCCAGTGATTTCTTTCTTTTCTGGTGTATAACCTAAGAATGAAAATTAAAAATTGCATAAAAGACGAACCAATTAAAAGCAAGTTCCACTACAAAAAGAAAGTTTGTTTATAAGAGAAGAAGAAGAAGATGAATTTTACCAAGAATCCAACAGCTTGTCTAATGTAATTCAACTCGTGCCACGATGTTCCTGAAAACTGTATTCACAAAATTTAAGATCACAGATAGCATCTATCTATGAAGTAACTATAGGGTATATAACATTGGTGTACCTCCTCCTTTGCACTGGCGATCCACTTCTCCAATTCTGCAATCCCAGATTTCACATACTCCCCATTTGAAAATGTGCAACATTCACGTCGAAGGAGAAGACTGAAGAAGAATTCAAATTAAGTATGCAGAAAACAAAAGTCATCTGCGGTAAGCGACACAAAAAAGAACTGAAAGTAAGATCTACCTGTTGAAAAGTGATAGGTTGATGAATGAGAAAACTTGAGTTACAAGTTTGCGAATGAAGAACGAGGGTACCTACCAATATAATAGTCCGGTTAGAAATAAGAAAAACAATGTAGATACTCTAAAAGCACAAGGGACCATGGTACTAATCCACGTATGTGGAGAAACGGGGAAGAGTAAGAGTTTCTCGTTTATATGAAAGCAGACATCATAATTGAATCTACGGGATGTGTGCATACATGATTTTCGCGTAGGCGGGACATAAGAGAATCCAAGAATTTGAGTATACTTTCCCATTGACTGCTCGGTGATTGCTGCGGCAGACTACCTGGTGATCTAGAGGCTTTTCCAGCGACACTTCGTGCAGCTTTGGGTGCCTTGATGCATGTTAAAGAACAACGATTATGGCATCCAATTCAATAATCTAGAAAAGCAATATCAATGTTGCTGAATATCTACCTACTTTCGACTTCTTACCTGAATGCATAATCCCAGAAGCGGTGATAATTCTTTTTTCAAATTATCACGAATTAGACCATAAATTTTCTCCACGCATGATGTCAGCTGTTGTTTAAACAATATAGCTGGATATCTTGCTTCTATATGTGCACCCCCATCGTCAGGTCCCTGAAGTTTAAAAGGAGACTTTACTCCCTGGTACACAAGAAACATAATTTATCAGTTTACACAGGGAACATTTTACAACAAGACTATACGTTGCTACTGAATCTCAATAAACAATAATCAATGGGAAATTTAATCTAGCAATTTCAATTCCATAGAAATGAAACATGCAAATTACTCTCAAGTGGAGATATCAATTGAACTTACATATGCAGCTCTCCCAGAACGCTGAGCACTAGCATTTAGAAAACTATTAGACCGCAGATTTCTCTGCAAGAGGCATAGAAGTGCTGAAGCGTTTGCGAGCCAATATGGTAATACACCGTTCTCATCTGCACCCTGAAATACATATATAAGCACAGACGAAGTTAAAACAACTTGGAAGAAATTTGTTACAAGATCCCTTCAACAAGAGGGAGATCAAGAGGGTAAAATTTGGTTCCAACAAGAATCACCTTAAGGGCTTCATTGATTCCATCGATAATGATGTTAAATATAGTTGTGCTCTCAGATTCAAAGGCGTGCCAGTGCAGAAGACATTTGTATATTGCACAAGCAGCCAGTGGCTTATCATCATTGAATCCCAAATTTTCCTTGATACATCTGGAGAGAAATTCGTAGTTCTCCTGCAATATAGTGGTAACTTATGTCAAACTCCAGTAACTACTGAAGCCAACAACAAAATGGCAATATCTACATGCGACGAAATCAAAACAGAAAATGAGATAATAGTATTCAAACATGTTACTATCAGCTGAGGAAACCAAGTTTCGTCCTTCACAGTCAAAACAAATTGACAGCCTAATGTAAATAGTAGCGAACTAGTACCAAGTTTCTTTCTGCAGTGAATTTGGATCGACGTGACTCTGACAGGCTATGTGAAAATGGCATGATAAGCTTTGAAGGTGTGGGACTCTCCTGTATATATTAATGACATAAGTAGAGTACTCATTGTCAAGCATTTGCAAACTAGAAATAGAAACAAAAAAACAGAGGCAATGAAACAAACAAGAAAAGAAGGTGTAGTTACTTACAAATACAGATCTCCTGTCATTCTGGGCTGGTACAACAGCACTAGAGTGTCTCTGTTAAGGAGAAGGTAACGATGCTCAGTTGGTAAAATGTAAAAACCAAAGAAAACATTATGGCAATCAAGTAACAAGCAAAGGTGGTGGAACGCATGTGCTAAAAAAAGGCAGATATCTAGTACTTTCGCACATGCATATTTCAAAAGGTGCAGCTGAGAATAGTCGAAGATTACATACTTCAACAATTATATGTCCTATTCTCTCTTGGGGTGTACTTAACGTCTTTTGCCTCAAGACACGGTTCTCGTTCTCCACGTGAGTGAGTTTCTCCTCAAGACTGAATGAAAACAACTCAAAGGAAAAAATGAAAATACTTGTTAGACAAAAAACTAGGGGTGACGTGAGAAAGAGAGCTGCAACGACAAACCTTTGAACACTCGTCTGGAGTTCAGAACATCTTTTTTCAGCTTCCTTCAACTTCTGTAGTGTGTTATTACAATCGGTTTTAGCACTGAGAAGCTCCTTCTCCAGAGCCAGATTCTTCTTTTCCAAGGAGTTCATCGAGTTCTGTGATCAAAAAGGGTTAGCAGAAGGAGCAGTGAAGAATGAAAAAATAAGACATGTTAACCAAATATTTAAATCACTTTTGAGACCATTGCTCAGAATCTCTTACTACCAATGATGGAGAACATAACCCTTAAAATAGTATCCCAAGTCACCAACAGTAACACAGAACAAGCTCTTTATATATATGCATTCAAAATATAAAAGGAAATTACCTTCAATGAGATGTTATCCTTTTTAAGTTCAACCACTCCATTAAGTTCTCTTTCAACAGCAGACTTCTCCTTCATGGATATGTCTAGTTGCTTTTGAAGTACTGCATTCTTGTTGCACTCATTAATGGTAGCCAGTCTAGATGCATCTAGTTTGAGGCTGAAGGATTCCAATGCTTTCTGAAGCTTGGATATTTCACCTGACTTGGCCTCCTCACCGCTTGTCTGTATTGACAGTACTTGCAGTTATTTACTCTGTTTCAGGAGATCATTACCACACAAATGATAAGAACTGGCAACATACCCGCAATCGTTTCTCAAGCTGCAACCGCCATTCAAGATCCTCTAACCGCTTCTCAAGATTAGTTTTAGCTAAACGCAGAGCACCTGTTTCATTAGCAGCCTGCAAGAAGTCGATGTGCATGTTCATACATTGAGTGATAGGTAGCGAACTAATATTATCCTGCTCTTTACCATAACTAAAACATACCTGTTTAAGTTTTCTAAACTCTCTCTTTGCAAGCTTCCGTCGCCAACAACACTGAATAGCAATAATAGAGGATTGACGGTGCCTGAATGCTGAGCGAAACTTATGCATTCTCCAACGAGCCTAAGAGATTTATAATACATATTATTCAGCCACACGAAATTCATTAGAGACTGAAATGATGAAGGATCAGGAAACTAGACAAATATAGGGTAAACTAAAAGACAAAATAAAATGTAACACGTATTAATCACACAGAGTTGAAGAGCCTAAGTACCTGAATGAGAGAAGCAGCTCTATGCTCCCTCCGATGAGAAAAATCTAAGCGAGCTGAGTCAGCACGGATGCAAGACTGTATTACCAAGGCAGCTGATACAAGTTTCACAAACGCACATCTTGACAGCCACCTGCGCGCATGCTTTTGTACCAAGACCGCTGCTGCGGCCTTCCTTCTAGTGGCATAAACGTTCCGAGACAGGCATCCTTGCCAAGAGATATTATTATCAGGCTTAGAAATGAAACAGAGATAAGAAGAAAAATACAAGTGCATTACTATACTAGCAACCACAATTTGCATGCAAGATCCATGTGTACATGTTTAACAAAAGAAATCAATACATAATTTTCAGAGAAGTGTGTTAGATATCTGAAGATATCTCAAAATGACCACAAATTATTGAGTGCAAGAGAAAAGCACATGCACAAAGAAAGAAGAAGAAAATTAGTAAATGAGAAAGGAACCTCTACAGTATGCTTGGATAGAAATTGCGGAAGCCCGCACAGAGATGAAGCCCTGATGCGTAACAAATGTTCTCAGTCTTCGCTGAATGAGTCGCGCAGAAGCATCAAGAACTTCAGCCCGCCTGGAGTCCAAAATGCCAATTTGACCAGCTCTGAGGAACACTTTTGTCCTTCCTAGCTGTGAAAGATAATCCAAATATCAGCAAACTAATAAGAGCAACTAACAGGAGCTATGCATAAAAGAAAAGCCTTTGGTTTTTTAACCACCAAGAAGCATACCTGATAATTCCCAAGTCCTAATTTCGTCAAGATTTTCTCAGTCAGTACCTGTTCATCATTGCTGAAAAATAATGTATATATTAACAAATTACTCTTGCTGGCAATAGGGATTTACTCAAATGCAGGATACAAGAAATTAAAAACATAAATGAAATCCAGCTCCAAGGTATTTGTCCTGGTTGAAAGCTATTAATAATGCTTAAGTTCTATCGATACACCATTCTATTTTTCCTCAATCAAGCGGTAATAAATATATGTTGATTAACCTTTACGCAGGTTCTCAAAATTGCAAGGACAAATATAGGATTAGTAACACGCCAGCAATAATCTTATAATCATCCATCAGATATGCACACCTTTCGTCCATGAATTTTGGAGCTAGCAGGCCAAACCGATCCACAAAGTCTGAATAATATCTTCGTGTAGGATACCCTGCAAGACTAATCCGAACAGCTTCCAGCACACCCTATCCAATTGTGAATACAAGACATCATCAAGTTAAAAGACCAAACAATGGAAAAAACCATGAACACAAAAAAATACTACTATAACCAGCTGAGTGTAAGCCAGATCATTTCAATTAGTCACTATAAGGAAACAATCAGGCATTTTAGAAAACGGCTAAGACACTAACCCCACAGCGTAGTTGATGTAAAACACTAAGATTCTCAAACTTCTGAGGTCTGTTGAGTGAGTTTGGCTTCACACAGCGAACATAGTGAGGCTCCGTTTTGCTGAGAGTTTCCATGAGGGCTTGAAGTTGTTGCTAGAATCAACAGTTAATGATCAGTTTCACAATCGATAATTACACATTTCATAACAGAGGACCTTGCAAAGTGAAAACGGAAATATCTGGACAGTTTCCTGACCTTAAATCTGGAAGACACAGAAGAAAATTTGTAAGAAGACCTGGCAGACTCCTCCGGAGCTGAGAGGAAAAGCCCAGCAACAAAAGGGGATTTGGAGGAAGACAGCAGATTGCAATGCTCCACTATAGCATAATCACGATTTTTATCCAAAAAGGTTTCAGTCTTATAAGTAACCTGCAGCAATGGTATGGCAAAAACTCATTGAGGTTTTAAGGAAACAAAATAAAACATTAAGCTTTGTCCTAGAGCAAGACTTACCTTGCCAGCATAATGAGCGAGAGTAAAATCCGTCTCTGAAAACTTTGCCTTTTCCAATCTCGGATGAAATTTCAAGTTCTGGAACAGCTTCATTGAAAATGACTCATGAGTTGATCTAGGAAACATGCTGCATAAAAAGCAAACAAAGATGAGTCAGCGCAGAAAGAGACCAATCAACATACATATCGTGGAGATACAAAGTTAGACAGGAATATTGTACCAAGCTTCGTCCAACAGTGCAATTACCCCAATAGGTTTCTGCAGATAGCAAACATATTAATGAAAGATTTAGAGGAAGATAGATCAATTATCCTGACATGTCTATTTACACAAAACAAAGAAAACAAAATGAAAGGGACACAATATAGAGAAACGTACCTTCTCAATAAGGTCCAAGACATCCTGGTTGTCAATAAACTCGATATAACTCCAATTAATTTCTTCTTTTCTGTACTCATCCTGCTCCATCTTGAATACATGCTGAAAACAGAGCAGAGATCAAAATGAGAGGAAGTCATGTCCCGAAAACTCGCAAAATCCTTGAAAATGAGTCACTTATATTACCTCATTGAAATGTTGCTGAAGCTTTTCATTTGCAAAATTGATGCAAAATTGTTCAAAACTGCAGAGTGCAAACAAGTATTGGCTTTAATTTTCATTTCTAGACATTGATTGGGTGAAAAGTATACTAAGCCGTCAGAAATGCACCAGCCCAGATAAAGAGTACACAGTTCACAGCTAAACATGGTGTACCAATAAATTTTGCAATAAATAGGGCTGGGAAATGGAAGAAGCTATTGTTTAATCAGTTCAAGAGATCCTGGCTAACCTGTTATTCTTAAAGCATTCAAAGCCATAGATGTCCAGGACGCCTATTTGGAAACGGGAGTCTGGATCTTGCCCAACAGACCTATTAATCTTATCAACCAACCTGACGGAAGCATAAAACGAAAACTTCAAACACAAGTATTATGCATTAATACCTATTCACTAAATGAAGGAATTGAGCAATTGAAAGCAAACCAGTCAAACAGACGGGCGTAAACTGTCTTTGCGAGGGCATCCCGGCTAGTAGCAGCAGCATTACTGTCGAGTGCTTTGACAATGGTACCTTCACGGGTCAGAATTGAACGCGTGCAGAGAGAAGCCAGTAAAAGATTTGCATCACACCTAATTCAGTTTACAGGGATACAACAAAAATGTAAAAGCTATGTCTTCGTACGCCCAATTGAAAAATAGTTTTAACCAAAATGTAAAAAACTAATGTACTTGAAAAGGTCAGCAGCCATCTGCAGATGAAATCTAGATTCCCGATCCTTTACTACTGAAGAGTCGTGCTCTTTTCCTGGGGAAAATTCAACATTTCCAAGATGCAGAATTCCAGCAAGCGTGCGGAATATCCCTTCCTGTAAAATTATTTGTGCAGGGATCAAGCAAGGGCTTTCAAACACCGACGGAAGAAAAATATATGAAAATTCAATTAGAATTCAAAAGACCTGCTCGTCGTGACTTATGCCCACAATATCCATGGCCCTCCTTGTATTCTTATACTCTTCTGCGTTGCTCACCCCCTCCAGTTCATAAGTCTTGCTTTGATTTAAATAATGAAATTGACGTGGATTGCTTAGTTTATATTTTTCAGCGTCCTATACAAAAAGGTAACTGATTAGTAATCGGCATAGATAATTGACAAAACCAGCCAAGAATTCTGCCATAACTCAATCGGATAACAATAAACCCGATTACAATATCTTCTGAGACATATACAGAGCAAGAAGAAGAATTACATTCCCGGAAGCGCACAGCTGATAAAAACAATGGTAGTTCCTCTCAGGGTCTGTTATCCGGACTACGCGTGATCTCTCCAGAAGGTAGGTTCTGATTGCAGCACCAGATATTCTACCATTTACGTCAAACTGAATTTCGACAAACTTGCCAAAACGGCTGTTCAAACAAACAAAAAAACAGTAGTTTGGTCAGTAGATCTCTCATTTTTAAGAATCCATCTAACTGAAAAAATCTAGGGCAACACACAAGATAACTGCAGCTAAAATGCCATACATAAAATCAGATTCATTGTTTGACCGAATTAAAAATTTCAATAACAAAAATTCTAGAATCCAAATGCATAACACTTATAACTATGGTTCTATACATCCGAGATGAAGAAACAAAAAAAGCTAGTTCTTCCTAGTAGCTGTAAGATTGTTACCATACTTCATGTACAAGGACTATATTAATCAACCAAACAGACCCCATAATGCATTTTACACAGGTAGAAGGAGTCTTAACGCCTTAATGGTCAAGGTTGTCAATGGACCATAAATCTGATGTAGAACTACTACCATACTTTAAGTAAAAGGTTTAGATAAACCTGCAAAGTTCATGATTTCAACTTTGCGCCGTTACCAGTTACCACTAGTGTCTAACAGCCCTAAATAGTTTATTTTAAACGCTATGGTATCGTATATGTTCTAATCAGTTATGATGATACTGTCATGAAGAAAATTGTTCAGAAATGACACAAAAGCAACTAAAGAAACACCCCCACAGTTTTCATTGGGAAAAAATAGAAAGAAAAACAAAATTCAATACCCCACCTGGAATTATCATTTCTAACTGTTTTCGCATTGCCAAATGCTTCCAAGAGAGGATTTGACTGCAGAAAAAAATGAGGTTAAATTAGATCACTCGCAAACAAAGAAAGTCACAGTGATCAAGCCTAAAATTTATTTGCAAACAGATACCATAGGAGGGGAAATAAAAGGCATATTTCCAATTCTTTTCTTCACATGGAACAAGACAAAAGATAAAATCTTACTTCAAGGACTTTCTGCTCAACACTTATACCATCTTCAGCTGCACGTCCCCCAACAAATGTAAGATACTGCATGATTAGTTTTGTAGTCTCAGTTTTTCCAGCTCCACTTTCACCGCTAACGAGTATAGACTGACTTCGACTATCGTCAATCATCGCTCTGGTTATTAAGCATAACTACGGTTAATTAACATTACTGACAGCAACAGGTCAAAATGTCAGAACAATTTGGGAAAAAAGGGTGGACCACCTGTATGCAACTTCAGAAACTGCAAAAACATGAGGACTGAGCTCACCAAATGGTGCTCCCTTGTATTGCTCCATCATGTACCCATTGTAGAGATGTGGAAGCCTTTTAAACGGATTAACAGCGATCAGAATGCTTCCTGTGTATGTCTGCAAAAGAATACAACGTTGTTGACTAGTCATAAGAATAACTGCAGTCGGGAATCATCTACTAATGGAACGGTGAAAAATGCTGACAGTAACGAGTGGCTACAAGAATGAGACTGAAGTTATAACCAAAAAATAGTTCCAACAAAGTATTCAATAGGGACATAAGCTACGACCAGAATATTTACTAAGGGCAAGCCAGCATTCACATCAAGGGAACCTAGCTGGGTACGAAACCATCTGGCAAATAACTACACTTTTGCCAACTAGATGACTTAACGAAGATCTCCTTCTTTAGACAGAATATTCAACCAGAATATTCAAAATCAATCTTTCAGCTAGATATTATACTAGATCACAATCATAATTCAACATCAAGGAGAACCTATCACATAGACACATCCCAAAATTGCAAGTAGCAACAGAAATTTGACCTAATGTATAATTTCGCAGTACCAAAGGTGGCATTTGATTGATAAAGCATAACTACGGAAACAGTAGAGCGATATCTTTTGCTATACAAATTGTTTTCCTGATCACACACAGACCTCAATTACATGGATCATGCAAGTACTGAAACACGAGCACTCAGGTCAGTTCTACAGATACCTAAAATCCCCAAAGAGAACACACCTAAATGCATACTTTACAGCTAAATCTTAAGCCTTAACGGCCCCCACAGTATCGTAGACGAAAACTGGAATACATGGGCCAAAAGCAAAGTATAATTCGTTGCCAGAGGAAAGCTCCGGCCACTGAGCAAAGTCGATATGGAATGAAATCTGACTCAATAAAGTAGCCGGCAGTAATAAAAAACTAAAATTCAAAGTGCAATCATACTCACGAAGACCTCTCAATAGACAATAGCAAAAAGAAGAGTGAAGAGAACTCACGTATATATCATTCAGAGCGTATCTCCTCTGTAAATTGTAAAGCACACCAGCCTCGTGCAAGTATGTCAGCTTCGTCATATCATCGACTCCATTATGTTCTTCATCGTCGGGATCCCTCCGAAAGAGCTTCTCCGGGGAGACGATAACCTGAATTGCCCCGGAAACAAAAAAAGGCGGCACAAAAGCAAACAAATTACGTGAAGAAAGCGCGAAGAAGAAGACGAAACAGAAATCACCCAGCAAAGAAAAACGGTTAATCACACCTTCTTCCCTGTAGCAGTTTCGACTTGGACCTTCTTCTCCAGAGAATCGAGCACATCACCGGCAATCCAAGCCGAATCCTTATCCTCCACCCAAACCTTGTCGCCTTTCCGCAGATTCAATTCCATTGGAATACAATCTCCCATGAACTCGACCTGAGCTCGACGAGAAAACCCTATACAATTTGATTGGGGGAAGCAACAGTCATAGAGAGAGAGACTCCGTCAGGTTGCGCCAGAGAATTTTTCAAATTTCAAATGAACCTGAAACCCTAAGGAGATAGAGAGAAGAGAGAGAGAGAGAGAGAGAGAGAGGGAGAAAGGAAGGAATTTTTTACTGTAGAGTTTTATCTGGTTCAAGTTAAACCGCTCGCGGAAATAAATACCCAAAAAAAATAAGTCAACAAAAAAGGTCTTCCCGCCCTCTCGGAGTACAAGAAAAAAAAGAAGACTCGAAGACAAAAGGAAAATTTTGAAAAACAATTACAAAGTTCTTTCAGTTTCTGGAGTAGATGCTTAGGCAGAAAATGTCAAGTTACTGATTCACAACAAATGAAGAACGCTGTTAAATCCGCCTTATTCATATGCTAACATACACTTAGGAGTACTACGACATGTCGCTTAACTATTAGAACATACTATGAGCAAATGACAAGTCATTACTTATTCATCATATTATACACTTATATCACTCATGAGAACCAAGACTTGCCTTTGTTATAGCAATCGTGGTCAGGCGAAGAAAGTATTTACTAGAAATTTGGAATATGTTATTGTCATCTTTTGATGTATTTTGAAATTTGGGTTATATTTTCTGAATCCTACATATATATATATACTCCCTCCGTTTTTTTTAATGAATTTTCTAGTTATTATGTGTTGTTTCACAAAGATAAAATTTTTACCTTTTTGATGAACTTTTTCAATTTTCAAAATACAATAGTTATATTTGTTGGATTTTTATTGGTTTAAAATTATAAAAAGTTGTTTTATTGCAGAAATCTATGCACTAATGATTGAAAATCAACTTTTTCTTAATTTGTGTGAAAAATCTAGAAAATTTATCTTAAAAAAACGGAGGGAGTATTTAATAATACGACTCTCGAGATATGTGTGCCATGTGATATGGAATTAGAGATCATGAAACTAATTAATGTCGTGTGATTCCGTGTGTTACAATTTTTCTTTACTGTTAGTCTACTTTTTCCCCACCTATCTCTTGCTTAACTTTTATTCGATTAACAGCTAACACTAGTTAACAGATTCTCTTTGGTCTCTTTCCCCGTTAAATTCTACTCCTAGATTTTATTTTGGTTTCCTGTTTTTTACTATTTCCCCTATAATTTTTCACTAGTCATATTTACCAAAACTCACTCTAATTATTTGGTCTATTTCTTTCCCAACATGGGGTCATTATGAGCTAATACCAATTTAAGTTTCTCTTCTCCTATCTTAGAACATTATCTTCCTACATTTGTAAGATTTATTTCCATTTGTTGGCCATAATATCCATCTTTACAATATTTATTCACTATATTCTCTTTGTATAATTCACAAATAGTATTTTGTTTTTCCAAATACAAAAATTTGTATAACTGTATTCTTCTTTCTTGGTTGAGTTTTCTTTCCTACATTTGTAAGATTTATTTCCATATGTTGGCCATAATATCCATCTTTACAATATTTATTCACTATATTCTCTTTGTATAATTCCCAAATAGTATTTTGTTTTTCCAAATACAAAAATTTGTATAGCTGTATTTTTCTTCCTTACTCGAGTTTTATTCAACTTTTTTGTTTCCTCTTCTGCTAGTCTAAAAGTAGATTTTTTTGTCTTTTATGTTTCTTCCTACTATTGGCAATCGTCATCATTTTCTTTCCATTTTCTAAAAGCTCTATTGATCCATGTTATACTGTCTAACAGTTCTTGAGAAATTATGTGGTGTTTCAACTTCGGTCTCTATTATGAGATATAACATGTTATCTAATAGTTCCTAACAAATTTCACACTTCGACTGCATAAGACACAAACTCCCCATTCTCTTTTAGTTGTTTAGTTAAACTTTTGCCTTTTATTAGAAAAATAATCTGCAGGAGTGTAAACATTACAATTGAACCGACAGTCTCATCAGACTTGTACTAACACACAGAGTATGCGTCGTGTGGACTTAATATGGATCGTCAGCCGACATGAATCAATGAATCAATGCCTAAAAGGTCCAATCTTGGGGCCAAATAGAAGAACTATAACAGTAGCAACAATATCATAAACCTCATGTCAAATAAGAAAAGGAATTATGTTGTTAGGTTTGTGTCATCTCACACAAGCATACAAGGCCACAGTACAAGCTCCAGAGGCCTATACGCACTACTGGAAACTCTAGACTTGGACCCATTTACATCCCAAACACCACACAGCACAACACAACACAACACATCGTTTGTATAATCTGCAGAACAAAGTTGTATATAATCAAACATACAGTGCAAAATCCTAATCTTGCAAAAGATTCGGACTGCTGAAGACGCGCTTCAAACTGGGGCAGACTGTTCGGAACTTCGCCATGCTCACCGAAGATATCTGTAAATCACCAAGACAGTGTATTAGTTATTACATTAAAATGGATTACTTGCCAAGTTTTGATATCGAAGCAAACACTCTTTTATCATTACCTTTGGACAGAAACGGAGATCCAATGTCTCCAATGAGCTGCATCCTGATATAGCCGCTTCAACTCCTGCTTCGTCCATGTTACAAGACTACCAAAGACAAACGTAACAAAGTGTGTTTAGCGCCTGTTCAAGTAATTCTGTTAAACTAAAAGAATATAAAACCATACTCTAAGCTTACTTAACTAGCTTCAAGAAAAGACAGACAACTAAAATGTAAACTGAGCCAGTTATGGGGCATAAACATACCTGAAGAAAGAGACTAGCCAATCTTGGACAGCCAAGCTTCAATACCTCCAGAGAGCAACAGTTGCTAGACAATTCATTTTGATTCGAAATAGAATTAGCAATAGAATAAAACCAATCATTTGATGGAAGATAAAGAAAATAAGTCAGATAACAAACAGGAAATCCTCTTACCTTAGATTCAGCAAGACGAGGTTGGCACAGGTGAGATCAACCTCCTTCAAATTGACCGATAAAGAAAGGTTCAGTGATGATAAATTGTAAAACCGAGCTGTCGGTGGGATCAACACTTTTCTGATATTGGGGCAACCCACGCAGTTGAGGTTTTGCAGTAACCGGTTGGCTGTTTCAGCTGGTTCTTGTGTATTCTCACTAGAACTGTAGTCACCAAAGTAGTCAAACAGCTGTACATTGGTTGAACCCCAATCAAGGTCATGCATGTTAACACAGCCGTTCAAACTCAAATGAGTCAAGTGTGTGCAGCACGCAAGTAGATCGTCTATCGCAGTCTGACAGAGAGTACCATAAGACAGGTCCAACTCCTCGAGTGCCGGCAAAGCACCTTCTTTGTAAAGAGGCTCCAATGATGAATCAGTGAGATATTTGCAGGCTTGCAATTTCAGTACCTAACAATAAAAGTATCAAAGTAAGCCCAAAAGCAATAAGATATGATAGAAAAACAAAACATGAATGGCTGATATAAAAAAGAATGCACGCAGGAAGTGCTCATAGACGGAAGATAAAATATATGCTCTACTGCTGACAGAAAGAGAAACATCCAGCATCATACAAGTTATAATGTCTTAATTACCTTCAGCTGAATACAGGACTTGAAGACAGGCTCCAAATTCATCAAGAAAGTGTATGATAAATCAAGAACAGTCAAATTTGGGAGCCCGTTCAAGGAAGACAAGCCATCAGGGCCAATGGAAGGGCATGACATGAGCACCAGCGACTCAATTAGTGGGCAAGAAGCAGTGGTTGCAGACAGACAGTCATCCCTCAGTTGACTGGAAAAGGTAATGGGGAAAATTGATTAGTAGCACCATAAAATTAGTCACGAAAACTGAAAATAACAAAATAAATAGATATTTACCTGCAGAAAGACGCATCTAAAGATGTCAGCAGAGGACAAATAATGGATGCTTCAGACAGTACACCGCAACCTTTCAATTCAAGTGACACCATATAAGGTGCTTCGATATTGAGCACGCTCAGCTTCGGGCATATTCCTAAGTTAAGAGACCGGAGGGCGACCTATTCACAACCAGAAGGGAGAAGCAAGAAATCGACGAGTTAAGATAAGTTCGTTATTTCATATTTGATATGAGAGAATCAACACTCACAGGCTGGAAGATTGCAGTTTCAAGATGATCACATCCATCCAAACAAATCTGCTCTATGCGAGGGCACTGCAACTCAAGAGAAGTAACAGCTCGACATCCAACAAGCGAAAGACTTGATAATGATGAGTTGCAGAACCGGACTGCTGTTAAGCTCTACAAGATGATAACAATTTTTAGAATCAGTCAATTCATTTCAATAAATTATTTCACTTTTAAAATGAAGAAACTGTATCACACCTCACAGTTGTCAAGAATTAATGACTTCAGCATTGGGCATCCACCATCATCACTAAATATCTCACAAACAGTGTTAGACAATGATTCACAATCAGAGAGATCCACTTCTTGCAAGTTCTGGCATTGCAGAACTAACGTTGTCAAATTCTCCTGTTTCTGGAGAGCCAATCGCTGCAACCAAAATGAAGAAATATTAAAGGATGTTTATCAGATAAACTCCAACCAAATGGAACTGCAGAAACAAAACCATGTTGACTAAGTGCATACTCGAAGGGAGTTGGAAGTGATTGTGATACGACGAAGCGCTGGACAATTGGACACACTGATCGATGAAAGCAAGGTGCTTTGCAAGCTCAGCTCTGTGAATCTGTCAACACAACGAAAATAGGACACTTGAGTGATACAATAGCAAAAGATAAGAATAGAAATGCAAAGCAAACCAAAGATGAGGACCATACTTGCGGCAATGGACTAGGCTCATACTCTGCAAACGCGATAAATGCAAAGATACAGTTGTCAACAGGTTGCAATTATCAAGCTCCAAGACCTGCAATAGATTATATGTGGTTAACACAACTAGAAACAGTGGTCTCGAGTTAAAGGTTGTAGAACAATATACACTTGTGTGGTAAAAACAAAAGCAACCAC